AGTAGTTTCTTTCGCGTTCCAGTATGAGCATGTTTTTCCTGTCAAAACCAAAATGGGACAGAGACAATACCTCTATCTTTGTGTCTTCAACTATTCCGGAGTCAGGCTGGAATGCAGCGCATAGGATCCAGCGTGGGAAGCGTATAGCGTGGTTTTCGCACTGGTATTTTCCCCTCATCGTAATTCGCCCATAGCAAAAGCTTTGAGCGTACGCCACGAAAGCGTGTGAATAGGATATTAGGAGGAAAAGATGGCCAACAGGTATCAAGCAATTCATCTGTGAAACAGGAAGTAAAAAGACCACTAGTACCAGGCAGAAGGCCGCTCTGATTGTCACATATGATTTTAACAGAATGGGCAGGGGGATTAGATGAGGCCGCGGTTTCCCTCTTTGATATTGAAGATGATATTAGCATGGGACATCAAATAGAATAGGATACCTACATGCTCATTCTAACTGCGGCGTGAGTTCGAAAAGTGGATTTCGTTTCACTCTATGTCCGCAGAAGATCCGGGGTCAAAAGGCAAAAATCACCCAGCCGGCCACCGCTCGTGACGTTGGTGAGCCATAACCAGCGTGGAATGGCTGCAGTAAGACGGAAGCTTTAAAAGGTGCTAGCGGGGAATCGAAGGGTACTGCAAGTGCTGGTAGTGGTCACGGTGCTTCTCAAGCCGGATGGTATGGTAAAGATAACTTTTAGCTGATGCTGAAAGAAGATGCTGCTGGCAGCAGAAGCAAATTGCGCGATAGCATGCTGGCCTTCAATCAAGAACCATCTTGGATATTTCCAAAAAGTCATTTTTCGATCGAACCCACTGTTGCTGATACATTGATGGAAAATCATTGTGTTCCAAATGAAGGAAGTGTTCAACGAGACTTCTATAGTGGAATGAGGAAGATTTTAGTTTGGCAGGAAATATCTCGGGCGATGGCGATTGAATAGATCCCACCATCATGGATATGTGCCATGGTTCAATTATAGCCATGGGATCAGCCATTGGAACAGCCATATGGCCCCAGGCGAGAAGGCAAGCATGAAACATGCACGACATCTGGTCTCTGGAAATGGTGTTCGATGAACGAATTGTCTTTCATTGGAATAGCTTCAGTGGCCCCCCTGTATCCCCCATTCACCAAAGTCAAATCCAGCGATAGACGTTGCACGACCACCCTGTAATGAAGGAGCTGGGTCGACACATCCCACTTGTGGCTGAGGACAAGCAGCTCGTACAACGGGGGGACGAAGGGCCCGCGGGATATTGGCCTTCTGGGTCGAAGTTGAGATTGAGTCACCAGGCTTGGGTTCCACGATCAGTCGAAGATGTAGCACATATCCCTTTGTCAGTCGTTGCAGTAAGGACGACGGAAAAGCCGAGTGTGGAATGGGATCATGCTAATTTGCCTTATCGTTTTGCAGATTTCGAATGCCATCTTATTCAAACAGGAAAGTTTGTCCAGCGAGAAGAGAATTCAGGGCTTTGTTGGTTTGATGCAGGCTATGATTGCAGCAGGCGAACAGCGAGGCTATAGATCATAATATGGTGGAGCAGATTCCCAGAGGACATGCACTGCATGGCAGTGGTTAAGCGACCGCTATAGAAGATGGAGCTAATGAGGCCGCAGATTGCTGGTCCATTCAGTATTAAGCCCACACCCTCGAGGCGTCTGAACAGGGATGTGTGTGGTTGCATTGGCAGGGTTATGGTGCCAGGAGGTGTCATGACCACTGGAGGTACACTGATGGTTGCGGATGAGAATCATCGCGTGGGGGTTGTAAAAGCTTTGCAGTGGCCATATCTTAGGCTTGATGAGCTGAGCGGTCCCATCAACGGTAATCATTGTGGGATTGAGAGTCTTATGCAAGAGGGTCATTCACTTCAGCTTCTTAGTCACTGAATGGAACTCGTTCAGGAAGTCTGTGTCCGCTTCCTCACTAGCCTTGAAGTGGTTGAACTGGATTCGAAAGTTAATGTGCTCATTGGGGCGTGACTAGGGCTTTTTAAAGATCCCAGTAATCTCTAGTATTTGGGTCCCAAGGCTGAGCTTGAGTAGCTTCAGCTAGGTGTCTGCGATGCCATGAAGATGATGTGTTTAGTGCTATATCCGATAGAAATGCCACTCCCTGGAAGAGGCTTTGAGGTTCAGTGCCGGTTCAGGCACAGCAACACAGATGCACTCAGTGGATAAATTTAAGCCGTTTTTCGGATGCGTCTGATTTCGAAATGGTCCTCTCCCAGCCAATGGTCTGTCGCCGCATCCACGACATTCAAAAAGATATGGGATCCAGAAAGTAGAGTCAGCTTTGGGCAGGCACAACATTCATATGCCCTTGACTCGGGGAAAGTAACAATAAAATCGCCTCCTTTGAATTGGCAGGTAGTGCTGCAGTCCATTCGAAGGGCGTCAAGAGACTGCATATAGTATAGGCCGTTCAGTCCTCAGCATGTATAATCCTGCAAGGGTTCGAATGGTAGAGATGGTTTGTGGATAGGGTACAGATCGAAAAAGTGGCCGAAGGTGGTCGAAACGGATGTCAAAAAGGTATCAAGAGATATCAAGAAAGGTGCTGATGGGAATTAACAAGGGACAGTGGATCCGCGGGGTTCTTTACCTTTTGTATGGCAGGCCCATGTGTAGAGGAGTTGGCATTTTGGCAAAGATTGAGAGCTGCGTCGTAGGAAGTCCAGGTTGGTATGGTTGTTGAACCCCTGCTCACTTTGCCATTTGAGATCGGTGTCATACCGTGGACATGTCGATTTGATTAGGCGGGTATTGAACATCTGGTTCTGTGGGAAGTTGTATGCAGCAGCTCTACTTCACCGACTGACACTGCCATATATTGACCATTTTCAAGATCGGGTATTGAGAAGTTCACGGCGTTTTGAATTCTAGGAGAGGTGGACTTCGTAACCTCCGGTCATATAATTTCCTGACGAGACCAGCATGAATACATATTTGTCCAATAATAGAATGGCATACGATTGCACTCGAACCGGGACACTACCTACGAATGTTAGTATTTCCCGTCTTGTTTCGAGATGGAGTATACTTACTACTTCCTTTAGTGCGTTCTCGCAATGAAGAAGCCAATCCTCTCCGGCGATTGTCATGGTATATAAACACGAACACAACAGAAGGTTCAGGATCTTGAAGAAATAAGTCTAGCGAATATAGTGTCTTGAGGCGTGCGGATAGACCCCAGGATCCGAGGTCATACACTATCAAAAATCATGTGGAGATTGACTGTGGCAAAGTTCACAATCTCTTCGTTCTTTTTGGGCACGATGGCGCATCCACTCCGTTGGTTTATCTCAGTAGAAGCAATGGACATGTCCTCAGGAACGTTCGGCAAGAGTTGAAGGTTACTCTCTGCACCCATGGTAACAGTGCCGGTCGAATTGGGGTACGTTTTAATTATATAACTTGCTGAATAGGGAAGTCACCATCATCAAACCAATCAGCTCTTGTTCAATAATTATTTGTAACCCACATACCTTGAGAGAACTGACAGTAAAAAGCCGTATACCCCAAGGGATATCACGTTCGTGGAACCATATGCGTAATTCGTCCATAATATATTAGATGTACTCTGGGGAGCTTTGGTGTCTCTAAGGTCCAAGATTAATATATCATCTCAGATAAAGAGCACACACTTCACTTGCCCACTCGAAAAGTAAATTCTGGCCACTAGATCAATTGCCATTGAGCAGACCATTCGAAAACGTGATGTATAGAAACATGTCACCAGGATTTCCAATGGCTGCCAGGCTGCGAGCATCATCATATAGCTCACGCAACTCTTTGACCCACTCATCAAATGGGCGATTAGCCTTTTGAGCTTGTAATCAGTTCGTATCGTTGTCAAATAACAATCACCTTCACTTGCCTCGAGGAAGAAGCATTATATACCATGGTTCGCAATAGTATGAAGTGGTCGTCATGTGAGACTGATATAAGGACAGTCGTTTCGAATCCAGGTAGAATGTGAAAATAATATGCCTTTCTGACGGCAGTACAGATTACGTGGCATCAGAGAGATGTCCACAAGATCATCAGCAAACCTGACATGAGATATTTCCCTGGAATATACTCACACGGGGTGATCGATAATTGGAGCATTGAGATGTTGGAAAAAGGAGAAAGCAACGACACCCATCATGTGGATTTGCTGCATGATTGCAAATGTGTATCTAAATCGTCGTTCGGATCATGTAACACGTCTGGGGCAGTTCGATGGACTGCGTCCAGATAGTCGACAATCAAGAAATGGGCTTCGCTTTTGAGGAACTCATCCATAAGCCAGCATGGCTTTGACTGCATGGTAATTGATTAAGGAGAGCATCCATAATTGAGCAGACCATAAGTAAGCCGTCGTCTCGTCCTAGATAAAAAATGGAAAACCGTCTGGGGTTACCATCGCTTCCATTAATTTGTCGAGCGTTTCGACCATTTTGTCTTGCTGGACTAGTGAAGAAGCCATCCGGATCCAATTTATGGATTCTCTTCTAGAATAGGCCAGGATAATGTATTGACTGGATGCTCTGGGCCAAGCCAGTAATTATCGTACCTCTTGGGGCTATCATCAGACCGATGAAGAAATCTGTGGTCAAGCCAAATGTTCTGGAAGGATCCATTGAACGTGCGGTTTTCATGCCAAAAGGGTGGCTATTAGCCTGTGTATATAGCCATCCAAATAGCGAGCATACTCCAGGGTCGCTCTTTGGGAATTTCCATGGCTTGTGAGACTTTCCTGGGACCCTGACTGGTAACCACGGTTGGATCCCGTTCACAGCTTCCATTGTCATTGCGCCATTTGCACAACGATCCTATTGTTGTTCTCTGACTTATATCTGAACCAGATCCTATATCCTCTTGTTCTCGATGCCCTGGATAACATCCGACTCTGGAAATTGCATTTCATCATTGTGATTGTGTGTGGGGCTGCATGTTTCGGTTGTGCCAATTGTCATCCGTCGATGGAGGCTGGATACTGACTGTCTGAAAGATGGAATGAAAAGTCCAAATACCCAGCTTGTACTTGTCTTCGCATAGTGACCTTCCTCATATTATGCGGCTAAATGGGCCTTCAAACATTGAGCGGTTCGCCCTGCAGTAAGTTGGCTTGGATGTTTCTTTCTGCCCATCTCGACAGTGCGGCGTGGCTATCGATTTGCAGCAGCAGCAATAACTTTGGAGGGAAAGTAGTCTAGCAGGTTGGCCATGGAACATTGCTAGTGCCGATAGACTTGAACGCCGATGTGACAACGTACTCGAGATTGACGAATATTGGCGCGACATGGGAGCAAGCCTAGGGATCTCATGAAGGGGAGCATATATGATGGTCTATAACCGTGTTCGATATCGAAGGAGATTGCAACGGTAGAGAACGATTCGATCGTAGTTAAATAAGCCTTGGCTTCAGTCATGGAGAACCGAGCATCTTCAGGAGTGCTATGATGAGCTAGAAATGTCAGTACCGAAGGTATGAAATAACGATACTCGAATTGACATACCATGGTTTCGTTGTAAAGAAGCGCCACGATAGACTGGAGCACCTTCTCTTCATCAATTATGTTCCATGATGAATTGAACTGAACGCAGCTTACATCCAGAACCAGGATGCTTCTTGATCAAGTCGATCAACCGAGACAAGGCGTATAACTTGGAGGAATAGAAAGTTAGTATAATAGCTCAGCCGGGATTCCGTGGTCACACTCAGTGAGTAAAAAGAGCAGAGGCTGCTGTGATCTGCTGACGGAATTCATGTCCTTCCTCCGGACATAGGACTCACCTAGTTTACTTGAAGATATGTCATTTTCAAGATCCCATTGACCTGTTCGCGGCGGGTTGAGTAGCCGGATTCAATCACCACAGTTGGCCATTTGCAAGTCATATTGGATAGCTTTGCCGATCAAATGAGAAGGTCATGTGTTGATACACGAGACAGACGAGAAAGCTAGATGGGGTTTGATATTATCGTGCCCAAGAATCAGACTTGGATGATTATCATGCTTGAGTTCAACCGAACGATGTCTATGTTTTGCGCCCAAGCTTGAGCGAAGGCGGCATTCGCAATGGCTGAATGGCGAGGTGGTGTCCATGTTCCTCGTTTTGCATGCGACGGTGAGATTTTCGTAGATTGATTTGTATTTGTCGATAGGCCAGGATCGAACATGAATTGTAGTTCTTTCTTGTGCAGATATACAGGCCCGTGTTTCTGATGCGAATTAAAAAGGTCTTGGTAGAATTTCCGATTGTGAATTGACTGAAGGAAGCCTGATGCTTCCATTTGCACTATGTGCAGGCAGCAGTATAGGCAACATGCATCATCTTAGGAGGCTGTCCATATCATACAGAATCATCATTGTCGAGTTTCCAGGGACGATTGGACCCTGAAACATATTAGTCGGGTATATTCGAGGAGAAACAGCCCTAAGCTGGGCAATACTGGATGTTTTAGAAGTGATAATAGAGAACCGGAAGGAAAAGACCGACGTTTCGGTCGTAGGTGTGATTCGCGTCTCGAGAAGATTGCTTTCGAGCACAGTCAGGCAAATATTGTATTCCGATAGCCCAAGTCTTGAGAATGGCAGTGGTGTAGGGAACTGTTGGTGGAAGACCGGCCAGACGAAGACGTCTCTGTTATAAAACATACGCAGTTGATGTCTGAATCGTCCATACCACATTTCTCGCTGCCATTTCGGCAGTGAACGTGCATAAAGTACTCCATGTTTTGCAAATTGGATGTCGAAGGAAGGTATTAGAGGTCAACTCGGCCGAGCACGCACGCACTCGGGGCTGCATGGGCCCAATCCTCAAAGCATTGGCACTGAACGGACAACAGGCAGACCAGTTATATTTGCTGGAATTGCGATGTTTCTGGTGTCTAACCTCAAAATTGAAACGAAAGATCGGACTGAGGATCTATATGTGTTCCCACGCAGCCTAGGATACGCCGTGGAAAAGCCTCGGTAGGGATGCAAACTGAGCCACGCTTCAGGGTGTTCATCTTCCATCCACGGGGATCATTCCACAGCTCAATCTTTCCCGACGTGGTTTGGAATTCTGGTATGGTTTGGCATCATCCGAGTCCCAAGCCCTTCTGTTGCTGCGTGGACTGGCCTGTAGGCTGCAAGTATTTCTGGTCCTTAGGAATCTGCCATCTGGCTGCGCAATAACTATACTGAGGTTTGCAGCCTGGTTGTGGCCGTCATAGCTTAGATTCTTGATTTGATCAGCCTGTTCCCACGCACTTCCTTCCTTGCTCGTGAGTGGGTGATATAGGGAGCCGTATTAACGAATTCAACGGCATTTTTGGAAATGAGGTTGAATTCAAGCTGGTCGTGCTCCATGGTGGACTGCAATTTTTATTCATTCAACGTGTTGATTGAATGCCCCTTATGACAAACGGCTTTACCTCCAGAATGTAGGGCAATCTGGTTTTCCTTTCATTAAGCGGCGGATCCTAATCTGTGTTCGTGTATTGAGTGATAGCGACCAAATTGGAAAATCAGAGCATGGCTGGAGGGTATATATTCTCCAAATAGACGTGGAAGAGAATGTCCTTCCACCGTTCAGATACACATGGTGATATTTCGATTCACCCAAACCCAAGAACAAGAGCAATGTCTGATGGGAGGAACAGGGCCACCGAATGGCACATTCTGCTGGCCACCGGGCAAGCCATTCGGTGTGGCCTGTTCGAAACGATAATGAAGCCCTGGGCATAAGGCGCATGGTTCGACTCTATATGGAAGATGGCCAATCCGTTTGCGTAGATCATCCAGGCATCGTAGGAGATATACACCCCCACTCCGGTCTCTGGAATGGAATCATGCACCCGAGCCATATACTACCAGTCTCCCAGGATTATCTGGATGCGTGTGGCTTCTAGGCGCAACTCCTGGTTGTAATGGTCCAGGCGTTTGATACTGGCTTTCCGTGGAAATTTCAAGTTCGTCTCAGAAGGCACATCCGGAATTCCCACAACGATGTCGAAACCGCTTGACTTTTTGTATCTCTTTTTGAGCGCCACCTGACTAACGGCTACAAGCGACAGATTGACCCTTTACAGGGTCCATTGCAGGATCGGACTTTCCCAATGCTTTTTCATGGGTTGAGGCTGGGCGGAAGCCAAGATGTATCTGGACCTATAAGCTTTTGATGGTGACCGTATTGTGTCTTCATAGTTAGCATATATCATACACTCTCTCAAACCTGGAGACTTACTAACGGATACGACAGGACTTGCGAGGAACGAATCCAGAGCACCCAGTAGAAAGGGGGAGGTTCCATTACCGCAGATGATGGAGGGGGCACGATGAAGAGGCAGAAGCCTAATAATAGTTTTGGGGTGCGTGTAGCCCATTCTGCCCACCATGCCCAAGGAGCCATGCTGTTTGCTGGACATTTCTGAGCTGTATATCCCAAAAAGCAAAAGGCACCACCTGCGAGACCTGCGAAGCAGGAGTGGTCGAAGCCATGTAAAGTGCTGCGATGTACGTCAGCTCGTCTTCGCTAACATGAAGACTTTATCACATTGCTGCCGGACTAGCATCCTCAAAGGGGATGAATAATGGCACAATGATATGCTGTGAAGATCTCTCCCGATTGTAACCAGATCCCGAAATGGCGATATTGGAGGGGGTCTCTCAGGATCAATGCGTTGCGATGATAGAGTTCTATACTTTTACTTCTTGACCTCCTGATGGGCTTTCTTAGCCTCAGCGTTTGCACAGTACGGGCACTGGTAGTGCATAGATGGTGCCCAGAATTGCGCGCAACCCGCAGGCCAGTTCTCCAGGTTGGATCGGAAGACGTTGGCTGGGTGAACCAAGTCTTCCGTGAAACTGCCACATATAGTAACGTTTTAAATTCTCATCGGGCTTGCCACGAGAAACCATCGAACCTAGGGATCATCGACTATCATCGCATAAGCAACGGTGACTGAAAGATTCCGAGAAGCAGCCATGGTCGGTTTTCGTGTATGGTATTTGGAGTCCAACTGTGACTTTCATTGGAAATTTTCCCTTCTGGATACTCTTCTTGGGGCGTCCAGAAATTTCCAGGTAATCCAATTGCATCCCTAGAGCGATATACACAGTGCGTTCTAAGTAGGCATAGAATTTGCACTCCTCATCTCTTCTTACAAGTAATGCTCGAGAATAGGACTGGATCCATCCCGAGTGCTTGCTGGACGCGTGAGTACTGCGTGATCCCCAGGATTCTCATATCTAGCCTATAAAATCCGGCGTGGGAATCGTACACTTTTTGTCTGCGTTTCTTTTTCGACTATTAGTGTCATTCTGCCATCGAACTGGGCTGCTGGGTTGCACTGTCTTGTGAACCCCAGAAAAGTAATCTTGCGCTTTTGTCTTTGTAGCGATCAAAATAGACCGGGGGGTAATGATCTGTCGCGTTCGAAGCAAACACCTTTTGGTTTAGCACCAGATAGCCCAGAGAAAACGATCCGTAAAATCTCAGGGCAAAATCCGTGCAGGAATGTTGAAGTGTTGTTTGATGCCTATCGAGAGTGTTCCGACCTGGAATATCCGCGAGGTCCTCTGACAATAGAACAATAGATATTGCAGAATAGATTGCTTGATCATGAAGTCTTGGATACTCGATCCCAGATAGATTCAAACCAGTCCTGGCTTCTTCCTCAGTTCTCGAGGAACCGTTTGGTAGTCGGTTTCCCGATATTGAGTCCCATTGTGGTGAAGATAAATGGGTGGATCTTCTAGACCTCATTTGCACGTGTCTGGTTGACGACCACCGATTTACTCGACATTCATACGGCGGTGTCCTGTCTTGCCACAGCATGAGCAACCTCGAGCGAGGGCGCGTCGCAGGCTGATGTGGGGATGGATTGTGGTATTTCCGAAGAATATCTTGCGTATACGTGAACGCAACAGGTAACGTATATATAAAACCAAGGCCATGTGTAGTGCCCACTGCATCCAGTGAAGTGGCATAGACAGAAGACAGGCGTCTCAAGATGCGTGACTGAGAGTTGTGGCTAAAAAGGATGTTTCATTGCTGAGACCCTAGAGAATCGAACTTCAGCACCGAATGATCTCGACTCTTTCCGCTTATCTCTTGGTCTGCATCTTGTTTGGGGGTGGAATAAATTCAACCAGATACCAAGATTACACCAAGGGAGCAGGATCAGAAACCCCCATAGTGAATACGCCATGTTAGGATGCCCTTCGGGGGTTTCTCCTTGTCGCTGAATCGGAAATAGTGAGCGAACAGGATGACGTATTCGCTCTGGATATGGCACCGTCATATCAAGACTTGGGCCTTTGAGGATCACTTTTGAAATCGATAGGAGCACTGATGCCGTACACGGCAAGCAGAGCCAGATCAACCTGTGCTCTGTATGGTGGAGTATCATTGTGCGAACGTGATGTGGCAGGACTATGCCCGAGTTATAAAGCAGACGGGCTGGAATACCATGAATCCACTGGGCGGTATTGAAATTTTGATTGAGGAATGCAAAAAAGTGCCATGGGGCATCTTTTTCAGTCAATTAGCCTGCTGCATCCGACAATGTGCGGATGGATAAGACGTACCAGGTACTCTAGTCTCGTAGAAGCAAATAGACGGCAGCTCCAGTCCGGAATGCCCCAACGCAGAGTAAACCAGCTAGAATTGCGCCTCTTCATGGCCTCCCAGAATGGAGGTCTTTTCGCCTCGCACATGATGACTCTCTTCGTTGTACTGCTCTGAGATGGCTGACCGCAATGTTCGTTTTTGTCGAGGGGGGGAAAAGGTCAGCGTTCGTGTCCAACACTCGGGCACAGCTCTGGCACCATTGCATAATAAGCATCAATTGAGCTGCTGAATTCGAATTCCAGCAAATGACCCCTGCGGCATGCCTGGAGTACACAGTCGATTAGGGAACGGGAATTGTTTGGGCCACGCACTATGACCACAGCCGCTGCGGCAGGTTTGTATATTTCCAGCAGCCTCTGATCCTGCAGCATCTTTTGTCCGGAAAGATATTCCGTATCGTGGCCCGGACCGTTGGGATGGTTTAATCCATCAATTGCATCTGGTTTCGGAATGGACCCTTGCCATGATCTCAAAAGTTCTCCAGCATGTATCTGGGATTGCACCCAGACGACATGCCACTTGTTTGCTTTGTCTTTCATCGGTTTCTGTTTTGTATGTGATAGCGAGCTAGAGACGGTCAGTCAATGATTCTCATATGCGGATGGATGGACCTACCTCTGAGCTTTTCTGCGAGTGATATGTGCAAGGGTAAGATTGCCACCTGAGCTAGATCATAAACATCTGCTCTTCACTCTTCAGCACAGCAGAGGATCAAGGAGGTTCTTCATTTCATCTGCAAGTCGCACGAGGAATTGACCCATTTTGGTTTTCCTAGATTGGACAAAGAGAACCAGAGACGAACCGTCCTCTGTCGGAGGGCAGCAAATGCAATAGCCGAAAGGATGACCACATATATAGCGTCCAGAAAGATGAAGTAGCGATTGAAGAGTAGATGCCATATTGGGATTGGAATTGGCGCGAGGAGATTCTCTTCTATCGTCTCTAGGTTGACGACATGTCTTGCGTATATCATTCGATTCAGGCTCGATCTCATACAGCACACCCAGCATCATCTGGTGGATTTCGCTTTCGTTGAAAGTCCATGACTTTCTGACCATGTCGGCTCCATATATAATAATGCAAATGTACCATGAGGAGATGTCTTTCATCATGCTTGAGTCCCGATGTAGGATTATCTGTATCGCCAGCTCAAACAACCTGTCAGTGTGTCGTTGTCTCTCAGTGTAAAGCACTCGTAAACACATCCGGATACCCAGGGTGAAACGCCCCCTAGTCCTTATAGAAAACTGTTCCTTGATTTTTACTTAGTATATAGCAGAATATTAAGGCGAGTATAAGATGACTTACTGGGGATGGTAGCCCTTCCACAACCACCCGATCAAGCCAGTTGATCGTCCAAACGCTTCCCTGCTAATAGTGAATGCAACAGGCAGTCAGGAATTCGGAAGGGCCACCGACCAAAGGTCAATAACCTCCGCATTTGTGTTTCTTGCATATCGCAACTAGAAACAACGACCAGGTAAGCCATAGACATTCTTTTTCTGTGTCCCGTCGAAAGCGATGGCTTTAAAATGATTCATCACTCAGATGAAGTTGATGGATCATCTGGGATTGACTGGGGCAGTCTGGTTGATGTATAGTATTTGGTTTCCGAATAGGATCCAGACCTTCTGCTTCTCTTGTTATCCAGAAACTTGATGTTTCTGACTACATGTCAAGGACCTTGTCCATCATTGTCCTTCATCAATCGACGTTCCTCACAGTCATTGATTCGTTCGCGAATACAAGCTCCGCAGTTGAGAATTTCTGAAGCTCTTTTGTGAGCCAGTCTCGTCTGTAACCGCGTGCTTAAATTCAAGGATGGTTCAAGAATAATTACACGTGTACAAGGCACGGAGTGACGTAGACTTCGAATGCTCATAGATGTAGGCTTTGGGTCGGTCTTTACGAATCCTGCTGAGTAGGGATTGATGCCTGAACAACGGGAACATGGGAACGGGCAGGACCTTCGCTTGTCCTTTCACTCGCAGCGCTAAGAGACGGTCAAAGTCATTCCAGAACTAAGTCCTGGTGTGCCATGGCTGGCCGGATTTATGGGCAGTTTCTGATAGTTGCTGGGTGGCGTTTACCGGTTCGGACACCTTTTCAATGAACTTTCCGATAAGAGCTGCCTCGATGCCGACTTTGAAGGTATCGGCAGGGCCGGCAGCCAAACGGTATTGCTTCTCGTATACTATCCAGGACCGAGGGACATTGAGAACTGATATATTCCGGTTGATGAAGTATAGAACACCGTCAGGGCTTCTAGAGCAGGAACATGAAAAAGCAATGCTTTTGGCTGTGCTAATAGCATCGTTGGACAACAGCGCAACATCGCAGAATCTTGTCATTTGTGTGAGCCACGATTTGTGAGACCGACCATTATACATTAGCATCAATCATGATAGCATTGCTCGGACATGACTCACTGGATTCCTTGGATCGATTGAATTAAAGTACCAAAAAGAAAATCAAATTTCAATAGCAGTTTCTGCAGTTGATTCTCTGGTGGTATTTCGATCATTGATCATGATAGTCCAATCGTACTCGCCGACAACGACCGTATTGAAAATGAGAGAAATCATTTTGGATTCGTCGTAGATCGAATCGTCCTCCACTTCAATATGGCCTGAATATATTAGTCCATGTATATATTTGTATAAGGTGGTTTGCTTACTCCAGATATTGTGCGTCCACGGACAGTCAGCAGGACAGGACACAACAGCACCAGTCTAGCACGACGTCTGTTGCGTGTGCAGACGGACAGCAATACTCTACTCAGCACATATCCGATGAAGTAGCTTGCGTCCAAATGGAATGATGTGCCAGTATTCCATCTGGTTCATGCCCCAACACACGACCACCTTGCCTTCGGACGATTTCGAAACCCAGGGAGCCGCGAGCTGAGATAAAAAGACAATCCAAAGTGAGTCACAAGATTTGTTTCGGCAATGTATGGATGTTTCGTGTGAGATAGAACTTACGATTTGAAGGTAGAATAGGGCGTGAACTCATGGGATCTGGGAGTGAGATATCTGTGTCTTTTTTCTATTAGTACCCAGTAGTGCCAAATGGATAATCCATACCAATCGGAAATATATTCTCTGGCTGTTTCCATATCCAAGAGGCATGAGCCAGGGAAATCCTCTTTCCAGCGTATTGTCTCGACTCAGGCCAGACGCTTCGTATTTCGCGGTAGGATAGACTCATTGTTTTCAGTGCCCTTGGGCGACTATACTGGAGATTAGTATCTGACGTCGGATATCAATGGAAATATAGTGCTCACCTGCAGTCTCAGTCCATTAAACATGTATACCCTGAGTGGGAATAGCTGGCGTAGAAGTAGAAGCACCAGTTCCTCACTCGATGCTCGTTTCTGGTACCGTTTGGGTATCGAAAGAAGAAACATAAATCCTCATCGGGGTCTAAAGCCATGATCTGACCCTGCGTTGAGTCCACGTTTGACCTTTTCAGAGCATAGTGGCTGCACCGTTGCAAATCCGAGAATTCAAACACAAGAGGTAGTTAGATACCCGCAGATATTTGGCTTTGCTTCCCAGTGAACGGAGCCCGACGATCTCCCATTCCGGATAGATTGAGTATCTCGAAGGTGAATTCCACGGATTTACTGACTTTTCCAACGGCGAGAGGTATTTCGTAGTATACCTTTCCGCCGATGGGCGCTGGGGCTTCAAGGGGTCTGAGTCGCCAAGGTCGCCATTCTCAGATCAGTCTCCATCAACGAGATATCTCGTTTTGGCGTGAGTCGATTCCTTGTGGTATGTGGTCTTTGGACGATTCGCTCAAGTCTGTAGTCTGGAAGGACGAGAATGTGTCTGTATTCACTGGGATCATCCGTTTCCATCTGTGGGTGTGTTTGGAGACCACATGGCCCGTAATTTCTGCCCTTTCGTAAGATGATCAGCAGGAGGTGAAGCTGATGCCCGACGAGCTGTTGCAAGCAGTACCTGGGTTGATACTTTGTTTGAGAAATGGTTGAATTGACGCATCTTGTCCACCGAACGCCCTATACAAAGATTAGTACACTCAATCGAAAATGAAGGGTATCTTACAACCGATGGACTTCCATTGTCCTCGGCCCCTCTGGTTTTCCATTTCGGATAGAGTACTATCCGATGGCTTTTGGATATCTATAATGTGAAGCTGGATATGCTATTGCGCAGCGACAGGACAAGACACGGCGATCTGAAAGCACGATTAGTATCAAATACTCAATCATGTACTCAAACATCGATGTATCGTACGGGATCACACGACGAACGCGCCGAAGCGCAGGCAGAACAACACCTGATTATTGTGCCGCATAGCTGATATCTTTACGAGACCTGCGTCTCGTTCTGCCAGTTAGAATGCTGGCCACGTCAATCGGCATCGGAACATGAACAAACTAGATTCCACCGTGGTTTTCGACAGACCATCAGGCGCAGAGATGTGTTGACCGGCTTGCCACGAGAGAGGTTGTCCGATGGCGAGATCCGTTCTATTTCTGTCAGCACAGTCATGAAAGGAGGAAGCATACTTGCATCCATCGTAAAGCTCGCGTACAACTAGTCAGTTAGCATATCACTCCAGGAAAGATAGAATGGACATACCAAAGGAAGATCGACCATCATGTCGACAATCATCCGACGTCATGTCAGCTGCAGTTCGGGGATAAACAATTCAGCGTTGGATATTCCAGGCAGTGTCCTATACATCGTAAGCAAGCGACATTAAAAGGATTATCATGGACAAACTGGGCTCTAACATGCCATGACAGAACCGGCATGCCGTCCCTGTTCTTCACCACGGAGAACAGGAAGTTATCGTAGGAGAGATTAAATTTTCCCGTCGAATCTTGGTTCCAGAAATGATGTGCGAGACTGGGCTTGACGAGATATTCCAAAAGTATTCGAAAGGGCATCTGGTTGCCGTCCAGTCGGCATGTACCCCAGGCAGTTCGAGGGATATGGGCTGTGGGGGAGAATAAAACGAGTATCAAGTCAAATACGAGGGATTCAGATGAGATAGCAACCATGATGATATCGCCCGAGGATATATAAAGTGCAGTATGAAATATATATACAATGGATGGAGATATACGAAGAGTAGAGAAAATGGGAGAGTACTACAACCCCTTTTATAATACGAATTCTACGTGAGTGAATTGTAGGAATAGGCAGTAGGATATTTACATTCATTGTCTTACTTAGCATTCATTCATCCCTCCATTGCATGCAGTCTGTTTGCTGCATCTATAGTTAATAAAGAATGGCGCATCTGCCATCTATACACAGTAGTTAATATGGCGATGAATGACATCATATCTCTACTCCACCCAGCGTCATAATGATGATGTCGTCAGATATCAAAACAGGATACAACAAAAGACAAAATAATAAATAAGAATAATATATTCATCTTCACAATGTTCCAACACACTCTCATCGACTGCATCATGTCCAAACACCACGTTCCGCGTCTGCATCAGTAAGTCACCACACCATCTATACCGACAATACCGACAATACTAATAACCTCAAGACTGGGAAAATGGATGCCCTCATCGCACAGCATCCACCGCGACTGGCTCGGCGAGATCATCACCCACGTCGACCAAAACCCTCGCGACCTGCACCCCGTCCTCGTCGAATTCCAAGACCTCATCGAATCAAACACCCGCGTTTACCTCCTCATCTCGTCCATGTTTGAAGAAATCCCCCACAAAAAGCCCTACTCGCAGGATCCAATCGGCAACCCGCAGATCCGCGACTATCCGCATCTGCTGCAGGTGTTGAATCACCTGCTCACCACCGCGCCTTCATGGAGCGACGATGCGCATCGTGTTCGTCAGGTCGGATTGCCCATCCACGCGGTGCTCGACTGGCCGATGGGTACGCCGAGTGGATATGCGGCATTCCTGGATCCCGAGGTGAATAAGATGATCAAGAAGATATTGAATGCGTGGGGGGAATTCCTGCGCTCGGAAGAGTCCGCCGTTGTATTGAACGATTCTGAGACGGGCTGGTTTGGGAACAGTGGCAGGGAGTGTCTGGCATTGGTGGGCAATGTCGGGCATGATAATGGCACCTTTGATCCCGCGGCCCATTCTCCGTTTGAGACGCTGTTTGTGTGTGATCCGTCAGCCAAGTATCACGGTTTCACATCGTGGGATGACTTTTTTACCCGCCAGTTCAAGCCGGAAGTGCGACCTGTTGCAGCACCGGGTGATAGCAGAGTCATTGCCAATGCGTGTGAATCCCAGCCATACAAGGTCGCCCACGATGTCAAAGGACGCGATCGATTCTGGGTCAAAGGACAGCCATATTCAGTCATCGACATGCTGGCTCACGATAGTCTGGCCACCCACTTCATCGGCGGCACAGTCTACCAAGCCTTCCTCAGCGCATTGAGCTACCATCGCTGGCATGCCCCCATCACCGGGAGGATCGTCAAAGCCTACGTCGTCGATGGGACGTACTATTCCGAACCGCTGTTTGAAGGCGTCGGCAACCCGCAGGCCCACAAGCAGGACATCGACATGACCGGAGAAGTCACCGCACAGGAATTCATGACGGCCACGGCGACCAGAGCGGTGATTTTCATCGAATCGGACGATCCGGCGGTCGGGCTGGTTGCTTTTCTGGGTGTTGGGCTGACAGAAGTGTCGACGTGTGATATCACCGTCAAGGAGGGCGAGTATATTCGCAAGGGAGACCAGTTGGGCATGTTCCACTATGGTGGGTCAACATACTGTCTGCTCTTCCGGAAGGAGGTGAAGCTAGAGGGATTCCCTAATCCGGATATTAATCGGAATGTATTCGTCAGGAGTCGACTTGCTGTTGTCAAATAATAACATAACTCATCATATTCATGTATATAACCTCATATATAGCTGTATCAAAGAGTATACTTAAACAAAGGCGACTTATCCCCCATATCCAACAACTGCTCCTCGCTGTACCTCTCTCGCACCTCGTCCTCCCCAATCCTTTCTTTCCTCTTATTCCCCCAGATATACGACGTCTCCAATATCAACGCCGCTATCAACCCACTCCCTCCAAACGCCAGACTCAGTCCAAAGCCAGTATAGTACTTTGGACTCTCCGAGTCAATGTACATATAACTCCCGATGATACCACCGATATTCCCAATGCAGATGTTAAACGCTAGCCCGATGGCACGCCGACTGGACGGGGCGATGTTATTCGCTGTCCAGGAGGTCGTGGCCGGATGGATGGGATAGATGCCCATGCAGGTGAGGATGACGGCGAAAAAGGCGCCGCCCACGTTCTCGGATAGAGCGCCGTGGAAGGAGATGATCACGCCGTAGCCGATGGCCACGAGGATCAGCGGTGCGGCGACGAACGGCATGCGCCAGTAGAATCTGTCTGAGAGGACGGAGAAGAAGACGGCGGATAGAGCGCCTGCGACGTAGGGAGGGACTGTCATCAGCTGGGCGTTGGTGTTGGTGAAGCCCATTGCTTTCGTGATGGTAGGAAGAGTGAATTTCGTCCCTATACAGTTAGTATCTTGTATAGAGAGGAGTAGAGAGAGGGAGGTACCGTATGAACAAGCACTCTGACATAGCAGAATATACGCCAACAAATACAACCTCCAATTCATAAACACCATCTTCAAATCCTTCCATCTCACCTTCCCATCCTCCTTCGCCTGCTCCTTCATCATCCCCCCCTCCTTGATAAACATCTGCAACTCCAGAAACCGTATCTCCTCTGCATCCAACCACTTGGTCGATAACCGCGGTGAGTCAATCAACAAAAAGAAACACGACACACCAAGACACACAGTGGCGATGCCCTCGAGGATGAAAATCCACCTCCACCCCTCGTACCCACCTACACCGTCCATTTCGGCGATGGCGGCGGCGAGGAGGCCGGAGAAGGCGCCGGATAACGCACTCGCGCAGTAGAATATCGCTAGCCGCGTGGAGAGGACTTTGGGCATGTACCAGAATGTGCAGAGATACACGGCGCCAGGGAAGAAGCCAGCTTCGAAGACGCCGAGTAGCACGCGGACGACCATTAGGCCGGCAAAGTTCTGCACGACGCCCGTCATGGTCATGATAGTTCCCCAGCAGACGATGAGGATGCCCAGGTATATGGATGGGCGGGTGAAGTTTTTGAGCAGCATGTTACTTGGGACCTCTACACCACATTAGCATTCATTTTTATATTGATAGGAAGAGGAGGGACGTACCCAGTAAAACATACGGAACGAAAAAAATACTCAACACAATATTCCACTGAATCCCATCGAGCCCAAGATCATCAACTAAGCCTTCGATCTTGGCGTTGCCGATATTAGCTCGATCAAGATGCGAGATCAGATATAGCACTGCCAGCATCGGCACGAGACGGATGTCAATCTATATACACTGTCAGTCAGCCTCACTATACAAGATCGATAAATAGGGTGGGTGCATACCTTCCTGATCAACGCCTTCCGCCTATCCTCTGTAAAATTAACATAAAAATCCGCATCGTCACCATCCAGTCCCAGAACCTGAAAGTTATCGATGGTGGTGATTCTGGGTGCTTTTTCTTGGTGTACTGCGTCGGTGATCTTCTCGTCGATATCTGCCATGGTCATCTTGGTTTCTTCTTCTTCCTTCTTTCTTGTTTGCTTGACCGACTTGACTGATCCATGTTGGAGGTGATGATGGTTATATACACAAGCGGAAATCCACCAGCGGAAATGCCACCACTGTCTACATACTGTATAGCCAGTTCCCCACGCCAAGACTGCCAAGTTTGCGGGGTAAATTGTGGAGGAGAGCTTGGCGCTCACTTTGATATGGCTTGTTCTGGTCATCTGTGCGTACGCCACGAGGATGTATTTCCGTGCTGGTTTCCGGCGGATTTGTCGAATCCGCTTCTACTGTAAACAAGTGAACGGAAATGTGATTGATTAGTGCTATCTAGCTAATGGAAGGCTAAGTTCTCGCGCTGCAATACCACATCTTGACTTCATCTTCTGGCTCCTCCTCGGTGTCCATTGCCATCTCGGTGTATCTGCGTTGACGCGCTGCCAATCGCTTGGCTACTTCGTTGGCCTCGTGGAGACTGACCAGCTTTCGCTTTTTGCTGTCGTCTTTCATCGCCTCGCGGCACATGTCGTACATGATCTGGCGCTGGCTGCGTTGGCGGCGGGAATGCTCCACGGTAAAGTACTCTGCGGATTTGTCCACTGTCGCCTTGCACTCGTCCATGTCTCTCTCCTGCCAATCTGGGTCATGTCTGGGAATATGCGGCGGGGCCACCGTGGCTTCATACAGCCAGTTGTCGACGGCGATTTCGAACGGCGTCGATCCCGTCGCGTTCTCGCGGTAGACCAGGTCCGGGCGACGTTGGATCATCATCTCCAGCTGCCTTGGCAGGAGATGCTTGATTGCGTTGTGCAGGGGGGTGTTTCCGGAGCCGTCGAGTACGCCCAGATGTTCTTGGCCGGTGGAGTCGGCGAATTCGAGGAAAGCACGCATCGCGGCTACCTTTTCGTCTGTTTCGTTGTTCATGTCCAGGTTGAATGAATTGCACCGGGGGCTCCATGTGCGATCCTGGACTTCATGCATCCATCGCGCAAGCGGAGTCGCTGAGCCCGGCTCGTCGGACGACCGCTCCGTGAGCAACGACGGAACCAATCGCGGATCAAGCAGTTCAAGCAACTCCTTCAGACCGTCTGGCTTCGTACGCGCCTCTCCACCCTCTTTCCAGAGTAGCAGATGGATCACGTTGTTGCCCTTGCGGTCGCGAGCGGCCTGGTTGGCGCCGGCGTTGATGAGAATCTCAGCGTAGCTCTTCCGGTGCAGCGAGAACGCAAGGGTCAGAGGCGTGTGGCCTTCAAGTGACTTGGCCTCTAGACATTCCGGTACCTGTTTCACCAGATACTCTATCAGGCGGCACGATTCATCGTCCGGCCTGGCCATGACCGCGCAGTGCAGGACCAGCTCATCTAACTCGTGAGCTACACTCTATCTATGAATGGATGGATACTTACTTCTCATCCCCAGCCACTTTCCGATAGTACCCTCCAGTCCACCAGTCGACTTTGCCAGCGCGCTCAACTTGTCATCCTGCTCATGCGCCTTTGCAAACTCGAGATAGTACCGCGCCGGCGCCGTTCCCAAGAACCACTCGGTGCTGTTCAACTTACCGTTGAATGCAGCCCTCAGCAGCGGTGCATGAGTGCTCTGGAATCGCGACTGGAACTCCCTTCCAGCCGATGCCCAGTCCTTGTGCTTCTGGCCATGGAAGGTGAGTCCGCGGTAGTATCTGGTCTTTGGTTTGACTTCAATGCCGCTCTTCTGCACCAGCTGGTCGAGGGGAAAGCCAGCACCACCGCGCTTGATCAGCTGCTCCAGACACTGCAGGTGGCCAAGTCTGATTGCCAGTTCGTAGTAGCGTTCGTCTGCTTGGTATACGTTGGATTCATCTTCCGAGTCTGCTTTTGTCAGTTCTTGACAGAGGTCAAGCAAAAAGACCAGCATCTCGATGTTTTCAGTCGCAATCATGTATTCGATGAGATCGTATGGCTCCCTCTGATCGTCTGAAAATCTCTTAGGAGTCTTCTTCTGCCCGAGAGGATCTGCTAGTTGAGTCACTGGGAATCGACTAGACAGCAACAAGATAGGTGCTGCATCGGTGACAACCTCGGTGTCCACCTCGCCGATATTGTCGACGGTGAATTCATCATCGACATCCTCACCAATCACATTGACATCGTCTTCCGACTCATCATCGCTGCCTTCTTCCATCTTGTATCTCTTTTCACGGGCCTCCTTTGGCTTGTACTGGCTCTTGGCAATGTCAATGATTCCCCTGGCAACACCCTGGTGTCCACGGAGAAGCGCAATGGAAAACGGCGAGGAACCACAGCTATCCTGCACGTTGATCTGGAGAGGAGAGTTGTCCTTTTTCGGACCAAACGCCCACAGACCCAGGGTAAGGGACTTGATGGCATCCAAGTCGCCGTTCCACGCAGCCTCGTACCTGTGCAATGTTAGCGTTGAGTGAGAATAGAAGGAGTCCACTTACAATCTCAAATATCCATCTTTCCTCACATCAGTCAAATCCGGAACGGTAAATGTCAACTTCACTTCGAACGGCCCAGGCTTGTAATCCATAGGCCTGTATGGGTCATAATTAGACGGCTTCTCAAAGTCCGGGTGAAGTTGATAAAACTGCTTTGCCCCCTTCTCGATCAACGCAGCCTCCAATTTCTGGTACTCGGAGAGAAGACTTTTCACTGCGGCCATCTTCTCATCCCATCCCTTTGGAGCTAATCCTTTGACAGCTTCATTGTACCTTCTTTCCGCGTCCTCGTTCTCCTTTTTTGCTGCCTGGAGTTGGTTCCTGGCTGCCCACATCTGGTAGGTGCCTTCCTGGAATACATTGAGATAGAATTGATCATCCTCCTTGATAAGGGGTACACTCAAGGCGTGAAGTTGGCGCATACCCTCAGCTTTCTCGCCGCGGTATTTGCGCAGAGACTTGATTTTCTCCTGGACACAATCGAGCAAAGATTCTCCTTTGGTGTACCTGCGTTTTCTCTCATTGGTGATGATACCGTGTGCAGCACCGGTAAGCGTATTCGGATCCACGCCATGGGCAAGCAGTTCCAGTGCCACAAGAGGAAGTTCCTTCTGCACTGCGAGGATGATAGGCTGGCTGATCGTCTCTCGGAAGTATTCCAGGTTTCTCTCGGTTGTGCTATGATTGACCCAGCTATTCGCCAGTTTAGCAGACTTCAAAAACTGCTCAAACTTGATCGACGGGTCGGAGCCAAGTTCAAGAAGCCGAAGGGCTTCGGTTGGGCTCCTGGCATTGATCGCTGTCCCAAATGCCGAATACACACTATGGTTGTACCGATTGCCCTCAAAGGCGAGGTGGTTAATTACTCGCTTCACAGCAGGTTCGTTGTAGTGGAGGTATAGATCCAGCAGCTCGGTAGAAGAAGTAGCGGCAAGATAGTGCAAAGCTGTATGACGCTGCACATCGGCCTGAGCTGGAGAGGCACCAAGTTGCAGAAGTTTCTCCGTGATTGGTTTCGCTTTTTCCAGCGGCAGACGGAGTGCGAGGGCCAAAGTCAAGATGGCATATTGTGCGGTCTTGTTATCGTTCATAAGCTTGACGGGCATCAGAACATCAGCACCGAAAGAAGAGACAAGCTCTTCGATCACGTCGATATGACCGTTGAGGATGGCCAGATGGAGTGGAGTGGTTTTGAAATCCCAGGATGGTATGTTGATGTCATAAATGTCGGGCTCGAGTTCATTTTCGCCGTCGAGCATAGCGACATCAGACTCGACATCTTCATGCCGCACATCCACGTAAGAGGAGGTGGCGGAAGTACTGTCATCCATGTTGACGAAATCGCCATCTTCATCCAGCTCGCTCTTCTCCTTCTTCTCTTCGATCCGCTTTTGTTTCTTGGATGCTGACTTTGCGTCTTGTTTGTCGTTTTCTTCCTCCTCGTTCTGTCCGCTCTTGGTAAGGAGGATTCTCACAATCTCCACACTGCCACGAGCAGCAGCCATATGCAACGCGGTTCTGCCATCCACCACACGGGCAATCAACCGGGCGCCATGGTCGACAAGGGCTTGAACAATTTCCGGTGTAGATGTCATGCAGGCCAAATGCAGGGGTGTTCTGCCAGTGTAGTCGCGGGTGTTGGGATCGGCTCCGTCTTGTGCCAGCCAATTCTTGACTCCTTCGAGATCATGTTCAACGATATCGTGGCACAGACGCTCGGTATTTCCAACATAGGCCATTTCTATACAGTTAGCAATGGTATATAGAATGAAAGAGAGTCACTTACCAGTCCAATCAGTGTCGGTGATCGGGTTGAAACTTCCAATAGCCTGGCGACCAGGGTCATCCTTGATGAAGGAAACATCCCCAGAAATGTAGGTCTTGCTTTCTTCCTCTGCCACCTCCTTCTCCTCATCAGTGACCGGCTTGGGGCAGTCACCACAGCAGTCATGCATCACGTCCGCGACGTAACCGAAAAAGGCCGGATGACGGTGGAGATGGACCTTTCGATCCTTGGGCTTGTTCCACTCGGCATTGAGCAGCAAGTCCTTGGTATACAGCAGCTTGATGATCCTCCGAGCATGGAACCTTTCACCGTATGGGATACTCTTCAAGAGGTTAGTCACGCAACAAAGCAAGAACGTGGAGTCTTACAAAAGTGTTGTAATCAGAGATTTCATCCTCCTCCTGCCAATCGGGAGTTTCATCTTCCCAGATATCTTTGATGTTTCCGTGTAACTTATTCGACCGGCTGTACGTGTTCGGATTCGGTCTGCCACGTTCAGCTCGTCGTTTGATCAAATACGTCTCTCGATCTGAAGTCTTGGGAAGCTTTTCCAAAACGAGCAGACGGGCAAGACCGACTGTTCTGGCAAAGCTTCTTTCAAAGATGGTCTATACAATCAGTAACCATCTACTACATCAAGGTTCAGACTCACAGGATCAATCCTCGACCGCTCCAGCTGCGGCCAGTACACCTCAAACCCACGATGCGAGTACTTGGACAGCCGGTTCTCATAAGAAGGCGACCGACGCGTCAAGTCGACCTGATTGGTCTGGGTGATATACGAGACCAACGCACGAGGAGACACATAAACCTGCTTTCCATCGTAGACCGCACAAGAACAATCAACATCAAACCCAGTCAGAATCTCCGCAACGGACTTGTAAATCCGCAGAACAATCTGCACATGGCGCGTCGGATACTGCGAGACAATCGTAATAGTGTTCTTGGTCCGCACTGTCGTCGTCTCGTACAGAATCGCATTACTGATTCGATCCGCAATCTGCTTAATCTTCTCAACCGCCTCGTCCTCGCTCAGTCCGTAAATGAACAAATCCACATCCGACGCCGGCGCAAACTGCTCATGGTAGAACTGGCGCAGCGCACGTTTCGACGCACGGTGTTTCTCCGGAATCGGCATGAGGGACGTAACCACCGCACTGCCTGCCACCACCACATTGCTCCAGTCCAGATCACTCAGTGAACCCTCGGAGAAGATGGAAAAGTTATTCTGGAACTCCTTGATCGTCGGCACCACGGCCGGCGAGCCATTCGGTCTGCGGTTCTCATCGCTGAGTGGGAGGATGTACCGCTGTGTCTCTTCTGGTGATTCCGAGGCTAGATCTCTAGCTCGGATCTGCGCACTCGTGGATCCTGCTTCGTCGTACACCGGAACGACGTTCAGATGGTTGTCTTGCAGGGCGGGGTGGGATGGCTCCTGGGCAAAGACTTTTCTGGCAACAGCGTCGTACTCATTGTACGGTTGGAGAAGTTGCTGGATGGGGGTATTAGGATGGGAATTAAGGTGTGAGAGAAAGTCGGCGTGTTTAGCTGGGACAGCGGGAAAGGAAGATGCTGCCATTGTGGTGGAATAGTATTAAAACAGTGCAATAAAAAAACTTCAAAGATTAAACCAAGCAAGCACTGATCTGACTTGAGAAACTGAAGACGAAAGCAAACAAAACGAACCGCGGATCAGCCCATCTTTTGAACCCAAAACGAAGATCCAGTGAGCTGTGTGAGGATTGCTACATCGGGTTAGCCCAGGCCCCAAGAGGCTGAAGCCCCACATCCCAGGCATCGGACCCACTCTGCGGCCTGGATACGATGCAAACCAGCCAAACACCAGGCAGAACCGAGCTTGTCTGGGCCAGATGTGGGACTAGCGGCTTGGCATGACTTCATTTGGGAAGAGCTAAAGAGAGCTGAGTTGAAGCTAGCCGGATGGAGACAAGCGTTGAGTTTGAGCTTTTCCAGGTTTTCTGTTCAAAATAATTCAGGCCACTATATGTACAAAGTGTGGCTGTATAAGTCATATCTAGGATATATAGTGATATCATCTTCATTCAACCCAGCAAACGTATCCTCCGTCGATGCATAGCCAACACAACGAAAATAAGCATCTCGGTCCTAGACACCACGATTAGCAAGCGCCTCGTATTCATGCAGATCACATACCTCTCCTTCAAGGCCATCATCAATCCCTGCACCAAGAATCCCTTGCTGATCTGGGGTAGTAGGCCTTTGTATAACCTCAACAGGCCTTCGTTTTTGAAAATGTAATGAAGAACTTCGGTGAAACTTCGAAACGGCTTTCCCTGTCGGCATTCCGGTGGTTTGGATTGGAGCATTGTCTTTGCTACGATTAGTGGGTGGGTGGCTATTGTGGCCATTACTTTGGAGAGAGCGCCGAGGACTAGTTGTGTTAGTATGTATGTATCCGATGGAATATGAGATGACATACTGAATGCGTCTTTCGAACTGATATTCTTCTTCGTGAACAACTTCCCCCGCAGCCATTGATAAGATCCATATGTAATCATCGGATTAATCACAAGAATCAGATTAACCTTAAACCCCCTCCACAACCCCGTCCAGCCGTCTTCGCTCTGAACAATCTCGACGATAGTCTCCCAAATACTTTTCTTCTCGTCATTCGCGTGACGAGTCTGCTGTCGTGTAATCACGACGGAGATGGGATTCGTGCAGAGCTGAGCCAATGCGCCACCGACAGCGCCTAGTCCCAGTTCTTTGGTGATACTGTTACTGTCTGTCTGATTGTACGATCGAAGGACGGATTGGTATGCGTCGCGCGCAGTCGCGGACCAGAAAAAGTAGGCAAAGTTCATCGAGGCAGTTCCTAACACTGAACTTCCTAGGCCGTTGTACAGGCCGGAAATGCCTTCTTCTTGGATTATTTGGCGGATTGCTTCGATGGCGTTGGCATATTGTTTTGGACCAGCGTCATCGGCCTTCTCTTCGTCATTGTCGTCTTGTTTCTGTTGCACCTGTACTTGTAATCGTGTTTTCACACTAAAATGTTAGAATTGCCTTATATGCAGGTAATCTCACGTACATATCTAGTGGATAGACAAGGACATTCGCCAGAATAGCCGCTGCAGTCCCCGACGCAACGCTTTCCCAGGGCGAGGGCTGGTGAGTATTTCCACTTTTTTCAACCATATCGAGTCGTATATTCTCATTACATGCCGTATGTTGACAAAAGTTGAACATTAGACACTTTTCAACGAACCCCCTCGTCGGACCGAGGCGGGGAGCGGATAGCGGGAAAGCGGACCGACTGAAGTATAACCAACCGAGTATCGTCAAAATCATAACAGTCCACTCGCAGTCGGAGTACAATTCAACAGATATTCAACTTCATTAAGTCTCATACTCGGTGTTCCTGTATCGAGAAATTCGCCCCCTGACGGAAGTCTAGGTGATAGCCCGGAAATGGCTTCTGGGTTGAATAACCACGACGGAGATGGCATGTTTGAAGGGCTTGGATCGGATTGATTCTGATTTCGACGAAGACTGGATCCTAGTTTTCCGTAGTCTACCATTGACCAGAAGATTCCTTCGGTTGCGGGGTCCAGATCGTCGATTTGGGAAGCTGGATCGAGGAGATGGGTATATTTGTATGATTGGGCGTGGAATTCGCGGAGTCGGATTGCCTGTCTGGTTAGTTGATATACATGGCAGGTTGTGGTGAACTCACCATGTTGGAAGCATGCGTCCATAGCCGTCCTAGTCTGTCTAAAGCGTCTACGCTTTCTTGGAAGTAATTCAGTGCATCTGAGGATTCAGATCCACTCTGGATGTCAAGATGGGAATACAGTGAAAGGATACCCCCAGGTATCGCTATGCAGTAAGCATAGAAAGAAGACTCGATAAAGCAGCCAGAGTCAGAGGCTTCTTTTAACAAATCCAACAGCTGTCTCGCATGTTCTCCACTCCCCTGCAGAGCTCTGGAAACAAAGCTAGCGGGAGTTTTGGACCCGAACGGTCTCAAACGCAGCCGTAAAGAAAAAGGGTGATTTAAAAGACAATGGCAGAGATGGAATATGGCATGGGCAAACACAAGATGCCCGACTTGTTGGTGGTCAACCGTTCCATCTGGTTGTAGATTCTCATGAATCAAATCAGAGATAGACTTGCTTCCAATATGCGAGTAGGTCTCGAGAAACAGGAGAGACGAGGTGATCGATGCAAATTCCGATTTCGTATCCCATGGAGGAATCTCATCAGCACCCCGTTTCTGGTGAAAGTATCTCGTGCAACGACCAAATATAGATGCCATCAGAATCGTCAACGCAAATGGACTAGGCGTTTCAGAAACATCCGTATTCCAACTCAACAGCTGTCCAATAGTCGGCGTCTTCTTCCACTGCCCATCTCGAAACGTCTGCTCATCACACGGAAGTTGAACATTACAATCTTCATCAAGAATAGCCAGTGGACGCGATTGTCCGCAGGAAATCAGCTTATCAACAAGATACGCAGACCAAAATGCCCGACGACGCTCTTCCTGCTCTGTATACGATAACCAACCTTCCGGCTCTGTCATCAGATGCAGATCTTGGGAGATGCGCGCAGCAAGGCCGATCTTCAACCATCCCGAACTAACTCGACCGGCTGTGACGTTAGCACATCTATACCGGGTAAGCTGGGATCTGGACAAACCGGTATAATCCACAATAGCAAGTAGGTTCACTGCTTGCACGACGTGTACATTCATGCTGTCTTCCACGGTCAAGTGGTCTGCTAGAACTGCCAGCCATGATTCCCGCGCGTATGTCTCTGACGCTTCGTGCGTTCGTCCGTTAAAGTATTCATGTGTCGAGAATCGCACGGCAGATGCTAGGACAGCGAAAACAAGGCATCGTGGAAGGAGGTTATTATCCAATCGTTGTCGAAATAGTGATTCTTGAAAGTAGGAATACGGCTGGTTGTGGACGCGTAGGAAATACGTATCGATCAGGGATTGAAGAACAGGGGATGGAGGGAAAGCATTGTATGTATTCTCAACAGACGGTCGGCGACGGAATGCAGTATCATTCGACGAAAAATCCTCCAGACTCGAAGAATCAGAAGCACTCCTATAAAATCAGCATCATCCCAAATACAATAAACGTAAACTCACCTCCGCCCAGTCTGCCCACTCAACTCCGCAAGCCGCGACTCAATCGTGCTAATTCTCTGCAACAGCTCAGCCTGACGCACCAACATTAGTATCTCATCCAATCCAATTCTTTCAACAACATACATTATCCGTCACGCCCACCAGCGACGAGGTCGGAGGCTGATCCCCGACCGTAGCAGAGTACGGCTCATACACGCACGACCGTTTATTCCGACGACAGTGGAAGCATATAGGACGTTCGCCGGAGCATTTTGTTTTCTTCTTCCTACACGTAAAAGCGGTCAGCAAGATACCTTCAATGTGTTTGTTTATTCAAGTCATTGGGAGCGTACCTGCAACTTGCGCACGCCTGACGAATGCGCTTAATATTCCCACCCTGGACAGAATCCACACGAAAGTCCATCGCAATGACACAGGGCGTGATGGCCAAGAGAGCGGAATCTTGAGGAGAAACGAAAATATGGGCGAATTTGGACTTGGAGGCGTTGAGGAGATGCGGGGAGCTGTCAGTACGGTATGGTACGGTATTGGGTGCAATTTGGATGATCCGATTGGGTGGACTAATACTTACCAGTATGGATGTGTTATGGGGCCTGGTAGATGCGGGGAAGATCCGTTGGTTAGCCGAGGATAGCCAGTCGGATAGATTATAAGGTTATTTAATTGGATTATATTAAGGGTTTAATGTTATAGAGGTAGAGAGAGTTTAGTAGATAGGAAGTGGTAATGTTGTATTAGTACCTGAATTATGATAGGTTCTCTGGATATATATAACTATCCGGTTGATGAGCGAGATAAATGAATTGAGTGTTTATGAAGTTGTATAGGATAGCTATGGAATATTCAGCTTCCTAGATCTACGCATCCACCAGATTTGACAGTTAGGTATAAATTAATCGCTCTGAACCAGAAATCAGACTCAACTACAACTTCACACCCCCCCTCCTCTCCGCATAAACATCCCAATCCACCTTCCTCCCCGCCTGAAACTCCTTTACTCCATACCCCCCATCTCTCTCAGGATGCATCATACTATCAAACAACTCCTTAATACCAGCAGCCTGTTTCTCGCCCCCCGCATGAGCCCACGCAAGCCTAACCAACTCCTTCGACATGCGCGACGCGTCGGGCGAGGAAACCTTCAACCGGACAAGCATATCATCTAGATGGGTCTGAAGCTGGGACTGATCGGCTGCGAGCTCGGATATCACACCCAACGCCTTCAACTCCGGTGCTGGGATAGGACGGGCGGAGAGCATGGCTTGTCGTGTGAAGGCGAGCCCCCATTCGCGGATGACGTATTTGGAGATGGCCGCTGCGCAGATCCCCAGTTTGACTTCGCTTAGTGTCATGGTGGCCTTTTTCGTGGCGAGGCGGATGTCGCAGGTGAATGCGAGGCCGACGCCGCCGCCGAATGCAGGCCCGTTGATGGCGGCGATGGTCACCTTGGGCGAGGTGTCGATTGTTTCGAAGAGGGTGGTGAGGCGGTGGAACTGGGCGGTGCTGGTGGAGGGGGACTGGGCAATGGGGGTTGAACCTTTGGCGAGGTCCATTCCGGTGCAGAAGAATTTACCATTTGCGGTGATGATGATGCGGGAGATGGAGGGGTTGGCGGAGGCGTTGGAGATGGTGGAGGTGAGGTCTGCGATCATGGATGTTGTCAGGGCGTTGCCGTTTTTGGGTCGGTTGAGGGTGATTTTGAGATTGACGCCGGATCGATGGATGAGCAGGCCGTCGCTGTCTTTGACGAGAGTCCATGATAAAGATGGCTTTGGCTTGGATATCTCGGATAGAGAGACGAGGCCTTCTTTGACGGCGATGGCGACGCCAGCGCGACTGGCGTTCGACTTGGATAGCTTCTTTGATATCCACACGCCTGTCTCGACCAGCTTCCTCAGATCAACACCAGTTTCAACTCCGGCATTCTGGAACATGTATACGAGATCCTCACTGCCCACATTCCCCTTTGCCCCTGGTGCAAATGGACATCCGCCTAGTCCGCCAACGCTGCTGTCAAACACGCGTAGGCCACAGAGATATGCTTCCCAGACATTAGCCACTGCCTGGCCGTATGTATCGTGAAAGTGGCCAGCTAGCTTGGCCAGGGGGATGTTATTCTCAGTAAGATAAACGATGAGACTGTGGACTGATGCTGGAGTGCCGACCCCGAGTGTGTCGCCCAGACTGACTTGGTAGCAGCCCATATCCAGCAGGGCGTTGACGCAGTGCAGCACCGATGATGGCGATGTCGGCCCATCAAAGGGATCAGAAAAGATACACGATACATATCTATACAGTCAGTATCATACTTATTCAAGCAGGATGGACATACCCTCGCACAGCAACATTGCCTTCTCTCGCCCTCTCTGCAACCATCCTGGCCCTCTGAATCCCCTCATCCACACTGCAGTTGATATTCGCTCTGCTGAACCCCTCCGTCGCACTCACAAACACCGCAACCTCCTTCACCCCATGCTGGACAGCAATATCCAACCCTTTCAAATTCGGCACCAAAACAGGAAATCTGCCATCCTCATCGTGTAATTTGCGTATCCCCTCACTGCTCAGTACATCCCGACAGTCTGCCAGTTGGGGAATTGCCCGCGGCGAAACGACCGATGTCAGCTCGATCGTGCGTAATCCGGTGTCTTTCAGCCGGTGGATTAATTCTAGTTTTGTGGCTGTTGGGACGGTGTCTTGTATATTTTGCAGCCCGTCGCGGGGGCCGACTTCGACTATTTGGACTGCTGGCATTTTGCTATGCTGGATGATTCTTGAGATGAGATGGATGGATAGTTAATGAGATGAGTCAATGTGTCGGATAACCGGACCGCGGCATTCGGATGAAGCCAAAGTATGACGCAGTCGTTATATTTCCGGGTCCGGCGGTCCGTGAGGTTACATTTGTATACAGATAGATAATAGATAAAATAGAATAGATCATAGATAGATCATAGATAGTAGATAAAAGGAGTAATTTGACTTTGGCTTATCTGGGAAATATCTAGTTACTGCTCCGAGTCTCCAAGGAGTAACATCTATAAAAGTAAATGCATCATCACCTTGATAACTAAACAACTAGACAGTATTTATTACAACCTCGCTTTAATAGCAATCAATCTATCTCCCATCGCCCGCATAACATGTTTCTGATGCTTCCCACTCCCCGTCTTGGGAAAGTCATCGCCAACTCTGGCATCGCCGATCCAGAAAATATGCTTGGGCGCTTTATGCCTGCCCAGCGTCTGCGATACCCAATCTTGCACTTCTTTATCGGATAGCTTAGATGCAGCCTTGAGAAAACAGCCCACAGCCTCGCCGTATCGTTCGTCTTTGAGCCCAACGACGCTGGCTTCGCTGATGAGAGGGTGCGAGATGAGTCGTTCTTCGATTTCGGTCGGCCAGATGTTTTCGCCCCCTAGACTGTTAGTTATCGTATATCTTATAGATGAGATGGTGAATACCTCTGATGATGATATCCTTGATCCTCCCCGTAACATGCCCGTAGCCCTCTTCGTCGATATACCCCTCGTCCCCGGTATACATCCACACCACCCCTTCGTCATCCACCTTCATCACTTCTCTCGTCTTTTCTTCATTTCTCCAATATCCCTTCTGCAATACATACCCACTCGTGCATATCTCCCCTCTCACCCCCCGATCAACAATATCCCCCTTCTTATCCACAATCTTCGCCGCACAATGCGGCATCACCTTCCCTATCGTCGACGATCGCTTCTCATCCGAATCATCCATAGACGTAATAAATGTCACCGGACTCGTCTCGGTCATCCCGTACGCGATCAGCATCTTTTCAACGCCCATTCTCCCCCGTAAAGTATTCATAAGCGTCATCGAGACAGCCGAGCCAGACGCCAACCCCGTGCGGAGAGATGTCGGCTTCTGCCCCGTCTTCTGCATCACCTCCATCTCGGCAATATACATTGTCGGCACACCGAGAAGGACAGTCGCATTCTCAGCGATAAGGGCGTCAACGACGGCCGCTGGATTGAAAAAGTCGGAGGGGAAGATGATGGAGCTGCCGTGGGTGAAGGAAGCCAGGAAGCCCATTACCAGCCCGAAGCAGTGGAAGAGGGGGGGTGGGGAGCAGATGATGTCGGATGGGGAGAGGTGGAGGGCGTTTCCGACAGAGGAAGCGTTGTTGATGAGGTTGCTATCTTGTTAGTATGTAGTATAGATGAGGATGATCGACGTACTTGTGGGTGAGCATGGCTGCTTTGGGGGATCCAGTTGTTCCTATACTGTCAGTATAGCATATAGATAGATAGATAGATAGACTCACCAGATGTAAACTGCAGATTGAGAATATCAGACGGAGTCACCATCTTCTCAGCCCGATGAAGAATGGCATCCTTCATAAACACAGAATGCCTATTCGACGTAAATGCATTATAGGACTGCACTTGATCCAGAGTCCCTTCCAGACAGACAACCCGATCTAGTTCAGGCAATCCACGAAGCATCTCAGCATGGCTAGATAAATCCCTCTGCCCGATTCTCTTTGCGATAAAGACCAATTTGCACGCTATAAATTAATACTCATCCATCAAAACAGAAATGACAACATACAAGTCAGCATAACAGCCCTCTTCACCTCCTCCCCGGTGTAAAAACTATTCAGCACAACAACCGGACACCCAATTCTTGCTCCTCCCAGGAACACCTCAATATACTCGTGACAGTTCCCCGCCATGATACCGACGCAGTCGCCTTTCCTTAATCCCACCTCGAGCATTGCTTTGGCGATCACGGCGCTTCGTTCGGATAATTGGCGGTAGGTGAGTCGGATTGATTGCCACGGGACGATGATGGCTGGTTTGTCGCCATGGTGGGTTGTTTGTTCGGCGATGAGGGTGGAGATGGTTTTGTTGCTGAGGGGGGATGAGGTTGGGCCGTGGATTAGGGACATTCTATCGTGGATATTGTCAAATTGTTTAATTAGTAGATATTCTCATATCTTGTTCTTGTTTTATAGTGATGTATTCATGTATGAGTGGGCCGACGGTTCGGGCTTCGGTCCGCATACAAAACGAGAGTATATCCTCCTCATCCATCTCCAATATTCTATCACCACAACTATTCTATTCAATAATTATCATACTGAACAAAAATGTACCCCTCAATCCCCTCAACCTTCACCCAGACCCCCCAATCCAAATCCAACCACGAAAGCTGGATCCCCATTCTCACCAAATACGAAGAATACCTCGAACAGGTTTCTTCCGAGGGGACGGCATCTTCACTGAAACGACATCAAAGCAGGGGGCAGTTATTGCGTATGTTACCATAGTCTTCATTTTAGGCATGTGTTAATGTTGGCAGCTCGAGATCGCATCGCGTTACTCCTGGACCAAGACTCGCCATTTCTGGAGTTGGGCTGTTTTGCTGGCTTCCAGAATGAGGATTCCACGCCTTGTGGGAATTTGATTGCGGGGATTGGGAGTGTGTGGTATTCTTTCTCTTTCTATTTAATTTGTGAAGATGCTGATTATGCAGTGGACGGCCGTGTCTGGTCATGTCGCATATTCCTACGCAGAGTGGAGGGGCCTGGAATGAGATGACTGGTATTTCACCTAATAACCTATAATGCTGAGATGCTAATGAAAAGTCCTCAAAATCAACCGCATGATGGAAATCGCCTCGGAAAACTCCCTCCCTCTCATCTCCCTCGTTCAATCGGTACCCTCCCCACCTCACCCCCATATAACACAAACTAACAAAGATCAGGCCGGCGTCTTCCTCCCCCACCAATTCCGCGTCTTCCACAAAGGCGGCCAACTCTTCCGCGACCTCGCCCGGCGCACCCAATCCGGCAAACCATCCTGCGCGGTCGTCTTTGGCTCCTCCACCGCCGGCGGGGCTTATCATCCCGCGTTATCGGATTATACGATCTTCGTGGACGGGCAGGCGCAGGCGTTTCTCGGTGGTCCGCCGCTGGTCAAGATGGCGACGGGGGAGGTCATTGGGGCGGAGGAGTTGGGGGGTGCGGCTGTTCATGGGGGGAGGACGGGGTTGGCGGATGAGGTTGCTGTTGATGAGTATGTCCTTTTTCTGGTTTGTTTCGTAGTAAGATACTGATGGTGGTAGGTTTGACGCTATCCAAAAAGCAAGAGAATGGGTCTCGACTCTGCAGTCACCATCGCGACAGCTACAGTCACAGGAAGCCCTCCCACCCCGCTACCCAATCGAGGATATCCTCTCCATCGTCAACCCGGATATCCGGAAACCATTCGACATGAAAGAAGTTATCCTCCGACTCGTCGATGACTCGCGCCTGTCAATCTTCAAACCGAGGTTTGGGAAGAACATGCTTACTGCGTTTGCGCATATCATGGGTATCTCCCCCCTACACTTTTTTAAATTTATAATGAACGCAAGCTGATATACGCAGGAATGCCAATCGGCATAATAGCCAACACAACCAGCATCCTCAACCCCAGCGAAGCCCTCAAAACCGCCCAATTCATCCACACCGCCAACCAAACCCACACGCCGCTGCTATTCCTGCACAACGTGACCGGCTTCATGGTTGGCGCGAAAGCCGAACACGCGGGTATCATCAAAGCCGGGGCTCAGCTCGTCGCCGCCGTTTCCTGCTCTACTGTGCCTCACATATCAATCATACTAGGTGCGTCGTACGGCGCGGGTAACTACGCTATGTGTGGGCGTGCATATGCGCCTCGCTTCTTGTTTACTTGGCCTACGGGACGATGCAGTGTTATGGGCGCTGAGCAGTTGGGGGGCGTGATGGAGACGGTGCAGAGGGGGAGTGCGGCAGCGAAAGGGACAGGTGTGGACGAGGGCGAGTTGGAGGGGCGGGTTAGAGTGTTCAAGGAGAGGGTGGATAGGGACGCGGAGTGTTATTCGACTAGTTCGGCGTTGATTGACGATGGGGTTATTGATCCTAGGGATACGAGGGATGTGGTGGGGATGTGTTTGGAGGTTGTTATGGCGGGGGGTGTTACGGGTGCTGAGTCGAGTCGGTTGTTGGCTAGGATTTAGAGCATTCAAGTACTTGAATTGATTTATTGTTTTTATGTATTACTTTGAAATGTTGCTGTAACTACTCCATGTCATATACAATATCAAACCATGGAACTATATTCATAAATTATGCTCACTAATACTATATCCGATACGGTCCGCATCCGCCGGACCGGACCGAGGGCGGAGCATGTATAGATCGATTATGAATACCAACTGTTCTTTATGTAGTAGATAACATTTAATTATTCATTTTAACAATATCTATTCTCCATACAATATGAACGAATCCACAGATATTCACGCCGCGCCTATGCGAAATCCATTATTTCTCACTCCACCGCCTGTGGATGAGAATGGAAGACCAAGAATCCAAAAGGTTCTCATTGCAAACAGAGGAGAAATCGCCTGTCGAATCATATCAACTTGTCGAAAACTGAATATTGCCTCGGTGGCTGTTTATGTCGAAGAGTAAGTACATCTTGCTGTATCTGTATTAAACGATACTAACGGCACAGAGATGCATCTTCCCGGCATATCCTCGATGCAGATGAATCAATCAACATCGGGAGTATCGACCGGAGCAGCAGTAACCCGTTCCTTGATGTCGAGCTGTTGGTCAACACAGCTGTTTCAGTTGGCGCACAGGCAGTCCATCCCGGATACGGCTATCTCAGTGAGAATGCCTCGTTTGCCACTCGTGTACGCGAGGCAGGTCTCATATTCATCGGACCGAGTCCTGCTGCCATGTCAACATTAGGAGACAAAAGGTCATCCAAGGACTATCTAGGAAAATATGCTCCTGATGTCCCATTAATTCCCGGCTTCTCCGGATCCAGTCAAGATGTACAAGACCTTGAAAAAGCTGCAGCTGGGATAGGATTCCCAGTAATGCTCAAAGCATCTGCTGGTGGTGGCGGCAAAGGAATGAGAATCATTCACGAGGCCTCCCAGCTGAGACAAGAACTGGAGCGTGCGCAGTCAGAAGCACAACGATCATTTGGATCAAGTGATTGTATTCTTGAGAAATACATTGAGAGCAGCAAACACGTTGAGATCCAAATCATTGGCGACAGTCACGGAGAAGTTGTATCCCTGCTTGACCGCGATTGTTCAGTTCAACGGCGGCATCAAAAAGTTATCGAGGAAACGCCTTGTACGTTTCTGACGGAAGAAACCAGGACGGCAATGAGTGCAACGGCAGTTCGTATCGCAAAGCTCATCGGATACGAGAACGCTGGTACCGTTGAATTCGTGGTCGACGTGAAAACGAACAAATTTTACTTCCTCGAAGTCAACGCGAGACTTCAAGTCGAACATCCTATCACAGAAGAAGTAACAGGTGTTGACCTGGTGTCATTGCAACTCTTTGTTGCGGCGGGTGGTAGCTTGCGCAGTCTCTCAGTGATGCGGAGTCTCTCCCAGCAAGGCCATGCAATCGAATGCCGGCTATGTGCAGAGGATCCACAGCGGGACTTCTTCCCCGAACACGGTAGAGTCCATCTTTGGCTTCCAGCAAAAGGTGTCTTAGGTCCTGGCCGAGATGTCCGATATGAGACAGCGATACAAACGGGATCATCCGTTTCCATCTACTTCGACTCAATGATTGCCAAGATAGTGGTGTGGGCTCCAACGAGAACATTGGCAATCGAAAAAATGGCCAAGGTTCTGGCCAATACCGCATGCGTTGGAGTCAAGACAAATCAGTTGTTTATGCAGCGATGTCTTTTGAGCAAAGCCTTTCACAATCCAGCATACACCACATCGTTTATCCCGTCAAATACAAACGACCTTCTGAGTCCCGCTAGTATCCCCAACCTTCGAGAGTTATCCATCATCCCCTGTTTGTTCCTTCGGAATCTAGCAGACCGTGCTTCGGGATCTTCCAGAAAGCGACCCTTTCAAAATATTCGCAAGCAGTTCCGCAACCAACGATTTGATCCTGTTTCTGTCCATTGTGATGTCGTTGATCCGATTGGATGGCCATACGATCGGAAAGCAGAAAGCAAGGAGCATATCCTATGTTTGTGGAAGCGTCCAAGTGATTCTTCTCCCGAAATTCAAGAGGTCAGCTTGATTCCTATCCGCGCAGACGACAATAAAGACAAGGACATGGAGATATCACCGGCAAAAAAAGTAACTGCCGAATACAACGCAATCAGCGAAATACTTCGCGGTGGAGAGAAAGGGTTTGGCCCATCGTACAAGTTGAATATCAACAGCTGGACACCCGCCGAAGGAATTCCAGCGGTACAAGAATCCTGGTTGGCATCAACAATGGAGGTTTCGATCAACGGATCCAAAATCCTCGCCCATGTGGTGATCCATTCCAACCGCGCCCATGCGCTGGCAGGCCAACTCAACCAGACCCAGAGGATATACTGCCATTTCCCTTCCCTAGGAACACATGTCGAGTTTGAAAGATCAAGCCTTCTATCGTACTGCGAGAGTGTACGAACGGAGGCGAAATCGCAGAATGACCCTGAGCAGAAGACCATCACTGCGCCCATGCCGTGCAAGGTTCTGTCTGTTTTGAAAAAGCAGGGAGATGAAGTAAAGTCTGGAGAAACGGTGATGGTAATCGAAAGCATGAAGATGGAAGTCAGCATCACGGTCGGGGCGAGTGGGAAGTTTGAGACGAACTGGAAGATAGGAGATGCAGTGGAGGAGGGAAAGGTGCTCTGTTCTGTTGTGTAATAGGAATAGCTTCATTAATAAATCATGTCATGGGCTGAATATTTATCAGGAGACATGAGATGGGAGATGGGAGATGGATCTGGATGGGAATAGCCTCATCTGCTTCAAAAAGAGTAAGCTGTTCTGTGGATGTACATGTAATAAAAAAGGAAAAAGGAAAAAGAATAACAAAAAGCTCACCCCAACCCCGCGAACCAGCCTCCTTCCTCTAAGGTGGAAGCTGCACGGTGGGCTACGAAATCCCAGCAGTAGGGATATTCGACGAACCCCCGGAGAGCGTAAGCCCCCCTGAGGGGATTCGAACCCAGGACTCCTGTTTGGACGGTGCAGCGCAAGTCGCCGGCCTTAGCAGAAGCGGCGTCAAGACCACTGCACCACAGTCACCCTGGGTTTGTTAGGGGGAACACATAATGATGGCTTATCTGTTTACTTTGCTGCCTGGGCGCCTGAGGAAGATGGCTTGATGGTCAGCCCGTGATATCGGGTGTCTGGAAGCTGTGTTGCTCTTTCCTGGACCAATCCCCTCGACAGGACAAGACTAGATGATAGGTTTGTCAATCTGATATGTGTGATTATCTGCGTATACCAACTCTATCTTAAAGTCTACTCAATCTCTCCATCGCTTTGATCTCCTGGTTCACAGCAAGATCAGACAGAATCTCTTCGCTACCCCCTCCTACCACCATCACTCGTACGTCTCGACTGATCTGCTCAATGCGAGCGCCCCGTCCATTCTTCGAGTACCCCAATCCACCCATAACTTGTTGTGCCTCCCGGTTGACCATCTCCAACGTTTGTCCAGCAAGCACCTTCAAGTTTGCAAACAGTCCACCCATCCTGGCATCGGTGCCTTTCCTTTTGGCAACTTCCGATATATACACCAGCTGTTCCATCCAAGCATATGTGGAGTCGAGGCTACGGCCCATAGCACTGAACTTGGAGCGGATCATCTGGTTCTCGATGAGCTTTTTGCCAAACGTCTCACGTTTGATGGCGTGCTGATACGCGTCTTCGGCACACACTCGCGCCATGCGAAGACTGGTGCAAGCCAGCCATAGTCGTTCGTGATTGAAGTCTGCTATGGTTAGTATCCTCTCACTTGAATCTCATGGTGAATAATAACTGACTATTCATGATGATCGGGAATCCTTTGTTCTCTTGCCCTAGAAGATTCGCCACGGGTACTTCTACCTGGTCAAATTCGATATATGTCGAGCCTGCGCATCGTTAGTACATTCAAACAAAGCATATCAGAGATACCAACCACTTGCATGAACACCAGAATTGTCAATCTTCTTGCAGGTGACACCTGGAGCTTTCAAAGGAACGACCAGTGCTGATATACCATGGGTGCCTTCTCCTCCTGTCCGCACCGCAGCAGTACAATAATCAGCAAATATCCCATTAGTAATCCATTTCTTTGCACCGTTGACAATATAGACATCTCCTTTTCTTTCTGCCGTCGTGGTGATTCCTGCGACGTCCGACCCGGCTATATCAGGGCTCGTTAGCCTCGAAGTGGTGGTACTGGCACTCACAAGACTTACCGTCAGGCTCTGTCACACCAAGACAGAATCTTTTCTTTCCGGTCAGCATGTCTGGAAGAAACCTTCGCTTCTGCTCCTCATTCCCAAAGTTGATAACCGGTGGACCACCGATGGAGTTTCCACACCCCAGTGCCCAGATAATACCCAGATAGCCGCATCGCGCGATTTCATCAATGACGACCAAGTCATGGAACCCATTCCAATCCTCGGGTTTAATGTTGCCAGGAAGTCGCTGGCCATTGAGATAATTTGCGGCTAGCGGGAATGATGCGACTGCTGTGTATCCTAATTCTGAATGTCGGTTCAGAGCCTGCTAACGGTCAACTCCATTCTTCAGAAAACATTGATTTCAACATACCTCTTGAGGTACAGAACCCTGCTTCTCCCATTCTTCGCAATATGGAGAAATGTAAGTGTCAACATACTCGCGGACCTCTTTCTGAAGTCGACGATGGGACTCATCGTAATATGGACTAAAGCCGCGGTTGAGCCACAGGGGGTCTGCAAATGGTAGCGAAGACGTCATTTTCTGGTAAGATAAATTCATCCACTAACTTGATGAACTGAAGTCTTTTTTCAGTTCTAGATGGGCTTTCCGTTTCCTATTGTATTTTAATGGAGACGTCACATGTCGGACCGTCATGATCGCCGCGGGACAAGCAAGGGCTTCGGTCCGGGGTTCGGACCGCGTCTGGACTGACGACCGCCAGCCTTTTTGCTTACTTTGACTGGTCAGTGAAATTTGGATGTTCATAGGAAAAAAAGAATATCATGCTATCATTGCCAATTGCTTCGTTATTGGTCTAGCTAAACGAGTGGAAGGAAGTGAGAACTGTAGATCGCCACAACACAGCAGATCTACACTCAGCAGAGGCAGCCAAAAAGAACAACTGCATCAACTATAGTAAAAGAGCAATCAAAATGAAGATGAATATATGATATCACCACGTGATGACTGGCATTCAATCAATCCTTCAAGTTGCCAGTGCGAGTCATGTAGAAATAGTAAATCCCAGCATCTTTGAGTTTCTTATACCAATTCGCACCGGCAACGGTGTGATCATCCACATATCGAAAATACTCAATCATAGGATGATCATCATAGATGATTGCAGTAGAAACAACACCTTTGAATTCCGCTTGGGCCGTCTATCTTCATCAGAATCACTCCCCTTGGATAAGTATAGTCACTCACAAAGACATCTCCCCAAAACTCTTGCCTCTTCCTTTTACCATCTCTGATAGCGACCTTCTGCGCGTGATCAGCAGAGTAGAATGTTTTCCCCGAGGGTAGCAATGCCTCTGCTAGACCATGACGGGGATGGTCAGAATCAGAGGGAAAGACATGGGCATCCCATTCTCCGATGAGAGTTTCATTCGTAACGGGCTTCAATTGATGGAAGATCTTGGCGACTTCGGCTTGGTCGATTTGCCTGATGCTTTGGTCAAGGCTGTAAATTGTTCCTCTGTGGTGCTAGATAATGTTATGTTATGAGATGTATCTTCAAATACGAGAGGCTATACTTACAATGTCATGGTGGAGATATTTTTGGACATGAAGAGACTTGTTGCGTTTGTTTGGATTCACTGAGATGACTCTGGGCTGCTGAGGATATCTTTTACACTGGAAGGATCATAGAGGTTTAAGTATGCTTGATCTATAGGTGACTACTAGTCTATAAAGGTTCAAATTCCTTTTCCTATCCCTTGCTTTCCTATGTGGTCAGTGGATGGTAGTTACACATGTCGAATATGACAATTATTTGAGCATGTTAGGGGTGAGTAAAACCGAGGTCATTCATCCTTAGGTTCTTGTTTGAAGTCATCGTCTGTCTGGGTGTTACAATGACACAAATCATATTGCGCGGAAAGATTAGATGTCAAAATATCCCTTGCTTTCATCATTCCTCGGGAAATGCAAAGATAAAATATGACCGTGATCATCTTTACTACTCCCGTCGGGGTGATACATATCATACTCTATCTCTAGCAGTTAGATACTCAAGGGAAAGGCCCTGGCTGATGCCTATGACATGGCTGTTTCTTCATGCGGTCATATACATAGTTAACGAAATTCTATTCTGCATGCCTTTGTCCATGTAAGGTGTTGAATTGACAGTATAATGATTAATCTATCTTGTACCCTCGGAGATCCTTGCAACATCTGATATTTATCCTCAGATAACTCCGTTCTCTCACAGATGGAGCCACGAAATGATTATCATGGTCACAGCAAGAATAAACAATATCTTGTCTATGACCAATTCAGTAACTAGGGCCCAGGGCTAGGGCACGTTCACTAGGCCCAAACTGGCAGATCTTGACGGCCGCCCCGGTGCCTGAGTCTGCCGATCGCAACACTCGCTCCTTCGCTTACAGAACAGGTTCCATCGTGCACAAAATGCCCTGCCATTTAATTATGCATCCTCATGCTAAACCCTGCGGATCAAGATCTCCGAAGTGGGCATGTCAGCTTGCCGACCTGGCCATTCACCATCGTCGACTCGGCAAGTTGTCGTTTACTGCTGGAGCATCGGGACTCCACGTCTCCACACCAAGAAGCTGGATATCCCGGCATCCTGCTGGAACATCTCATGAGGTCTACTTCTCCGGGATTATTATTATATAATACCCTAGATGTCTGGAAGATGTCTCTGATGCAACCCAATGCAGTCCTTTGTCCTGTGCTTGGCCAACTACTGTCGCTTCCGCGTCTTCCGGCTGTCGCCTTGGACAAAGAACAATACCAAGCACGCTTTCTTGGCAAGACGACGTGTTAAAGGGGAGCAAACCCCTCATCGGAGGATAATGTCTTCGCCCATCGAATTTCCATCGAGATGCAGCTGCCATTCTTCTTGGGGACTTTGCTCTTGAGCGTGCCGGGTCTGGCTGCTCCCGGGTTTTCCAGACGCACTTCCACACCCTTGCAAACACCCAGCATCACCTCTCTCGGGGCGCTGCAGGTATTGCATTACAACAACCTACACCCCGAGAACAATGGCACTGCAGCAGTTTTGGTGTACAATCGGCTAAGCCATGCGGACGCCCTCGCGCGTTGTGCTACCATCGGCGAATCCCTCTATCCTCTACCAAACGTCCCTGAAGCGAACCGTACCGAATTGGACCATCAACTCGACTACCTCGCCTTTGCCCAGGATATCAAATCCAATGACTCTTTCTGGGTTTCCATGGACTTGTCGAACGAATGCTGGGCTTATTCCCACAGTCGAAAGGAGATCTTCCAGGCACTCTGTCACAACCGATTCCCGGCTATCTGCACCTCCAACGTTCCTCCAACGACGGACCAAAATAGAACAGTTGTTACTTCGTCCAAGATTTCTCTCGCGTTCGATGATTATAATATAACCGGATATCGTGATTCTCGATCGTTCCGGTTCCTTGGGATACCCTTTGCAGACCCCCCTGTCAAAAACTTGCGTCTTGCTCCGCCGCAGGCATACACGGGCTCTAGAAAGATCGATGCAACCAAGGCGTCGGCCTCGTGTATTCAGTCTGTTTCAGCTTTTGGTACACTTGGTGCTCCAGCCATCTCGGAGGATTGTCTCTATCTAAACGTTTTTACTCCTGTATTGCCTGGAAATGGTTCCGCAAACTCCACACGACGACCTGTGGCGGTTTATCTATACGGAGGGGCATTTACAGCTGGAAGCGCATCTATGATTGACTACGATGGAGGAAACTTCGCCAGTCGAAATGATGTCGTTGTCGTGACAGTCAACTATCGCGTGGGTGCCCTGGGCTTCTTGGCAACCGGAAACCTTACGTCCGGAAGCTATGGCACAAGAGACCAGATCATGGCTTTGGAATGGGTCAATAAGCATATTGCTGCCTTTGGTGGAGACCCTTCGCAGGTCACCATCTTTGGTCAGTCGGCTGGGGGTCAGAGTGTGATCGCCTTGCTATCCTCTACCAAAGCACATGGTCTCTTTTCCGGTGCAATTGTCCAATCGGCACCGGTGGACTTGCCGTGGTTCCCTCGCGGTGTCTATTCAGAACTTATTTCCCCTATTGTGGCCGAGGCCGTTGGATGTGATAAGACACAGAATGAAACTGCATTGCTTTCATGTCTCCGGTCCATACCAGCTACGCGATACCTTGACAACTCTACTGAGTTTAGCAGCGCACTGACAGAAATGTCCAAGACGGTGTCCTCGGACTACTTGCATGTGAGCACCCTTCTCGCATCCATCGAGCCTTTCATGCCCATGGTAGACGACTCGGGTAGCGGTGTTATCGATGACCAATTCTACACCCTCCTTGCAAACGACCGTCTTCCTAACCGCGTTCCAACCATGTTCACTACTGTCACAGACGAAGCATCGCTCTATATCGCCCAATACATTCCCAATCTCGGAGCAAGCTCACTAGCTCTTGATGCGCTATACAAGACCGCCTTTCCCTCGGATCTAGCCAACTCAATAATCAAATCTGGTGCATTCGCGGTAAACCGCGGTGACCCCGACGGGGCGCGGAATGCAGCTGCCGACGCCTTAACACACGCCGAATGGGTCTGCCCGCAATCATATCTCCTCAACAATACCGGAAAGAACTCCTTCCCCAGTCTATACCAAGTCGAAATCACACAGGGACACATGCAAACTACCTCCGACGTCCCCGAGATCTGCTCCCCGAACGATAACTACAGCGCAAGTTGCCATTCCTCCGACGTACTCCCCATCTGGGGCACACTGAACAGCAAAACCCAAAACGTAGCGCCATACTACGATGAGCGCGATATTCTCCACTCGCAGCTTCTTAACGATATCTTTGGGTCGTTCTTCCGAACTCATAATCCCAACCCAGACCCAGCTTTCTTGAAGGCTCGTGGACCGGCTTACGCATCGACGTACGAAATCTTCGGGGCGCAGGGCTATCATATGTCTCAATTCCATCCAGAGGATAAACAACTCAGTCTCCTGGGTATGCCACCTTCTTTGGCAGATAACCCGGGATTCTCGGATAAGTGTGCGGTGCTGAAGGATTATGGGTTTACATTTCAACATGCAAATTTGACTGCTTGAGGCTATACTTCTAGATAGTCTTTTGTACATAATCACCACCAGTTCCCTTTCTGGGGATTTGTGACTTCCAGGTGGCAGGGCTTACGACTTTGATTCGTGACTCTTTTCTTTGTCGAACTTTCAAAGGGGTCAAATATACTGCTCAATACTATATAACATACCACCTATATGATTTTAACCAAGCAAAGTAAACACTACCTCTCTACCCTTTTCCATTGTTAGATAATTCCTGTGAATATCTAGTCCTGTGGGGACTCTAAACTACGCGCGGCTCTTCCTCGGAAAAGTTGGAATATCCTGCAGTTTTACCTTCCTGGAAGTTCTAATATCTCGTTTGATCATGCATCTACGGTCATGCAGGAAGTTACATTGGCCAGTTCTCGAACAGACTTTCGGGACAGGCTCATGTATCGGCTTCCTCCATCGTGGCGTCTTGCCAAGCTAAGATTCCGCAAAGACGGAGTATTGCTGCCTTTTGGTGACTCTCGTGAGGATTTCACCGTTCCCAACCCGTGAGTACTAAACAGGCCTCGATATTACGTTTCTAACCAAACGAAGGACGTTCTTCCGAGGTCAATACACATGGCCAATTTCGGATTTCGCAGATCCTCTCCACGGATGGAGGTTGTCTGAAGTCTTGCAAGATTCCTACTGTCCTAAAAGTGACATATATGGTCAACTTTACTTTCACATCAAAGGACTGCTGTTGAACTTCTGCGAGAAAATAACGACTCACCATCTAAGTATCGATCTCTTCCACATCGACGCGGTGGATCTACCCAAAACACTTGGGCTATTCGGACCACTTCTCAAGAGCCGACACCAGAACCCGAAAGCCACTCTACTCACACTCTTCCTCGATGCTACCTACGAGGTGTGCACTATCCACGATAAAGAATCCACCATGTTTCACCGCATGATGAAAGTGTACCCATACTCATCGAGAGGAATGATGCAACCTTTCCATGTCTGTTCAATTCTCAGCACGCCCAGGAGCTATTTTCGGATAATGATGTCCTGTTCGATCGGTTTGCAACACAGTGTAAGCTTAAGAGTATTGGCAATGGTCTTAGCTTGGGAATGAAGACAACAAATACGGTTGTGGAGAAATGGCCAACGCGGTTGAGCGAGCACCCAACGAAGGATGAGTTTAATATGCTCTTTTGGTCCAGGCACCAAGGAACAGAGAGATATGTGGAATGGTATCGGAAAGAGTAGATGTCCATCCTGGCATCCTGATCCGGCCACTGATCCCGAATCCATCAACACCAGTTAGTATCTAAGATACATTTTGTGTAGTCACCAATCAATTGGACTTCACCAGTAATGCCACCATTTCTCATGGAAAGTGTCCGTCATCGTCATCTTCTTCTTTGTAGTAATCTTCGTCATAATCCTCTTGTTTGTACTCTTCCTCTTCGTCGTGCTCCGCTTCCTTGATTCCCTGTGTCTTATCTTCCTCCATCTTCTTTCCCTTCTCCATTGCCTCGACTTTACTCAGACATTTTGCAATCCTAGCCCTCTTCCGATGACACTCTTGTTCTTCCTTGCGAAGCGCCCTCTTCAGACGATCAGCTTCATCGAGCTACACAGTAAAGCGGGTTAATATCAGTATCAACTCAAGCCCCACCATGCTAATCGTAAGACAGACACATACCCAGTACTTCTTATCATTTTTCTTCTTCGTCTCCTCTATCCTCCTCAAGATTCTCTTCTTTTTGCGTTGGATAACTTGCCGGAAATTCCTCGCTCGGGGCTGTTCGTCTTGACTCGCGGTGGTGTCTCTGCCCTTGCCACTGCGGGTGATTCTCTGTTGTTTCGGGATGTGTTAGTATTTTGTCTTGTTCTCGATAGGAGGGGTGTCTTTTTGAGGACTCTGCCTACTGTCATGGCTGTGGTTGGTGTCGAGGGTTTGTATTTGTGCTTGTGTTTGAGCGTGTGTTTGTTTTGGAGTGAAAGGGAAAAAAGAAGGTGAAGACGGGGTTAGGGTGCCCTGGCTTGCGATTTTCCTTCTACAGTGAATGGCGTGTTTTGTTCCTCAATACAGTCTGGGTAGCTTTATCTTTCCAGCCCGCTTACACGTTATCTAGACTGAGAAATAAATTGTGTAGAGTGTATTCTATACAGAGTAGAGAGTTTCCTAATGATCTATCTTATATCCCTTCAGCCAACCAAGGGTCTTTCAAGAGTTCCCTAGCACTTGACCTCTCATCAGGCATCCAGGTCAGAGCTCTTCGCATAAATCTAAGAAATCCTGAATTATCCTCTAGTCCATTCTCAAGCGCCTCCATTGTTCGTTCATGCGGGATAGCTGCACGCCCCTTCCAGTTTCCTAGAGTATCATTCAGTATGAAACCGTATACACGGAGTATTAAACACACCTTTCTGGTCCCAAAATTCAGCCGTCACCTCTGGGTTCGTAGCCAGAAGTTCACGAGGTGGTGGCCCCAACGCCGCGGTCATCTGGGCAATGTGGGCTTCGTTGGAAAAATCACCATCGCCATCACATGCTGTGAATAGCCTCGTTGGCTCAAGCAGCTCCCATGCCTGTCCGGGATATTATTGACTCGTTCAGGAATAGAAGCAGATAACACAGAGAAGGTGAATCGAAACGCACCGTAAGACTAACGCTCCAGATATCAACTGGATAGCTCCACTCAATATAAAATAACGTTTCGGGAGCCCTATACTGAACAGGCATGATATCACCAGCATGTGGTCCCGGTCCAATTCTTGCCTCACCAAAGTCACACAGCAACATTGGACCAGGCTTGGGAAGCATCAGACGAGAAAGATATATGGTCCTGTCCGATGAGACTGGTTTGCGATGCACCGGGGATGAGAATTCTTCCTCTTCCATCCTGTGGAATGACTCAGTATTTTCCTGGCCCAGAAGCATGTTCCCGTAATGCACATCTGTCATATATCAGAATGGAGGTAGACAGAGTGTATAAATAAAGCTTACCAGTATGAACGACCTCTCCTTCGGTGTGTAGGAAATCCAAAGCTTGCAGGAGCTCTACAATGGCGCCTTTGACAAATTCTTCATCAAACCCATCTTTGCTAAAGATAACCTTCATATCATGCAAGCTCATCTGAGCAGGTTGACGGACAAGGACGATATGCTCTCCACCTGGACCGGATATCTTAAAAGAATCAAGCAGTTTCCGAATGTTATTTTTCCCTGGGTATGAACTCTCTTCAATCCGGGTATTGATGTGCTGGTAACAAGTTCACGATGAACCAACGAAGAATTCACACAAATCTTCAGTGCAACATACTTTCGCTCTCTTCAATTCTCACACAATTAGCTTCCTATCGAGATGAATTAATATCAGAAACTCCAAACTAGAGCACACCTTAAATCCCGAGCAAGCCATGAGGTCGACGAACTACCAAACCCCAACTTCGCAATCGCCTGATACCGATCTTGAAAGACTTCTCCTAATCTGACGGGATAGAATCGATGAGCACGGTAATCGGACAACTGTTCCTCTTCAACCGGCTGATCTGCATCGATTACTTCGAAGTTGCTTGTAGGAAAGGACCGAGGCTTCTCTGGGTTTATTTCTCTTGACGTCTTATCTAGCAGCGTTTTCCTGGTTGGGAATCGAGAAGTGGAAGTCGCAGATGATGAAGATGTTCTGAATCTCGAAATGAGAGGAATTGATCGCGTCTTCCAGATGCAGAGGTTTGGTCGGAGGGGAGTCATCAAACACCTCCATTTTATCAAAAATGCCATTTTCATATGACATGCTACTGATAAAATGGATCATCAACGATGGATGAATATACAACTTTGACTGATGATAGGAAAACAAAGGAGAGGAAGAGATGCAGCTGGTCTACGTCTCATCACGTGTAACAGTCTAGGCTTTAGCATTCCCGTATGCATAGTTTCTAAACTCCCTATGTCTTCAGCTAATATTGTGAAAGATATATTCGGGTATTTTCAAGATGTCCTATATATACCTAAAGCTTAGATTGACGTAAGATGATACTTTCCCTTCACGTTCCATGCCTGTGATTTTATGCGTATAATGGTAGTGGCTTATTCGCCAGCGAAATAGCCAGGCAACCATATCCATGACTCCTTTAGAATTACTTCTGAATTCATCTACGATGGCTGTTCCGCAGACTTTTCCTCCTCGCCCTGTACAATTGGCACCAGCGTTTTTAATTTTACGGGCTTGGTCAGGAACAAATTCATGCCGGATGCCATGGCATCCTGTTGTACTTCTTCCTGTCCAAGACCAGTCAAGGCAGCGATAGTCACAGATCTAGTTTTGTGACCATGCTGTTCTTCAAGACCACGAATGTGCTGCGTTGCTTCAATCCCATCCATGACTGGCATGGAAATATCTGCATTGGATAAACACATCAGTATGTGTTCCGGGTTTAGGATTCCCTCTGACTTACCCATCAGGATTACGCCAAACCGGGCTGGTTCTGCTTTAAAGGCTTCAAAAGCCTCCAGGCCGTTCTGCGCAACTACATAATCACGTCCAAGTTTCTTTATGTATGCGACAAGGATTCTGGTGTTGATTTCATTGTCATCCACAATTAAAACCGCAGATGCTGAATCATTGGATGGAAATTTGCTTTCATCTTGACTAGGTTGAATTTCTTCTCGGTTCGAATCAGCTGTGGCAGGGCCCGTCTGATCAGGCCGTGACTCCTCAACTGGCGGTTCTGGTTTCTCACTATCGACTGCGTGCTCCGTCACCACCACCCTGGGCTGTTCACCAGACTTTATACTTTGCGTTGTACCAGGGGTCAACGGCACTCCAGCCCTGTCAGCTGGCTGAACAGTAATTTCTCCCCCTTGTCCATCCGCCCGCGTACGCCGACGTTCTTGACGGTCAATACACATTTTGAGTGTCTTTGCAAGCTTTCGTGGCCCGCATGGCTGGCCAATGAATTCAATGACGTCTTCATCGCCCCTTTCCCGCGCCGCCGAAAACATCGCATGTGCGGTTTCCGGGGATGAGCAAAAGACAATGACTGGTGAGGGAAAACGTTCGTTTGGACCGGGAGAAATCGCCCTGACCTTAGAATCCCCGCTATGCAAATATTCTTGTGTCGCAAGATAATAGTCACAGCGATCGAATGCAGTCTGCAATGAATGAACTGTGTGTACATTCATATCAAACCAATCTCCGCACAGTTTCTCCAATGATAACCGAAGCATTCTGTCCTGCTCGGAAGCTTCCAACCCCAAAATCCCAATCGACTTCCCACGCACCATTTCCTTTACAGTCGTGATAACTGATGTGTCTGGAGTATCGGACGGACCAAAATCGGGAGGATGCTGAAGGGTTATTCTCATACTCACTTCCGTACCAGAATCTTTCCAAGACCTGACCTGGATATCACCACCGAGGGATTTTATGGTTCGCTGGGTAACATGAAGGCCTAGTCCATTTCCGCTAGATAGGGAGTTTTCTTGCGCAAAGGCACTGAACAAGTCATTCTTCAAGAAATCCTCGCCAATCCCATGTCCTGTGTCTTTCACGTTGAGCGTGACCTGCGACCGAGTTTCCTCGCCCTCGCCACTTCCAAGCACTTTGTCTGGGGACGCATCAAGGGAAACGTAAACAAACCCGGTCTTTGTAAACTTGAGAGCATTTCCAAGGATGTCCATCAAGATGAGCCTCCAGGCGCCCGGTTGAGTCATGAATCTCCAGTTTGCGGCACGGTTCACATCTAAAATAACCCTCACACTGGGCCCTGAAGGGTCAATTTGCGTAGGCTTCGCCGAAAACATGCCTCCGGGTGTTACTGGTTTGCGAAAGGGTGATCCCGAGCCATTCAGAAAGTTGAAACCGGCAAAAACACTTTCCACAACCTGTTCCAAGGTGGCGTCGAGTTCCGTAAAACAGTTCAGATCGCTCGAGGTATTTTGCAGGTTCTCCTTGGAACCATCACGGCCTGCAGGGTGCTTTTCAGGGTTTTTCCGGAGGTTGTTAATACTGGCGTACTCAAGCAGATGATCGATAGTATCCAGTAATGTGCTGGCGCAAGACTCGATCGTATGAACCATTCCAACCTGGACAGCATTCATGGAAGTATCTGCCAAAAGCTCTGCGGTTCCGAACACCCCATGTAATGGCGACCTTAATTCATGGCTCAAGCTTGAGAGCAAATCCGATTTTGCCCGCTCAGCGGACTCGGCGCCCAGTCGGTGTATTTCCGCCATGATACTGTGTGCAAATGTAAACATAAATGCAAGTTCATCGTCTGAAGAAAAAACCCGATGCGGTGTCCTTGTCCAGGCAACACAACCCGAGTACCATCTTTGTTTATGTGAATCCCAGAGTGGTGAAAAAATAATGCTTCGGGAACCTGGGGCCAATCGAAGCAGGGCAGCGGCATCCTGTCTTAATGCCACTCTCCGTGTTTTCTTATATTTCCTAGCTCGCTTTTCGTTCTTTTCATTGGTTCTGATGCGACCACTAAGGTCCTGGAAATTCTTGTACATGCCATCAGTAGAATCATTAGACGAAACTGACCCCTCCTCAGAAAAGTTGAAAATCTTTCCTCGGGGATATCGGCGCAAAAGACCATTCAGGAATGACTCTGACATTTCAATTCTCTTATCTCCTGTCTCTTCATGGTTGATACTGGATGAATCTGTAGTCGCAAACCCAAGAATGTTGCATGGATCTGACTCGTCTTCCGGTTCGGGAATCCCACTGTTCGATGCACGCGATGACCTGCTTGAGCTTCGAGGCTTGCCATCGCTCTTCTTGGAGCTTTCAGAGCAGCTAGTATCAGAATCGGACTTTGTACTGTTGGTTCTGAAGTTGGCTTTGAAAAAGGCAACGCCTTCAACTTCCATTGACTCCCGCACAATATTGGCAGCTCGTGAGAATACCTGTGCCTCCCTTTTGGGGGGGGTGTTATTTTGCGGGTTTTCTTCCGATTGCCCTTCTTCGACAGGCAGCGTTGGTTCTGATGATGAGTGTTTTAACTGCCCCTTACTAGAGTTCTGGCCAACCTCTAAGTTTGTCGGCTGCTTCTGCTGCTCATTGGGGAGATGGGCTTTCAGGCCGCCGAGATGGACACTTTTCGAACGAACTGGAAGCTGCTTTGAAGCGCCTGTGCCTCCAAAAGGCCGATTATTATCACCTGAAATCTGTTTTTCCTGCTGCTGTTGGTTGAGATGTCCCTCGGGGGGTTCGTCGTCCTCATCTCGAACCCCGTTTTGTCCACTAGCTTCAACCCAAGAGTTACGAAGGCTAGCCTTTCCTTCAAGGAAGCTCCCCAATCCGACAACCATGCGCTCGCCTCGAAGATGTTGGGATTTGGATCTCGTCATGTCCAAGTGTTTCATGACAGTCGCTGCCATGTCTCGTAGAAATTTGAAGGATTTCTTGTCGAGCGGAGGGTGGGGTCTGTTATCCACTATGGTGTAGGCTCCAATCACTCTGCCCTTTGAACAAATTATAGGAACGCTCGCTAGAAATCGTGCATAAGGAGAACCGGTGACATCAGGTGAGTTTTTAAAGCGCTCGTCCTCGTTCATATCCGGGACCATCAACACAATATCATCCGCACACTGGGCAAATCTGGGTCGCTCCATGACATGCTTGCAGAAGCTACGGCAATAAGAAATTTCACAACACCCCAACCATAGTCCGTCGTGCTCTTCGTGATCTTCGTCATCCTGTAAGCTCAACGTCCTGGTAGCTTCCGCAAGGATCTGCTGGTTATTTCGACCAAAGAGAGATATGAATGCCCATTGAGCATTTAGCCTCAATGTGCCAAGCTGGGCAAATGCTGTAAGAACGGTATCGGGGCAGGATCGTGCAATGTGACATTCGCGCTGGGCTTGCTGACTGAAGGGGGCACGCAGACAATATGGTGGTAGATACCTGAAGAAATCAATATGGTCAGTTTAGTCTCATCACTGGATCAATCCGGTCGGAATTTCAATCAAATCGATACCTAAAACTGAATAGTAGATATGGAAATGGTAAACTGACTTGAAATACTCCCGTTCCTGTGTTGTAGTAAAACTGACCTGCCTCTGAACAGGCATCGGACGTAACATTGGGAGCGACATGATGGCAAACAAAGTCGCACAAGAATCCGAGAATTGAAAGCTTTCGTCCGTTTTCAATCGTCGCTTCCTCGAAATCGGATCTGGGTATCTGGCGAGTGGCGAGCCTTAAGGGTAGCTTCCTCTCGGCATGGATTTCTCATTCACGATTCCCGGTCAAGGTTGGGTTCGATGTATGGAACAGATGAACAAATTCCGTAAGAAGTCCGGACTCCCGCTCGCATTTCGCGACATCCTGGAGGGGCAGCTGGACTGGACTGCCATGCCTTGCTTTCCTGCTTCATATTGCGTCAAGTGTTGACTCGGAAAGCAACTCCACGAATAATGATTTACTGATGATCGAAGCGGGTCAATTTCTTGAATTGTCTTTCTTTAACGGGTATAGTGTGGGTCAGATGACCGCACGTGCGATAAGCAATCCACGGTCGACGAGAACAATTTTCCTGCTTTACTCTGTACGGAGGGATGGAAGTCCACTTATATAAGAGATTGTATTCCAAATCTAATCTAGCCGTCGTCAATCGTGAATCGTTAGAAATTAATCAGATTTCAAATCGCGCCGCAAAAAAAATGAATACCCCCGAAACACCGATGTCACTGGTGACGGATAACTGTCGTCATATCATATAATTGCGCATTGCGTCTGTTGGTCGAGTCGAGATAGATAAGCCCGAACATATTACAAAAACCTTTCAACGCCAAACATCATTCAAGAAAAAAAACAAAATGGAAAATGGAAATCAATCTGCCAACTTAGTGCTCCGGAAAATCAAACATAGTTGGTTAGTGCTGAAAATTCGTGCAGTCTTGTATATTACTGGTGGCCTATACCCTGATCAGCAGTAGGTAAACATTCACCTTGAGTGGTATCCTAACACAAAACCCCCATAACATGAATACATGAGGCCAATTGGATCATCGATCATCGATCATACATGGCAGATCTTCTGCCAGATGAAGGATATTCCATGTCGGCCACGGTTACTGGTACACATCGCTTCCCAGAAACCGACGCAGGATGCACATATCTGTGTCCTCGCGAGCTGCCCCCTGTCATACTTGGCTGCCGTGCTCTCTCAGTACTGCTGCCTGCCTTCCGGCTAGAACCTGCCATTCCACTGTAGCTAGCTCGTCGTGCATCTTCTGCCACGAGCGGGTCAAGTGGACGGGCATGACCCATGTACGTCCCGTTGACAGGGTTAATGTAACGAGCATGAACCTGAGGGTACACTGGAGTATCAGGGCTAGGTGGAACTGCTGTGGGATCGAAGACATACTCCCGGAATCTCATACCCGACGGTCCGGGAGGTACTTCATCGTTGTATCCCCTAGATGGTTGCGATCTTCGGCCACCATCTGATTCGTACCATCTTCCTCCCGAGCTTGATGAGTATGAATCTCGAGGTCCATGACGTCTGTATGGTTCCGGAGACATTCCTCTCTCTGCCTTTCGAGCATACGCTTCATGCGAATGGCGCCGAGCATGAGACTTTCTAGGTGGTGTCAAATTGCGACGCCGACCGTATCGTTTTTGCGTGGGAGAAGACCCATGGCCCGTCGATGCTGACTCTTCAGACGATGCATCGGACCCATAATGACCAGAGCTTCCTCCTGGGCTTGTGTGGGCAAAGCTCGAGGCCCGTGCTCGGCCTGGTGATGCGGGGCGGCGTTCTGGCGGCGACGTAGGGGGTGACGGCGCTCGCGGGGATGCAAAGGCTGTCTTCAATTCGTCAGGTTGCGGGAAGAATGCCGATTGTGGCCGTCGTGTAGCCGGGTACTCGGCACTCTTTTGTCGTTGAAATCGGGGCCGTGGCATATCAGTAGGCTCGGCATGTCGATGGCGAGGTACTGGCCGAGGACGGCTCCGGGGGGGTTCTTCTTCAGTCGGTGGGTCTGTTGGACTGAACTGACTGGGGAACGGTCGGGGGTTTGGTGGGGATGAGCGTGGAGTGTTTCTTTTCCAGTAGTCATATTCCAGTCTCCGACTGACACCCTCGTGCCATTCCACCATTTCTGGGTCTGGCTCCGAGGGGAAGGCGTCTCTCGGGATCATCTTTGGGAAATAGCCCCCGATGGGGCTCTCAATATTCCACAACTCAACCGCATTTTGCAGATATTGGCAATGTTCGTCTGGATCCATCAGCAGCTGTATTGTCTGCCATCGGACAAAGCCGCTGGGTAGGAGGGCCGGGATAGAGGGTGGTTCAAAAGCATTGGTAGAAGGCTGTAGGCTGTGAAAACAGCCTAGTGATTGATATATAAACGAAAGCGCACCAGGCTTGGTCTCGAGGAATAGGGTGTCATAGTTGCCGCCGACCTTTTTGTAGAAAGTCGCGAGTCGTTCTGGGGTAAGATCGATCGTTCCACAGCCGTCAAAGGAGATCTGGGGAAGACACTAGCGTTAACAACTGGTCCTCCACTGTTGCACACCGCTCACTCACCATCAAACGAGCAATCTCCAGGCACAGCTGTTCGAGTAGTGGAGCTGGGCTTTTATCAGGATTGATCAGCCTTCCCCAATAGTTCGCACTATAGTTGGACATGGCCGGGCAAGATTGGAGCCACGGCTGGATGCTGGGGCGCATTGAATGCAGCAAAGCGACGCTCACATCAATGCAAGCGCAGCGCGAAGAGCAGCAAAAGCAAGAAGGTGAAGGAATCTGGAGATCGTGGGAGAGGTACCTGAAGGGAGCAAGTTGAAGGCAGAAGCAGGAGGGGCGGTCAGCCTTCAGGCACACATCACCGTGGCTCCACTGCGGGGGAGCCCAAGAGGCGCCATAAGTTGGATTATTCGCTGTCAAGAGGACAAGTCAATCCGACGACGATCGGAGAATTGGGCCAACGCAGATGATGGCGCTGCATGCGCGTATGCAGGAGGTTGTTTTAGGAGATGATGATAAGAGGGAGGTCAGAGGATGGACGAGGTGAGCACCTGACTGCCCCGCATGTGATCTAGTCAGACAACAGGATACTATCTGTAGGAGCTAGCTATACAAATGATCTTGATAAATCGATAAAAAATATTCTACTGATTAGATATAAATAATAAATAGTCCCTGATAATATACGTGGGTTATTTAAATGTGAGTTGGTTGGTTATATATTTTGCAACCGCGTAGCTATTCCCACATATCGACTATCATAACAAACAACTATTTATCGCCGCACAAATACTACAATTTGTAGTCAGTCAATCTTCAATTAAACTAGAAATAAACATCAACTAAGATCTGGATAGTGCAATTTACCGTATGAATTGACCTTTCCCAACCATGGAACAGTTTCCGGACCCAGAGTTCGAGTTTCACTGTAGTATTGTCATTTCCACCTCTATTCTATTAATTATGTAGAGTAACCTATCGCTTGAAAATCTATCACCAAAATAGCATATCGATAGACGTCTCGTTAGCTTCGATTGTCAACTCAATCTATCCTCATAATAAACTATCCATTCCTGTCTTACCCTTGTGTCACTCTCTTCCTGTCACTTTCCTGTCACTCAATCCAGGTTACACAACTCTCTGCTCATCTTACTTTGAAACCAACTGATTAGCATTTCATCTTAACCCTGCCTTCCTTTTCTCTCCCCAAACACGTCCTACCCTTATGTGGGGCGGGATACCACGAAGCCAGATCCTGATTGGCCCATTCTGCATGTCTGTGAGACGCCCTGTAACATTATTGGCTGCAGGAACCCACCACGCGCACTCTGACTGGCCGACCCAGATTCCGGTGCTATCCTGTCATTCCCAGGGCCATTCTAGGTAGTTGCTAGGAATTTGCACCCGGTTTGGAGCGATGAATGTGTATTTCTGTCTTTTCTGGCTGTTCCTTTTCTTCTGACTTGACTCCCTTCGTTTTTTCGTCTTTCTTTCGTTCTCTCAAGGCTTTTTCGGCAAGCCAATTCAGTCGACAAATTCTCATCGCCGCTCGTTCTATCGCTGTTTAATATCGTCACTCCTTCTATATGTTTTTCTGCTACTAGTAGCATCTACATTCTTTTCATCCAGCCGTGCACTACACTCACTCGTGTACGGCTGCTTCGCGTTGAGTCACTCGTTCATTCTACCGTGTCTATCCGTTCGCTCCTTCGAATACCGGATATCACACCATCCATCCGACCTATAATACAATCACTCCATATCAGACAACAGTGAACAGACCTTCATGCCCAACCAGTAAATAGGGGGAATGGCAACAATCCGAGACCCGGCCTTCTGGCGCCGGTTCTCCCTGGCCGTCCACCTCGACGCGGCATCAAAAAACCCATCAGACGACAAAGAGGCCAATCCCAACAACCTCTTCTCGTACGTGGGCTATGTTATCTTGAACCCGAGCATGGGTTGAGCTGGATGCTGACAGTGGAGTAGAGACCATTGGATTCAAAAACAACGCAAAAAACGAGAACGAAGCATCCTATTCGGCTTTCTGATCTTTCTTTTTGTCGCTATCTTCGTGGCGGGTGTGGTGGTTGTCATTTGGTGGCTGAAGGAGCATAATTGGCTGCAGGATAGAGTTTCGTGATAACGATGCTTATTCATTCAGTTCTGCGTCTATTCGTATCGACAATGAGTACTACATATCTAATGACATCGATCGGATTGGCAGCTAGTCAAAAGCAGGTCTCCTTTGGCGTTTGTTGAGTTTCAGGAAATATTAATACCCTATGGTTGGTTCTTAAGGTTTGGCGTTGGTGGTTTACTGTCATATCATATCAAGGCCTTTTCCGGTTCATCAAAGAGGCAATCTAATTAATTCACTATGACTTTCGAGTCTCACGATTTGGCTTCGTGTCTCACCCTCACACTCTCAGACATTTCCTTGCCAACATCTGTTCCCAGCTTATCAAAGCCCTCAATAACACCCTCGCGATCTCCCTTGTTCATTTCCTGACTCATCTTGAATTTGCCCTCGAGCCGGGTAATATCAACCTTGATCCCCATGATCGCCTTCTGCAACAGCGCAATATACCTGTCTGGCGCATCCGCCACCTCCCACGGATTCAACTTCTCCCCACCAGTATACCCCATAATCGACGTCTCCGCATGTCTCGACAACGCATCAATCTGGCTCGACAGGAACTCCGTCGACTCAGCCGCATTCGTATCAACGTAAACCGTCACCTTGCCGTACGCCTGCACGGCAGAGTAGTTCCACGTGGGGACAACCTTCCCCGTAGCCGGCTTCGTCTCAGTATACCACTTCGGCGTGACGTAGTGATGCACTGGTCCAGTGAAAAGCACCAACACCTCATCCTTGAGCTGGATAGCGCCCGACGACCCCTCGGGACGGATCGAGTTGGCCGATTCGATCATCGCTTTTGCCTGTGGGTTTTGGCGCGCGATGTGGCCGCGTAGAGTGCCGAGCTCGGTTTCGCTCGAGTCATCCGCTACGTCGATGATCCATGGGATGTGGCTTGATTGGAGGAAGGGGTAGGAGGAGGACTGGATACCGGTGGTGATGGTTCCCAGGGCATTATCCTTGATGAACTGGCGGAGGGTTGGGAGGTGGGTTTCGGCGTGCGAGGCGTTGAGATACATTTTGCCTGGGTTGGTATGATTCAACTTTGTGAACTGGATGATGGGGATCATTCGATTGTTATATAGGGTATCGAGTACATACTTTGGGTTGTTACTCGGTATTTTGGACCAATGGGGCGGCATGTATTAGCGTGCATATGCATGTGTTCCATCCAGGATTGCAAGGTAGTAGTACTAGTGAGTCATTCCAATTTCTAGATAATTACGTACACTTTCCAAAGCTATTATGAGTTGGTTAACTAAGGTGGTGGTTATCGCGGGGTCTATCTGATAAGGTCGATCACTCTGCCATCTAGCTTCTAAGCCTAAACAAACTCAATAACCGTTAATTAGTTTGAATCTAGAATAGAAGCAAATCCCTTAGTTATGACGCAATCTATGCTGTACTTGAGCTGGTAGGAATTTGCAGTGGAATGCTGTGCGTTGTGGTTACACAGAATGCCAACAACAGGTTATGTGTCTGATATCATATTCTTGACTGCCACTTCACTTTGATGATATGTACCGTGTAAGCGTATTTCGATGCTAAATTACTAGATTATTTGCTAGATAAGGTCGCAAAGACTACCACATATGCAGACTTCTGAAGATGTGTGGATATAAAAGATCATGTGATGCTGTATGAAAAGAACACAGTATATGCAGGGTTTGCAGCAAAGCCATCAGGAGCTATCGGAGATATAATGAGTTTTTTGACACCTTAAAGAAACAATATGAGTTTCAAATATAGTGCAGCTCTTCACATGGACCTCTTAGAGCTGGCGTTGTTATAATGACTCGATGTAACGCTATTAAGGGTATCTTTACCGGATGAATAACTATTATTTTGCAAGAGAGGTGGTAAGCATATCAATAAAAAAAAGGGTCCAGGGTTTTAACTATTGAGCTGCCCTGCGTAGATTATTCTATACTTGGGAATAGTTTCATATTAGCCATTTGAGGTAGTCATGCTGTTGGACTGTTGCCTGACTGTTGCCTGTTCTGGTGGAGTTAGAATGACTAATATAAACCCTATATATGTACATCTTCATCTTTTCCATGTTTAATTCGTATCATGTTGGGCAATTCTTTGTTTGTTAGTACATGGATTTCGATCCCATCTGCCAAGCCTGATTCCTGATTCCTCCCGTTCTAGATTCACAGCCTTGCGTCTATTTATCTTCTCCTGTCTTCTTTTCTTCTACTCTCTGTTTTCTTTTTCTTCCAATTCTTGCCATCCTCCTTCATCCAGGTATATTACTATCTACTGCCCCTCACCAGTGCAGATTGCTGACAGAACCTACAGGTGTTTGCTGTTTGCTCAACCCAACCCATCCATCAAAATGCCAACACCACTCTCCCAATTCCCATCCCTCCGCCTCTTCGGCACAATCATCGGCACAATTTGCATCGCCTTCGGAATAAACGCCATCCTCCGCCCATCCTCTGCCCTCTCCTTCTTCGAATTCGACTACCCCACCACTCTTGCCGAGAAGACGCTAATCGACAACATGTTGATCATCTACGGGGCCCGCGATGTGTTAATGGGGTTGGCGGCTTATATCACTGCTTATTATGATGGGAGAGCGCTGGGATGGACATTGCTGGCGATCAGTGGCGTGGCGTATGTGGATGGGTTTGTGTGTTGGAGGAATGGAGGCGGGGAGTGGAATCATTGGGGTTATGCGCCTGTTGTTAGTGTGGCGGGGGTTGGGTTGCTGGGGTGTTTTGATGGGAGGTGAGACGTCTCGTGTCTGTTCTGTAGAGGTGGTCGAGGTCAGACTATGATGGACTCTATTCTTGTAGAACGCAGTCTTATTGGATATTTTCATTGATATGATGGTAGATCATACTCTATGGAGTACCTAAACACCGACCTCACTATAACCACACCACCAATCTACCTGTTCATCACATCGTAATCTCATCTATAATACATCCCCATTTAAGAAAATCACAAATTAGCAAACCGCACCCCCGCCTTCTGCGCAGTGAACGTAGCAATCAAATCCATCAGCGCCGGCGAAAGCGCATCATACGTCGCCAACCCAACACTCTGAAACTTCCCCCTCACCTCACCCATCCCACTCGGCTCGAATCCCTGCTCAATAATCGACGACACAAACCCAGCAAACTGCGGCTCCTGCCAGCCGCTCTCATCGGACAGCTCAACATGCACAAAGTCCAATCCCTTGAATGGGTGTTCCTTTTCGATGCGCCCAAACATGTGCACCCCGCACCCCTTGCAGGCGTGGCGCTGGATAGCGGCGTTCTCGTCGACAATGAAGAGCTTGTCGCCGTTGGCGGTTACGGAGAGGTTGTCGCGGGGCACGACGCCAACGAGGGAGAAGAGCGAGCCCTTGGGTTTCCAGCATTTGGAGCATCCGCAGGCGTGGTTGTGGGCGACGTTGCTGGAAAGCGTGACGGTGACTTTGTCGGAGGGGCAGTGGCAGTGGAGGGAGCCGCCGGAGAAGTTGGGGATGCCTTTTTTGAGGCCATTGTCGATGGAGGGGTGGATGGAGGGCATTTTGATGTCAATTGACGGAGTAGATATGAGATAGATTGATTCAGATGTAGAGAATGATTGATGATTGATGATGATGGTGATGAGAATGAAGAACGAGATATATAAGTATATGGTATCTCCGCATGAGGGGTCATCTCCAAGGCTGATTCTAGAATGATTGTGCCATTGTTGCTTCCATGTCGGGAAACATCCCGGTCTGTTTGATAACTGCGGGGCCGGTCCCGAAGCGGTAATGTTTTCCAGGAACCTGCAGATTAGATAGGAATACTGGAGAATACTATGAGAAAAGGTAAAAGAGTTTTCTATGAATGGAAAATATATGTATATTGCGTGATTAAACCAAATCTTCATAGTTTATGCTGTATCAACAACGCACCGAATACAGTCACCCCGCTTCATCTGATCAAACGCCCGGTTGATATTATCCAGACTTTCCCGATGAGTGATAAACTCGTCCACCTTCAAGTCGCCCTTGAGATAATCATCGACAAGACCGGGAAGTTGGGATCGACCCTTGACACCTCCAAACGCACAGCCTCTCCACACCCGTCCGGTGACAAGTTGAAATGCTATCTTCATCAGTACATTCCTTCCCACATGAGGAGGGGAAATACTTACGTCTGGTTTGGATTTCCTGACCAGCTGCAGCAACACCGATGACTATACTCTCTCCCCATCCTTTGTGGCATGCTTCCAGGGCTACCCGCATCACTGTCACATTGCCCGTGCAGTCGAATGTATAGTCACATCCTCCATCAGTCATGTCAATTAGATGGTCCTGGACACTCTTCCGGCTACTGAGCTTGGTGGGATTGATGAAATGCGTCGCGCCGAATTTGTACGCCCATGCCTCCTTGTCGTCGTTGATGTCGATTACGATAATCTTTCCTGCTTTGTTCTTCACTGCTCCTTGCACAATGGACAGACCAACACAGCCTGCACCAAAGATGGCGACATTGGATCCTTCTTCGATCTTGGCTGTTACTGTCGCTGCGCCGTAGCCGGTCGTGATGCCGCAGCCCAGCAGACAAGATCGATCAGTCGGACAGGCCTTGGTCACAGCCACCACGGAGATATCCGCGACAACGGTGTACTGCGAAAAGGTCGAGCAGCCCATGAAGTGAAGTAGATCCTTTCCTCGGGCTTTGAAGCGCGATGTACCATCAGGCATCACGCCCTGGCCCTGTGTGGCGCGGATCCTTCCACACAGGTTCGTCTTGTTAGATTTGCAGAACTTGCATGTACCGCATTCAGGGGTGCTATGGAGTCAGACATATCCATGGCGATGAAGATGGATAACATACTATAGCGCAACAACATAATCACCAACAGCGACATTCGTCACACCCTCCCCGATCGACTCGACAACACCGGCACCCTCATGACCAAGAACAACAGGGAAGGCACCTTCAGGGTCTTTGCCGGATAAAGTGTATGCATCTAGATAATTAGCGATTATCTTCAATAGATAGCACAATTTGACTAACCCGTATGGCAAACACCAGTGTGCAAGACTTTGATCCGCACTTCGTGGGCTTTGGGCGGTGCGACCTCGACGCTCTCGATGGAGAGGGGTTGGCCAGCAGCCCAGGCGACAGCAGCCTACTAATACTCAGTTTCTGAAGGACCTTGGGGGATTCTGATTCTACCTTGCAGGTGATTGTCTATTATTCATTAGCTGTGATTATTCATGCAGATATCCATATAAAACTCACCTTTCCAGTAGTGCTCATTTTTAATCAGCTATACCTATACTATCTTCCAGATATGAAATGAGAATAATAACCAGAATGTCAATTGACGAAGACGAAAATGAATTGGAGAAGCCGTCACTCGAGTTGCGTAAATATCCGCAGCAAACAGCCAAGGATTCAAAAGGACGACGTGGTGAGGGGTGAGGGGAAGCAATCAATAATCAGAAATAATTTAAACGTGCCTCACTGACTGTGCCTCACTTTTTGACTAATCCGACTTGTTTCTATCAAGTTATGGAAATGAATTTTCGATATTGGCTTAAGTATGCGTTGAGATTGTATTTCCCTCGGCTTCGTACCCGGTGAGTTTCCCGATGAGCTTTTGACATTATCCCTTGTGGATAGATTCGTCAAATCAGGTAATTCAATCAGCGGTGAATATTTTTTAGAAATAAAATCATCAATTCTATTCGACATGCACTAGAAAACATGGAATATTATCATCGTTTCTGGAGGTCTGCTCATCGCCCTTCCTAAAATAGAAATCGGATACGCTCCCGTGGATCAGACTAACCCAAAAGAGAATAGGAATCCGATGGACTGGCGATGCTATAAAAGGTAGACGAACCTCTGCATGTTCATAATGATAGATAATCTAAAATATTCCATCTAAATGCAAGTTACTTCAGCTTCGCAAATCTCATCTCATTCCACCCAAAATCAAAAACCGCCACGACATTCTTCAAAAACGGCACTCCGATGATATTCAGCGTCAACCCTTCAATCCCAACATTTTCTGAAGCCGCCACGCTCGAGATACAAATGCCCTCGCCGGTCTGGTAGATCATATCGGCGCCATTGTGGAAGAAGGTCTGGTTCCCGATCTGTAGACCAAACGAGGGCGCTTTGGCTGTGCAGTCGACTACGTATGCGCCCAGCGAGGCATCGTATCTTGCTGGAGGCTCGAACAGGGCGTTGACTGAGTTGGCTATGGCGGATGGCAGGTAGGATATGTAGTTTCCTGAGTCGACAAAGGCTTGGAAGGGTGTTGAGTTGGTGGAGGAGCCGTAGGTGGCGCCGGAGACGGTCAGAGCCCAGTAGGATCGTACTCGTTTGCCTGAGGTGTAGTTGAGTGGGATGTTGTCAAGGATCTCAACAGGGACGATGGAGAAATCAGAGTGAGGAACTGGTGGTAGGGTACCCAGTGATAGGTAGCCCCCGAAGCCGGTGGATGAATTCTGTGCTGTCCGGGCCAAAGCAAGACTGAAGTATGGTGCGACGAGACCTTGTTCGTACATGTTCGTGAAGAGTGGGTTATAAACGATGCGATCGTACCAGTACGAACTATTGGATGTGTTACTGGGATGTGCCGACGTCAGCGCTGGATACCCCAGGCCCAAAAGCCCACTGTTGACGCCGTCACCCATGGGATTCGATCGATCCGCAATGCCGACCTTCTGGTTTTTGACGGTGATTCCTCCCAAAGTAACATCCTCGTATGCCATGACACCGCTAGCGATGCCTGCGCCATATTCAATCCCGAATATCTGATCTGGAATCTTGCGATAGGTGTCGGAGATATTGTATGCCTTGGGGGAGTAGAGACAGTCGGCTTCGGGGATTTCCAAGTTGTTGGTGGCATTGATGCATTGGAAGCCGGTTTTCATCACGTAGGTATCGCTGCTTCCGGTGTCGACTAGCAACTGAAAGGACTGGTTGCCCACAGTCACTTCGACGTCGAAGACGGTGCCAAATTCTGTTGAGATCATAGGAGATGTTGTTCCATTATAGGAACGGCGGATTAGGGGTAAAGTGGTGGCAGAGCACAGCAGAAGCTGGCTGTAGATGGAAACAAGTCGTAAGAGATGCATGGTGGAAGATGGTGATGATGATGGTATACAATCTGCTCAATCGAGGTGCCTTTTATATTGATATGGATATTCAGCAGCCTAGAATGAAAATATTGAAGCATCACAGATGAAGAATACAGCTTGATCCATCTATAATAAATAAGAATAAACAGCCAATCACATCAACTGTCCTAATGCAGCCGGACACAACGGGAATAGCGTGGATCTCGTATATTTTAGTGCTGACTCTGGCCCCAAAGACCAACACAACCTCATATTCCAAAATAGTCCTATTGCAAAATAACAGTCTGCAATATGCCTAGAAGGAGCATGCCCAAGGTGCGATCAGGCTGTATCACCTGCAAGTACGGATCATCCATGTTTCTCCTGCAAAACTAACAAGCAGCAGACGACGTCGGGTGAAATGCGATGAGCAGATGCCTGAATGCCTGCGATGCCTTCGCGCTGATCGCACGTGTGAGGGATATCTTCCATCCAAAGACCAGAACAGACCTTCCAAAGCCATCACTGTATATAACCTACCATTCAGGATCCCCGGAAGCCAGGCCGATCGACAACGACTGCACTTCTACTGCTGCCAAGCAGCGGAAAGCCTGGCCAGTTACTCAGATTCAACGCTGTGGACCTCGTTGATTCTGCAGCGAAGCCATCATTACCCGGTAGTCCGTAATGCGCTGGTGACTCTGAGTACGCTGTACCAAGATCATCTGTTGGATGCATCTCCTAGTACCCCATCGCCACAACACATCCATCTCATCGCCAAGTGTCATCGACAGTTGAGCGTCCATCTCACCTCTCCTGATGCGTCAATCGAGGTCGCTCTGATATGCAGTCTGATCTTCTATGTCCTGGAGGCTCTTGTCGCAAACACGCACCAGGCAATATGGCATCTGGATCAGGGTCTCATTCTCCTTCAGCGATGTCGGGCAGATTTGCCTCGTCTCACCTCTGATGGCATATTCACTTCCTTGGTAGATGTCTTTTCTCGTCTGGATATCCAGGCAAGTACGTTCGATGATAGTCGAGTCCCGAGATTATCGCTAGTGCCGTCCGTTGAAAGATCAGGCATTGTTCCTGTTGTACCTGAAGTCTTCATCAATTCATCACACGCTGAAGCCATCTTGACCAGACTCCAGAATTGGATGATGCACCATCTGATAGCTCATGTCGATAATAAGCATAGGTCGCTAGAAGACTTGCCTCAGGATCTACTCCACGAGCGACTCATTCTCGAGGAACAATTTGAACAGTTCATAGCGACACTCAATGATCTCTTTGAGAGGGACTCCGATGCTACCAAACACCTTTATATCTTACGTATTCAAGCACTAGTATTTCACAGCGTACTCTTGGAGAATATCCCATTACCAAATATATTCCCACCTGCGACAACAGTCCACAAACCGACTCTCAACACCAACATGCACGCTACCCTGGAAGATATATCAACGCTTCTCTCCTCCAACTCCGATACCACTTCAGGAAGAAACTTCACTTTATCCACCCAGCTCATCTCTGCGCTATTCTTTGTTTGTCTAAAGACGACAAGTCAAGACATATTGAAGACTGCACTTTCGCTTTTGCAGCATTCGCAACTTCCAAGTCGAGATGGGCTATGGGATGCCGGTTTGGCAGCTTTAGTCATCAATACCATTCTGGAAAGACAGGATGATGCTGTTGATGAGGTGATAGAACAGAGAGTAGAGGATATTGGGCTCGATATCCTTGATCCGGTTGAGGGTGGACTGAATGAAGTGTTTAGATCTTTGTGTATTAGACAAGCTTCGTGAATTTTAAGGCAATATCAAGCGATTCAATACAGTCCCTCTTGGGGTATAGTATATGGAAACAGCATGGTCTATACTACCACGGCGAGGTCTTTGTTCTAGAACGTTGAGATAACTAATCTTCAACAAAGCTAATGTAGATATCTGCAGGACAAAATCCTAGCTAATTGTGAGCAGTTCATGATTGGTGTATTCAACTAGCTGGATAGGCATGTAAATGCACTTTGCCTGTAAAGGCAAAACTACCGCCAGATAACGCATTCGTTGTTGTTCGAATCCCGCCCATGATATCAAATAGGGCTCGGCTAATTGAAAGCTCATACGATATCATCATCCTATCTCAACTCATCCTATATCCATCCTATCTCACCGTGTTCGCCTGTACCTCCCAGATGGGGTATAGTCTCGGCAGTCGGCACTGTCTTATCGATCACGTGAGCTGCTGTTGAGTGTTGATTTTGCTGCCATGGGAGCTTTTTATGCAGGGTTTTGGTGTTGATATATAAAGGTAGAGAGTAATCATGTGTATTTATCTTATAGATTTTCCTGACAATAGCTATATAGACAGAATAGCAGCAGCGCGTAGTTTGTGCTGAGTTGTGGCTGCCGCTTATCAGCGGCTTATCGCTTCTCCACGCCTTTCCCCGCACTCGCAGACAGTATGTAAGCGGAGCTTCTCGTCCATCCCTTGATTGTTTTTTCTTTCTTTCTCTTTGTCGGCAGTCCACCTGTAGATCCACTTTCATCATGTTACCCCCATTTGATTACTTCACATATCGTCGAGTCAGGTATACTCATTGCATTGTGATACTCTTGTCGAACAGCAGCTAACTGATACAGAGACTCCAAGCGAAAGGAACGGGCTTATCGCTTCGCCTCTCTGCCTCCGGTCTACCACTCGGCCTTTACAGCGTTCGATAAGAGTGTCATCAACAAGCCCATTGAGCTTCTGGTGCAAGATGTCCAGGATAGCGCCCTTTCTGCCACCGATCTCCTTCACACCTACGGAAAAGTGGCGGTCAAAGCTCACGAGAAAACAAATTGTGTAACAGAGCTGCTTCTGCCCGAGGCAGAGAAATGGGCTCAGTCGGAGGTTAATCTCAAGGGCCCGCTTGCTGGTATCCCGGTTTCTTTGAAGGATTCGGCCCTCGTCAAGGGGTTTGATACGACTCTTGGGTATACGAGCTTTGCGGGGAAGCCTGCCAAAGAGGATGGTCCTATGGTGAGGTTATTGAAGGATGCGGGTTAGTTCTACGTTATACGATCTTAGTCATGGTCTAACCTGGCCTAGGTGCTGTCCCGTACGCGAAGACTGCGTTGCCGGTCACCTTGTTGTCGTTCGAATCGGCCAGTGCTCTTTGGGGCCACTGTCTCAATCCTCACGTCCCTCAGTACTCCCCCGGTGGTTCGACTGGTGGTGAGGCTGCTTTGCTGGCTCTGGGTGGTCGTATCGGCATTGGCTCTGATGTGGCTGGCTCAGTCCGCGTTCCTGCCGCTTGGAGTGGTATCTACTCGTTGCGGTGCAGCACTGGTCGCTGGCCCAAGGTCGGAGTTAGTACTAGTATGGCTGGACAGGAGGGAGTTGCAAGTGTTTTCAGTCCTATGGCGCGTACACTCAATGATCTTACATACTTCACCAAGGCCATTATTGGTATGCAGCCGTGGAAGTATGATTATACCGTTCACCCAATTTCCTGGAGGGAGGAAGATGAACACGAAGCCGTGTCCAGCAAGCTGCGAATTGGTCTGATGTCGAATGATGGTAATTTACCTTAAATAACTTTCTATCTCTTGCATATCCGCTAACACATGCTAGGAGTCATCCCACCCACACCCGCCATTGAGCGCGCCGTTTCCACCACAGTCGCTGCCCTCACCGCAGCCGGACATACCGTGTCTGAAATCACTCCCCCAGAAACCGCCGACCCATTCGCCGGTCTCCATTTGGCATCCCAGCTCCTCAATTCCGACGGCTGCATCACCATCAACTCCCACCGCTACAGCTTCGAGCCTTCCGACCCCGGCGCCGACCAACTTACCCGCATTACCAACCTCTCCCGCCCCATTCGATACCTATACTACCTCTACGTCCGGTACATCAAACGCGACTACAAATGGGCATCTTTGATCCGTGATCTCAGTCACAAGTCCAGCGCCGATCAATGGAAGCTCGTAGCCAAGCGCGAGTCGTTCCGCGCAACCTGGCATGAATGGTGGGACGCGGAGGCCCAGCAGTACGATTTCATCTTGTGTCCTGCCAACGCTACGCCTGCTCTGCCTCACAAGGCGATGCACGATGCCGTTTCTTCGTGTGGATACACATTCCTGTGGAATCTGCTCGATTACTCGGCGGGTGTTTTGCCTGTTTCGCACGTAGACGCCGTCAAGGATGCTCTCGTGGCACCCTACAAGACTGTCTTGAAGCAATTGGGTTACAACCATGCTCTTGCGCGTGGCGCGTGGATGCACTATGATGCATCGAAGATGGCAGGTCTTCCCACTGCTGTTCAAGTGGTCGGAAGACGATGGCAGGAGGAGAAAGTGCTCGGATACATGTCTGCGGTGGAGAAGGCGTTGGATGAGTACGCAGAGGGTGGGAGGTACAGCTTGATCGAGCTTGATTAGTCATGTTAATACCCTTGCATCTCTTAATATACACATACTCAGTGAATATACTTTGTACTCCATACTCCGTCCTACCCTCCCTTGCAAGAACCGTTATCGTATGTGACTTAAACCATTTCCCCGACCCCATCAAGTGGTCAAGCTCGACCGTTATCATGCAGTGCAGCATTCAATCACCATGTTGGTAAACCAGAAGACCAAAACCCCCTACCTAGTAGAGAAGTGTGCGCATCGATTCTTCTCTCGGGCACATTGTTACACAGCCTGGACTGCTGTACATACAGAGCACTGCCTGTACTCCGTGTACTCCGTCGTGAAGAGCCTCCGCTTCTGAAAACAGCGATATGCAAGGACCAGCGGAGATACTACGGGGAAATAGATGAGACGCAAGTCAGTATCAGTCACTTCCAATATTAGCAACGGAATGATCAGCAGAAGTGGGATCGTGACAGATTCCTTGGCATATTTCTTTTTTGGGTGAGAAACATGGATGTTGTGTGCTGTTATTTGACCGACCTCGATGGTGTTGACGGTCATCCTGCGGGTTCGTCTGTATCTGGAATTATTTGCGTTTTGGTCTTATTTGTATAGTGACTGGTTCCTTGGTAGTCTTGTAGATTGCAGGGCTATATTATTAAATTTAAATGAGCCATGTTGGTTGAATAGGTAGAACAGTAATCATCATCAGCAATCGCCAATATGGAGGAACAAGGGTACGTTCGTCACGATGGCGGTTCATCAGGCCAAGAATGCTATGATTTGTTTGAGGAACATTGAAGAGTCTGTCTGATGATGAAACTGTCTGCCAAAGTTGATCGATGGCATATTGTGTTGCAGAGGCTGCAAATGATATCATGGACAAGCGGAAAATTCAATCTGACTGTTGCACACGAAATTTCACGAACCCCTCACCCCCAAATTTGGGAAATACAACCAAGCAAGGCTGCCGTTCTGTCGTCATTCTCAGTCTCTTCCACGTTTCCACGAAGCCTACACAGCTTCCCAGGGCTGTGCAGAAAAAGAGTCGCACCAACCAAGGCGACTCGGGGAATTAAGGTGTGTTGCACGATTTAAACTTGGACCGGATGTGACGTCTCTCAGCCACAAGCCGCTGCACCCTGGTCGCCATCCGGCTTTTCGGTATTTTCTGACAATCCAGATGGTCCCAATGGCTTCAGACACTTTCGAAGTCCAGCAGACCTGCTGGTATCGTGATTTCTAAGCACTCGGCATGTTCTTCACGGAACCACTGCTCCCCAGTGCCGATCAATGATCAGCGCGGGTCACGGGTCACGCCAACGCCGGTGTTCGAACCTCGTCTCTCCTCTCCTCTCCTCTTTTCTCACGCCAGTCCTCCCTTTCGCCCCCTTACGGCGTCAATGGTGCCTAGAAGGTTGTGTCACTACTCTTATATCCCTTGTGTCTGTCGCTGGCACGTTCGGAATCAGGTCGTCGCCCACACTTAATCTATCCCCCGTCGCCAACTCGATTCGCCACGGAATTCATCTAAATCCCGACCTTGGAACAAATTGTGCGCGCGATACGATACGAGTTCAACGCGCAGGATGCTTGTTTCCCAGATTCCCTGCTATCCTCACAACCGTCGCGTATACTCTCTTTAGGTGATGATCGGTTGGGGTGGGAAATGCCCAACAAAAACGGCTTCGGAGGCCGAACAGCAGGCGTCAATTTCATCAACGCGCGGCCATCGTCGGAATCGGAGAAGCTGAAGATACAGCGCCTGGTCCGAGCTCATGTTGGAAAATGGATATCCGATCAGACCAAGGACCGTTCGTCGCCCCCGGGGGCTGACGATTCTGGCGGTCCCGATAAACCCGAGGACTCGGCGTCCCGGATCACGGTGTTGGAGGATGAGGAAGGAGGGTCTCCTTCGTCGTCTTCGGTAAAATCATCGCGAACGTCGCCCAGTAGCAGCAGTTCGAACACGAGTTCATCCGTCACGCACGCTGCGTCTTGCGATCATTGGCAGCAGAACAACTCCGTGGTTCTTGTTTCGCGGCCAGCACTCGACACCGCTGATAAGGACGACGAGAACTATCACCACTATGACCACGATGATCCCTCACCGCAGTCCGATTCCAGACCTATCATGTCACACCCGCCGCTGCAGCATGTTGAGCGAATTAGCTCTAATGTATTCGATCCGTTTCACTCCTACCCCTCCTCCCTTCCTCCAGAAGCCATCCACTCATGTGAAAGTTACTGTTAGTCCATCGCCTATCTCTATCGGTCTTATTTGATAGTCACTAACTTGCACAGGCCTGTCGGTTCTTTGGCCCGCTCTTACACCTAGATCTGAAAATGAACCGGGGCCCATAGCAAACGCCAACTGGTTTCCTCTTTCCTTACGTGATCCCACTTTGTTTACGGCGTTTTTACTCGGTTCACTGTCCCATCAACGAGTTCAATGGCTCAACGGTACAATTCCGGCAGGCGCATTCGGACCTCGCGAGCAGCGACTCCTGAATTTTGTCGAAATGGAAACAATCAAGTTGATTAACTTGGCAGTAGCGGATCCCACTCGTGCTTTGAGCGATGCTGTCATTCTCAGCGTAATTGCTGTCGCGCACAACAGGGCTGAAGAGCGTGATTACCGGAAATTTCCAGATCCTCCATTCACCGCTCCCTTGCGACGTTTACAGTGGTTGGAAGTCTATGGAAGCCAGACAGCCAACCTAGTCCATGTACAAGGCTTGATTCAAATCATCATGCTACGAGGGGGCTTGGAGTACCTCGAGACTCCGGGGTTGGCTCACATCGTTTCCTTGTAAGTCCGCTTCGATTCAATAAATTTTGAGCACCTACTGACCATCCCCCCGATAGCTCTGACGCATTCACCGCAAGCACTCTTCTCTCGCCACCTATGTTTCCGTTTATGCCACTTCAGAAAAGTCGAAGAGGCTGTAATTTACAAACACTATTAGGATTCAGTCCTATTGAAATAGAGCGTGGCTTCGGTCGATTACGAGAAGTCGGGTTGACCGTTGAGCTGGCCGAGATTCTCCACTCCATGCACGTCTACATCACCATCGTCGAGGAATACCTTTGCGGAAAGAAAACCGACCTCTCCCTCCTCTGTGACCAGCGCAACCTCATCATTCACACCCTTTCATCCATACCCGCAGCAGACCAACTTAATGGTGTTTTCATCAACCAAACCCACAAAGTCGTCTACGAAGCCTGTCGCCTAGCAGCCCTAATCTACGGCGTCGGCGTTGTCTTCCCGCTTCCTGCCCAGAGCACTCCCTTGGCTCGATTAGCCGGTCTCTTGCGCGCTACTCTACAATCCTCCCATTTCCCATCTTTTTGGCCGCCTATCCTGCTTTGGGTTCTCACGCTTGGCGGTATATCTGCCGAGAATACATCCGAACGAAGCTGGTTCGTCGACGCTCTCGGCCAGGCCGCGGCGCAAAGTCGTATCTATTCTTGGGTTAACTTAAGAGCCGTCCTCGGGATGATGCTTTGGTATGACAGAGCTTGCGATCTACCGGGTCAAAATCTATGGCGCGAAGTAGCAGCCTCCTTTGCCCGAAATAGAATCTAAGACTAAAAAGGCCTTTTTTTAATCGTTGCTTTTTTTTGCTTCTTTTATCGACTATTGCTCCACCATCTCCAAATTTTTTTAACCCGTCATTTTCTTTTCGCCATAATTCGCTCAGAAGAGATAGGGGGCCGCCGTCAACAGAAAAAAAAATAGGGGTCGGAACGGAAGCGCCGAAGAGTAGGGTGCCGGATTATGAATCACGACGATCACGAAGAACCCAACGAATGAAACATGAGATATTTTGGGACACACGTCCTTATCTTGTGATGTATATAAATTCATATATATATAATAAGTACTAACTAAACTAACATATATCATCAATTCATAACCCATGATTCATGCAGTTGCCGTTCCATATGAAGAAGATGCCTCGGTACGTGTATCACGAGAGAGAAGGGGCTGTCGTTCCCAGTCTCTAGGCCTAATGCCGTCGTCTGTGAATGTCGGTATACCACCATCCTCAATCCTAGTGGGTTGGATGATATTCCCTGCGGCGGCCATTGTACGTGCTCTCCACCAAACGAAAGTCACAAGCGTGCTCCCAATGAGGAACGTCGCACCCGTAAGAATGACATTAACGGGAATGGGACTACGATGGAAAGACTTGAAGGTGAGGGCATCGAGGCCCGCCTGGGCAAAGTTTCCCATGCCCGCTAGACAAATAATAAGCCCGTAGACTTTGCCAAAGGTCTGGAAGCCAAAGACCTTTGCGGAGTAGTCGGATACGGCCGTGTAGTAGAATGGGCGATAGATGACGAATAGCGCGATGTTAGCGTATCCCGCCTCCATGCTGTTGGGGATACAGCCGAAGACGCCGATGAGTGTTGCTGTTGTCACTAGCACCAGGAGAACGAAAGTGGTGCTCCTGTTATCAAGGATTGTTCCGATGAAGGGGACAGAAATGAGGCCGCCTAGGGGTAGGAAGAAGTCGAATGACTCGTTGATTTGTCGGGCGAGTTGGGGGGAGCCGAGCAGGTATTCGTATTGCTGGCGGATTGAGGCTACAAAGTAGTTGATTCGAAGCATTTGGAGAACAGTAAAGAGGGCGATTAGGATAAACCATGGGGAACGAATCTGTTGCAATGCGGAGTATCCGTGCATTGCACCCCAAACACCACCTGCCAAGTGTGTTTTTGGCTTTGGGGCTTTGAGCCCGGCCCGTCCAGGTCCTGTATCTGCCATGTCTCCAGAGTTTGGGTGATCTGTGTCTATGTGCACATATTTTATGGCGGATGCATCATGGCTCTGGTCCAGCAGATTCTGGATCTTGCTCACGACGCTCTGACGGCGTGCACGGCGGTCCTGGCGTTGACGCTCACTTTGGTTAGGATCTTGGACACTTGCATCCATTCTGTCGTTTGCTTCCGCGATGATTTGCGCCTCCGCCTGTTGTACCAGTTCTCCTGCGGTTTTGTATGATGTATTTGGCATGAGGAGGATTTGCACAGCTATGATGAATATCGGTACGGCCAGATAGAGCAGGAAAAACTTCCTAGTTGACAGTGAACCATTTGTTTGTTCGTTTATGAGACGAAAAATCAAGAAGATAGCACTGGATGCATCAAACGCGCCTGTCAACATGGACAAAATCAAACCCGAACGGGTGGGGAAAGTGTTGGATAGATGGAATGAGGGGATGAAAACGAATGGCCCTCCTAGAGATAGGAATAGATAACCGGGGATATAAGCATCAAAGGGAAGGCTAGCAGCAAATCCAAAAAGCAGGGCCCCAATAATAAGACAAAAGCTTCCAATGATGCCACATACACGAGGGCCATATGTGTCGAGGATAGTTCCAACAGGAAGCGCAGAGACATTGGTCACGACGGCAGCGATAGTAAACATCAAGTTAAGACTGCGAAATGTCAGAAACAGATACGCTATATTGGGGGGAAACCACCCACCGCATTTCCTGTTCGTAGCATACTGTCTCTCCTGAACATAGGTTGTGGTATACCTCTTCTTTAACCAAAACTGGTTTAAGTGCCGCAAATCCAAAGACTGTCCCTGCCGCCAGGAAACAGTATATCACTGCAACAAATACCTGCGCTATATCCATGATCATCAGTTTCTACTTCGAGGATGCAATTATAAGGCCCAAGGTTAGGATGCCATTGGACACTTATCTGGTTTCAAAAACAAAAAGAACATACCAATTCGTTTCACACTGCCAACCTCGAAAGCTGATGTAGTCGGTGGCCCAGGTAATTCCGGCTCAATCAACCCAATACTTTGTGGTGGCTGCGGTTCTTCTCGCGCAGTTTCGTCTTGCTGGCCATCCCTAGGAGCTGTCGAACTAAGCCCCAATATAGAAACATAGTCATCATTTGCATCCTCCACGGATGCCTGGCTCCACCCGGGGCCAGCATATGGATTGAAATTGAGTCGGTATCTCAACGAATTGTGACTGAAGGTTGATGGAAATGAAGACGACAATGACGGTTCGGGAAGGTCATGGTTCACGGAGTCTTGATCATCCGAATCGACCACTGAATCCTGATCCCGATATTGCTGGCGGCGAAAGCCTGCGAGGCTTTGCTCCCATGATTCCAGATAGGAGACACGGGGGAGGGACATGCTAGTAGTACAGCGTAAGCAAGGGCAAGGCAGTAAACAAACTCGGAGATATGGGTCAACAGCGATGGAAGCAATCTGTCCGTTGATGAGTATGACAGCAGAAGAAACTCATCAATCCCCAACTGCCTTCTTGGAGATGGATTGCGACATGATGAGAGGGGTTGTCTTTAAGCAAACAGCCACCGCTGCTTCTCCCTTGTGACGTCGGAGATAACAGCTCATCACATGACTAGAGCTCTCCCCGCGTCTCTCCAGCTTTCACAGCTTCATCTTCTCCAACTCCTCCATCTCCATCGCATCAATTCTCGCGATAAGGCTGGGTGGGTCTGTTATCGGGTTTTTTATCGCTCTTTATCGCTCTTTATCAGTCTGTCTTGACTAAGACTCGATACAAATCCTGGCCTTTTGGGCTGCAATATCCCTGCACAAAACCTTCTTCTCGAGTTCTTAAAAGCCAATTCAAACCAGTATCTCTCCGATTCCCCTCCGATCGAGAGAATTCAGAGGCTAGACCCTCGTCGTTGTTGAACAATCATTTACCATTACTCGATACTAATTGATCGGCTCTCCAGATCGCAAAACAAAATACCTAAGAACTAAAATGTGACTGCCACTTGACCATTTCGTTTTGCAAAAGGTCGAGATTCTTTGACTGGTCGTTTCTTCGTGATACGTATCAAGCCCACTAAAATCACCACACAGTGATTTTTGGGTCATTTTCACATTGTCAGCATCCGGATGTCAAGAAAGGTCAATAAATTCCTGTCGCCAACTCTCGACAACGAAGCAAGTACCAATGTAGCGCATCGTGTCTAGTCCAGTGGTCGGCGTTTTACATTTTCTTGGATAACGCTTCTCCCAGCGCGAGGAACAGCACTGGGGTGTTGTTCATATTCGCCCCACAGCCTTCCAGTCACATACGCTGTCAAACGCGTCGGATTCAATTGCCCTTTCCATAATGTTTGGCTATTGTCACGCAATTTTGTGTTGAATATGGCGAGAAAGACACTCATGGACCGAAAGGCCAGCAAAATGGGGCGAACAGGGATCCCGTATTCCGTACCCACTGAACACTATTAATAAGTGTTATCAATCCCTTAATCAGCCTGAGTACGAACGCTGGGCGTCACATATAAAATGAACTTGACTTCCTGTGCAAGCTGCCGTCTACACGCGTGCGTCAAATCGAGTGAATTTCGGTCGCATACAATGGCATTAATAGCTGAACCACGAATATCTATATCTGGCATAATATTCTGATGACAGTGTCATATGACACAAGGAGCAAAAAGTCTACGGCTTCAAGCTCGTGTGTCCTGTGGGCCGTCCGTCCAATCGAAGGTTACATCTTCCAAAGCTAAGGTTTCAAACTCAAAGCGCTTTGATCGTCATCATAGACATTAAGTCGCTTGTGGCGCTCGTTTTTCTTGGTTAGAAGAAGGTTATTTATTCACAAATTCGCCTTATTGGTTAAACCAGAAACTCGACATTGATCAACACTATCAAATATCTTTCCACAACAAATTGAAGAATCGAGTTTCTGAGGGTGCTCCCATCACCTACCGGCACACCGCCAGCACGTTTTCTTCTATGGATTAGGCCAATTCCAATAGAACATTCATTTCGGATCCATAGTCTCCTTCGGACTGTACTTCCTTACTGGTGCATCCGTGCTTGGCTCTTTTCGAGACATTTTTAGGTTCTCGGAAAGACGTTAAGCAGCGGAATTTCTGCGATATCTGCTAGCCTGTAGGAACCATTCCATTCCAGTTCTCGTGCGCATCGCAGAACCCTGCTTCATAGCTTGCAGAGAACGTTGGACCCAGCTAAAGGGGCTCAGCCACAGGCTTCTGGAACCATGGATGCTGTATTTTGATATTCGTCAGGGAAATTGACAAGGGTCTCAGTGTCATCTCCTCTTTAGTCGGGGCTAGTGAAAAAACCGTTTCATTTGAACTCATCCTTTTTTATTGTTAGGCCACACATGAATTTACGAAGATGGCTTTGGACGATTCTGTGCGATCGACCTTAGGGAGTTGTGGGGGCAAGGAATGGGCCCACCGTGAAGAAACAACACCACAAATCAATTACCGTATTTGGGTTAAATGGCCGGTCGATGGACTCATCTGGATCCTAGAATGCTAGGCTGTGGTATGAGTGGGAGATCCAAAGCTGGCATCGACGCCAAGTTGCCAATCTTAAGCTTGATTGATTGACATCGGCAGTGAGTGAGTTATTTGCCGGGCCAACGTCCAGGAATGGTTTGCTGCGTCCCATAATGCAAATCTTCAAGGAGCTAACATTTAGTAGCAGGTCTAGTGGTAAGCACCACCACAATCCATGTTCCATGTGGTCGGAGTTTGGCGCCAATCAGTCCACGATGGGGACCATCTCAACGGACATGCCTAAGTCAGTTAAGTGCGTCGAGGCATTTAGTAGCAAAATGAGAAGATAGAGCCGTCAAAGCTCAAAATACACACGCAAGAGCGATGCCGATGCTAACTAACTACATAACCACTAACCCGAAACATAATCCTCCGTTATGCATGGTCTGTGATTTAAACTCATGAGTATTTTCTGCTTCGGGCAGTGATCAGAGGCGGAAGTGTCAATTGGATGCACGCCGTCGGGGAGAAAGCGAAAGGCAATCGAAGACTCCATTTGATTTCGGCTTTGAAATTTTATGTTGGAATTCGACTCGGTTGGAGAAGGAAACTGGAACTGTTGGAACCTTGATGTCGTGGTTTGCTGTGATCAATTAAAAATACTGTGATAATCGCCGTCAAGTCCCATGGGTTGCTGGTTGATCTTATTTCTCTGGGGCTGAGGGAAAAGAGACCCTCTCATACCATTGCGTTGCGTCGACGCCAAGAGAGAGATCATCCTTCACTTTCTCTTATGGTGGCTCGATGTGCTTTCTTTTTCTTGCTTATTATTACTTTATTATTGCCTGTGCTCCCCTTCTCTCTCCACTCCGCGTGAACCATTTGTCTCTTGGAGATTTTAACCATCATTACATATCTGTCGCTATTTGTGAGCGCCTACACCCCGCGTCTCGCCGTGCGATCTGTTGCTTATTCGATCATTATTTCGACGTTGGCTTAATCTCATTGGTATCGAGGTCTTTTCTATCCATGGCTGCGCTCGCCCTCCAATAACAAAACTGACGGCGTGATGAGGGGATGGTCAGTCCCCAAATTTCTACCACCAATCTACTTTGTTTCTTCGTCATCCAAATATTATTGTGCTCGGTCAGCTAACAGATGATTGAGTTTAGTCTTACCTGCCGCCAGCGCCATTTGAAATGTAACCTATGCCCCATCCTCTCCCCCGCCCACTTGATCGTTACGAATTTATGGCCGTATCGAATTCAAACCTAACCATATGTTCCAGGTGACAAGACTGGTGTCGAGTGTCTAAGGTGTCAGCGATCAGGACGACAGTGCATTCCTGCCCCCGTGAAAGCGGAAGAAGTCACTTTTCGACACGGTCAGAACCCATCATTGCGAACCAAGGGCCCTCCTCGTTACGGAGAGAGTGATTTGTCTTTTCCTGACGATCAGATTTGGGTAAATATGCCTCCCGAAGGTATGTCGCACCTATCCTGTCTATCATTGAATCATTGAATCCATCGATACTCGAAACGAGCGACACCATACATCTAACTCCGGAAACTGTTTTTAACACCAAATAGTTGCTTTTGAGGATGAGACAACTCGCACGGCTGCCGATTACCATGTAGTTCCGGTAGGGACGCCACCATTTATTGTGAGAGCAGCGTCTGAAAGTCGATCTTCAGCCTCATTGGCTACCTTGACACCTTCCATCGCTCCTAGCCATTTGCCGCGCCCATTTTCCCCCGGGGATCCGAGCTGGTCCAGAACTTTGCCTATATCCCGATCTGTTTCATCAAATTCGCTTTTGCCCTCGAACATTTTGGTCAGCCGTCAACAACTAGGAAACTTCAACGAGGCCTTCCTTCTTCGGCATTTTCGCAAGAATCTAGGCGCCTGGGTACCATCTTTTCCTGTTCTCCAATACAGTTGATAGAATGCTGATTGATGATCTACAGCTTGATGTATGTGACCCAGACAGACGCTTTGCAGCAGATGTTGTGGAGCGGGCACCATCGTGTCCACTCTTACTATATGCATGTCTGGCAATATCCGCTCGACATCTCTCACACACAACGAAATCCGTTCCACCGAATACTGCAGACGAATATCACGAGCGGTGTATTGGAATTCTTCTTCCGGTATTGGATAATACAGACTTCAAGATCAGCATCGATATTCTCCTCGCCTCTACCGTTATTCTGCGCTTCTTTGAACAAATTTCCTGTATGTGTCGGCTAAGGGCTCTCTGACGATCACGGTGCTAATCATTGGTAATTTGAATAGCTCATACACCGTCTAATGATCTGCAGCGACACCTTCTAGCGGGATCGGTGTATATTAGCTCTCATGCGGACTGCGCGATTTCAGGTGGGCTCGCTGAATCATCATTCTGGATATTCGTGATTCAGGATATCCAGTTCGCTCTCGCGTGCCAGAATCCCTTGCGATTGACCTTTGGTCCATTCGAAGAGAAACTTCGTCATGCATGGGATGTTAGGCCTTCACAAACCGACCGTGATTGGACTCACCGAGCAATATGGCTGTTGGCTGAGACGATCAACTTTTGCTATCTCACGAACCATGAAAGCGCCATTGACCCCATTAACGGTGACGCGTTGAAAAGGAAGATCTGCACTTGGGAAACAGAAAAGCCGGACAGTTTCCGACCACTCCACTTTTCTCCTGCTGATCCGAGAAGCGGAAGGCCATTTCCTGTGGTCTGGTATACAAATTCTTGGCATGGTATGTACCTACGGATTACTCCGTATCAATTCAATTTATCCACGGAGATGATTGAATGTCGGTGTGTCGATGTTGACATTTTGATTTCTTAGCTACTGCGATACAGCACGTCTGCATGGCCAAAGCCCTGATACTCCAACGCGATTTAAGAACCATGCGCATGGGCCCAGATTCGAATCGGGAGTTTAGAAGAATGAGGGTGCGTGGTACACTTCTTGTGATCATTTTTTGGAGGGGCATTTTGCTGACATTTCAATAGGAAGACGTCATGGAAAATCTAGGCATTCTGTTTGGAATCGCGCTTTCGACAGACGACGATCCGTCTGCCCGCATCATGGCTTGTCATGCACTCTGCGCTTGTAAGACTCCTATCAATCTCCTTGGCATGACCCATGATCCCCTTCTCTCTTCGCTTGTCAGGGAATATTAGCTATTTTTTTTGGCTCTATTTTGCATAACTAGCTACAAATGGATAGCTAACAGCCTCATCTCTAGGTGGCTCATGGATTCATGACCCCTTAGCACAGAACTGTCTGCTGGATTTGTTGCGCCGAACAGAAGCCGAGAATGGATGGCCGTGGGCCTTTGCGGCCCAGAAACTCGACCAGGAATGGCGCCTAAATACGAGATAAATCCTAAATGCCGACAACTATGCCCAATTTGCAGCTAGTTTATCGATCGAAACCACGTTAGACTAACCCTGAACGGGTTCACACCATTGCGATGTACAAAAAGTTTCGGCCGATCGGACAATGGGGGTCTGGGAAAGGGGCCTCCAAAGCACATACATATTCTGGTCTGAGCAGATTATTGCTCAGCAACATCAGCAGTCATGAAGCAACTGGCTGTTACAGCTTGAGTGGAGATCATTTTACCCCGTACCTCGAAAGGCGATCCCATCTTCTCCTCAAGATGATCATCAAACAGTAAGTGCAGACCGCAGTTTTATCGAGTCCCATTTTCTCCAACTTTGGACTCCAACTTGGCTTTCGTACTCCTTACGGAATATGGCCGGTCCATACTCCTCGATACGTGCCATCTTGTGGGGCTTATGTGCATACGCATGTGGGGTCGCCCCTACCGCCGTGGGGTCGACTGCATAACCTTGTGGGGCTGGTTTTCCCTACCCAAACGAGTGATATACACGGATATTACCCTGCTCTGTCGGATGCGACGACAATTCAATTCGATGATGGAAGAAGAGTCCTGGGGCAAATGGGGAGGATCGTCTTCCGATATTGGACTGGAGTTCGGATCTGCGCCTTTTTTTTTTTGTCTATAAGCGCTCGTCTGATCCATCCATGCGGGGTTTTCTTATAGGTTGATCGATGGTGGTCAAACTATCACCGCTATTTATTGGCTATTTCTTAGTTGGGACTAGACCCGACCACGTCTCATGTCTCATATGTACTGAATCATTGTCACAAATAGATATGCATGATATAATTCAAAAATAGAGTTGAAAATAGAGTCGGGATTCATCCAAATGCCGCTGTCAAGTTTCATCAAGTCTTAGAGAAGATAATAAGGTTTCTATTTCCACGTCAAAAATTGTCACACCATATCAACAGACAAACTCCACGACCCAAACGCCCAGTATAGCCTTCGAGGATATCTAAAATGACTCAAACAAAATAAATCCCAAATGAATGAACAAGAAAGAAAAAAGAAAGAAAAAAGAAAGAAAAAAGAAAGAAAAAAAACGAAAGTTAGAAGTATCCCGCATTCCCATCAAGCGGAAACGTAAGATTGAAAAAGCCATCACCTAGCATATTGCCCAACGCAAACAGATTCTCAGGATCAAACCCGACCTGCATTCCTAGTTCGGGAACAAAGACCCCCTGGTTCGGCGTGGACATGAGCATATTCCCGCTGTTTGGGTCGGGATACCCGGGCATGTCCTGATAGTTTGGATTGCTGAAGGAAGGATAGAACGGGCGAGAATGAGCATGGGAGGCTGAAGAGATAGGAACAGGGGGGTACTGAACCCATTGGTCAGAATCAGTGGCTGCTGTGGTCGTTGTGGCTGTTTCTGGGCCTAGGGGTTGAGATGCCAGGTCCGATGATGCGATGGGTTCGGAAGCGGTGTAGCCTGGTCGAGGCTGGGATGAGGCTGGTCTGGAATTTGGGCGATTTGTAGTAGGTTCTCCCATAGCGACTTCACTAAGAAGGTGGAGAGGGGTGGGACCCATTTTTGCCTGTAAGACATGGTCAATCAGTCAATGCTTTTTCTTCTTCTTCATATGTGGAGATGTAGAACAGAAAAGAGGGAAAGTAGGTACCGGTTGACTCCTTTCTTCGTTGTTCTCCGCCGACTCCCTGATGCTGTTGCATATGCTGAACTGTTTCCCTCCGCCGTCAAATGCCTCCCTCAACGCCACGTGCTGGTCTTTGCGTTTCATAAACCAGCTCCGAAGCAAGTTTAAAACCACCGAGAACTTGGCTGCAGTACGTCCACCGGGATGAGAACCCGCAACCCGGTAACGTTCAAGGACTTTGTCCATGTACCATTCGACTTTCAAACTGGCAGGGTCGATCACTTGTCCAATTCGGGTCTCCGGGGTCGAGACAAGAGAATAAAGTTTAATCAAAGCGACCATTGCATAGGAGGTTCGCGCCAGATTCGAAGTAGGAAAACTGAGGAACGTCCGGGTATCAACGGACGAGACCATATCCAGACAATGGTGGATGGAAGTGAGACAGATAGACAGGGCGTTCATGTGAGCCGCACTAGTGGGGCTTGAATAATCATCTTCTGGTGTTGTTTGCTGGTCATTAGAACCAAATTGCATCGCAGTCTCGTGCATACAGAGGTTTAGTATGTAGTCGGATTGCCTCATTGTTGCTAGACGCCGGATCAGCAAATGGTGATGCTGTAAGAATCATATGTTGGTTTGCTTACCGCAATAAACATCTGGTGGGGTCTCTCTCCTCCATTGATCCAACTGCTTCTCAAAAACTCTCAGGGTATACTGGGTTTTTGGGTCCGAGAAAGATGCGCTGGATCCAAGCTCCTCTGGGGAGAACTGGAAGCCGACTTCTTCAGTGATATGCGAAATTTTAGCCCACTGAATGAGCGCTTTGTCTGATGGCAAAGCGGCAGGGGACTTTTCCAATATCTCAAGACATTCGTCCATATACGGCTGCCATCGTACAAGTAGAACACGCCTCAAGGAAATAGACATTCTGATGGACAAATTAGATCACCAAACCTACCATATAAAGCACAAAACGGGTGGGAAAACATACTGTACGGCTTGTAGATAGCACCCCAGCCAAGCTCTTCGAATTTCTGGCGAATCTGGATCCAACCAAGATGGTTTCCTCCCAAGGATTTCCCTGAGCGACTTGATCGGCTTGCTGGCTACGGTCCTTTGGTTCATCCCAATGTCCATTCCAATCGAAACCCCCAGGTGTACCAATTGATAGAACTTGAGCTCTTCAAAGTTGTCGGGCGGTATGTACCAGTTGCAGGATACTAATATCGCCTGCACCAGCTCCAATGACTTTTCGCCCTTCACCACAGTACGCTCCGCGATGATTTTATAAAAGTCGTCGATAAGGGGCATCTGCAACTCGGGTTGGAAAGGCCCCATAGAAACAGCTACAATTGCTTGCAACAAAACTGGCTTGGTCCTCCGTACATCCTCCATTCGCGTTCCAGCGGGAAACACCACGACGGGTAGCTGGGGGGCCATATCCTCGACATATCGATCGAACGCTTGAGACGCAATATGCGCGGTGACCAAGCCACGATCGATCATATCAACAAATTCTTTAGTCTCTGTTTTCGGGGCATTGTCCAAAGTGAACCAAGTATTCTGCCACCGCTTCGAGGACGAGGACGTCTGGTCGCGCATTCTCTCTGCAGCGGAGGGGCTATCCTGGCGGGGGTATGCAGGGGGCGGGGGCGGATGCCCATTTTCTCTTGGATCTTTCATCTCCCCGCTATAACGCCGTTTGGTCCCCGCCACACTGGCCGGAGAACCCAGAGTCGAAGGAGGTCCATTTGAAACATTCTGCTTCGACGCAAGCCACCGTCGTCCATGATGCTCTTCCCGCTGTGGTAACCCAGTATTACCCTGATCGAATAGCGCATCACCGCCCTGCGAGGCCTGCAAACTAGCAGTCAACGCATCAATCTTCCTCTCCAACTCCGCAACCCGACTATCCGTCTTCTTCTGGCGCTTGCGAGTCGGCGCAGTCACGACACAAGCTCTCCCAGCCTTCGCGCACCGTTTACACGACGGTCCGTTGGGATTGATAGGGTCAGGCTCGCATCGAACTTTGAGCTGTCGGCATGCTTCACATGCACGAGGTCGTTTCAGATCGGCGTACGGGTCATTTGGATCGGTCGACTCCAGTCGATGAAAGCCCGGAATGACGGGGCTGGCGCTTTGTCCTGCTTGATATAGTGGATGCGATCCCTGCGGTTGACCGCCAGTCGTGTTGTAGTACGCATGGTTACCTGACTCGCGTGCGAAGTGCGAGGGAGGGTCCGGATAGTCGCTCGCCGTTGTATGGGCGGAGGTGACAGTATCGTCCTGTGCTGATGCAGGGGATGCGATGTAAGAATGTCTTGTATCTGCTCCTCCAGTAGCAGGGCTATGATCGCTAGGAGGGCGCAGGCGTGGATCGATCTCCATCGAGTTGCGGGGACAGATGCGGGCAAGCTGTAGGAATGTGTGTCAGTCACGTTACCCGACATGGTTGCGACAGAAAGCAGACGAGCTCCAGCTTAAGCTGGAGCTCGTGCTGGTATTCGCAGGGGAATAGAAGAAAGCCATCGGTTCCATCACAGGGGTGTTTGGGGGTATATGAGGAAACGCAAGCTGCGCGTACCTAGCCGTTTGCTCAGGTCGGAAAGACGGTCGGTCGGTCGCCGATGACCGACACGCGGGCGAAGGACGTCGTTGACCTGGAGATAAGATGACAACTATTGGTGTAAGGTTAAAGAATGGGGCGAGAACACTGTCGCATGTAGTCGCGGAATTTTAGAATGACAGTAGAGTGGGTGGAGATGAAATTCAGAGATTGTGAGTGACGATGATGAAAGAGCCTGAAAGAGTTGGGGCGAGAGAAAAAAAAGGATCGCGGGGACAGCGATGATTCGACAGCCGGACATAACGGACTCAAGGGCTGAATTGATGAAATTGTACATTTGTTGTTGCTCATTATTAGTCTATCTGGTTCTATTTTGTGCTGCATATCTACCAAATACCATTTAACGTGCCTAGATGTAAAATGAACGGTGTTGAAGGCATTGATTGGCATCATATCATCGGTGAGATCATTGCTGACATTGCATTCAACACCGACTCGGTGAATTCAAAATCGGAGATAGATAATATTCAAATACACAGTCAGCTTATCATTTGTTTTGATAACTACCGCGGCTAAAAAGGGCTCATATAGAGAAGGACGCTCAATTTAAATGAAAGAATATATAACCCTGAGAAAAAGCAAAAATGGCAAACAACCACGCCATCCCTCAACGCCTGCAAAAGGTATATCGACTTGAAATTGGGGGGATATCGACAAGATAACAAAGCGTAAAAAAGCAGCACGCCAAACCCTTAGCAACAAAGGACAATTGAATAGAGATCCATCATAACCAAGCCTTCTTCCATCAAGAGACTTTGTGGACTGGACACTCCTTCTTCCGCTCAAACCATTCAATAATGCATCGCTTGTGGAACTTGCATAAGCACTCCAGTCGTACCAGCGGCTGACCAACCTCGTAATCTTCCATGCAAATCGTACACTCCTGCATCCCACCTTCCTGTGCTAGACAGTCCTTTTCGGTGGCGGTGAAAGCTATCATTCGAACTGGTAGGGCAGGAGGTTGCGTCGCTGGGCTACCAGTCTGAGACGATGAGCGTGATCGCGAGCCATGACTGTCAATACACTCGCGGATATGGGCCTCTCGCTCATCCTCGTTCCCGCCATCGCCTAGTGCGGGGAGTCTGCGGTTGCAAATGGGACAAAGGTCGCGCTCATCAACACGAGGGCGTTGTATAATGGGGTTACGCCAGGATCTCGGCGGGGACAAGCTGCTACCTTCACTCGTTAGGGGTGGTAGAGGCCGGTGCGATGATGTTTGGGCTAGGAAGGAACGCGCCGATGAATGCATAGACGAAGATGGATATTGCGAAGCCGACGAAGCTCGGAACCGCATTGGACGCTCTTGAAAACTCGTGCCAAACCCGCTAAAGGAGGGATAGTCATTCGCCCCAACAGTCCTCCGCCCTGGGCGCGTAGAATCCTCTGACTGGAAATTGTCAGCTTCATGATGAATAACAGACCAAGAGAAGATATGAAAACTTACAAAGATACCACTCGGCGTTTGCCTTGTCGGCGTCGACATGGAATGATAAGATCGATGTCGAGACTGATTCGGTTGAACCAGGTATGATCCTTGCATCCAACTTGCACCAGACCCATACTCACCATTGGCTCGGAGGGTGGTATACCCACGAGGTGGTTCTGGGTTCGGGTCAGGAACACATGGATTGCAGAGTCGCACCTCCTCGCCACCACCCAGTGCCGGGTTAATGGCAGTTGGAGGTTGGGCAGAGCCCTCTGCCTCAAGATCAATGATCTGCGATGTGCGGGGTGGTATGATAGCCGACTTTGGCGAGCGATTCAAATCCGGTGGACGAACAATATACTGTCTGGGAATCGTGATGCGATGAGGCGAGCAAGACGCACATACGACACGTCCGCATTTCCGACAGTGATGTTTCCGAAACCAGAAGCTAAACACTGTCGCGCATATAGGGCATTCCGTAACTTCAGAGTCAGGCTGCCACCGGGGCAGCGCGCACTCCATATATCCACTATTGTTCCCTTCCTGTGGCCGCGGACCCTGGCTATCAGTCGACCGGCGAGGCGATGGTGCTGGTGGCGAGGACGACAATTCGATCGGCGTAGCTTTCGAAGAACCAGGTATATCAGATTCAGGTCGCACGTGCGATGGCAGCAGCGAAATAGGCCTGCTACTTGCCCCTGCTCGACTGCTCGACCCCTGTTCTATCACCGTCTCGGACCTTGGTCGTCTCGGACAAGCATCGCCATCCGGGTTCGTCAATCTTCTCTTGCGATCCGGCACAGTGAGAGTGGCCCGCCTCCTCTCTGTCTGCATATCCAATCCAGGGACATCCCTTGCCCTTAAACTATCCGAACGTGCTGCATGAGACCTGATACCAGCACCAGGGACCGGGGCGGAGAAAGCGGCGGAGGCAGTAGCGGGTGTAGAGGAAGCGGAGGAGGCAGAACTCGACAACGACGACATTAACCTAGGACAAGGATTATGCGAGGGGAATCTCAAATCTGGGTGTCTTCCTATCGCTGGAGAGGAGACCAATCTCCGCCGTTTAGACGACGGACCGTCATTGACTGCGTGGCGAGGGGGGTCCAGGGTGGTTGAGCAACAGGAAAGACGTCGTTGAAAACACCGATAGCGAAGGCAGATATAAGAAAATTAATAGATAACGCTTTGACAATGACGTTGTACTCCTATCAAAGGATGTTGTGTGTCACGCGAAACTGCAACGAAGGGAGATGACCAGACACAAGGCTTATCTAACGGCGGATTCGGGGATAACCAAGTGGTGTCTCGTGACGATGGATTCAATCCCTCGCAGTATTGGCCTGTCCAGCAAAGGCGTCACCACGAAGAATAATTTGTTATCTAAAAGCGCAAATCAAGAGCCGCTAGATGGAGGGGGAGGGGAGGAAGTTTGAAATGTAGAAGATGAAAATGCGTGGTTTGTAAGGGCCGTGAAACGCAGGCGTGCCTTACGCTACCGAGGATTTGCCGCGGGGTTATGAAGGTGGAACCGCGACTGGACTGACACAACATTTGCAAAGCATTTTCATTAGGAGGCTGTTTTAAAGTTGGAATGATGAGAAATGAGCAAAGAGCAGGTAGTTTTTTTTATGATGATAGTGTCAGAAGATCGATTTCATAAACTATAAATGAGTTCTGACTGTAGTGTGACAATATATATCATCGTGCCTCAGCAGTATGTACATGTTCTTGGATGGTCAATGATAAGGAGATCAACAAACATTTTGTTCAACACAAATAACGAAACAATAAAAATGTCCTAAAAATTATGTATAAAATATTACTGTATCCTTATGTTAATTAACAAGCCCAAGTTGCTCAGCCCATGCTGATATAGTTAAAAAAAATATTATCCCCAAACAGATAATACATGAATCAAAAGCTTCCAAGCAAGATGTACAAAATACAAAAATGAGCCCTCGGCGCAGCAGACCTTTCCCAGCCGTGTATTACTTGCTGGCAGAAGGGGGTTGAAAAAGATACACAAAGACAAGACCATTCGCCCACGCTGACCCTGGGCGCACACACTCAATAAAGTGATCAAATTGCATATCGCAAACGCCAGGATGCAGACTTTTATCGCAATGTAAAAAGGAAATTCGTGATCTTGACATCGAAGACGAGCAGATTGGTGGAGAGGAGTGTAGAAAGGCGATGGGGTATAGCGTAGAGTAGGTATAGGCGAGTGCATTTATGTCGATTTGCAGAAGAACAAGGCACAGTCATCCGGCCCTGAATTAATGCTCTGACTCCGTGTGATCAATCGGCTCATCCACGAGCTCAGCGGTACTGCTCGTAAAAGAAGGCTCATCAGGACCGGCCTCATGGATATTGTCTCGGGCTCGATACTGAGCGACATAGCCCATGCTTGACGGTCGGTCCCGGGTTCTCGTGCTAGCACTCCGTCCAATGTGATGGCTTGATGTGGAGGAGGGTGCGGTAGAAGCGATGGAAAAGCCCCGATCTCGAGAGGGGGAACTGTTAGCACTGAATGGTAGCCGACCGGTACCCGAAGATGGTTGAAGTAAGGTCGATGTATCCTGGGAGGGTTCAAGATGCCGGCTGGTGTCCCTGGACTCCCCGGCCACGGCTTCCGCAACTGCTGGGAGGTTTTGTTGTGATACATCCTCCATTTCTTGATCCATCGATCCTGAAGAACCTTTTCGCTTGGAACTCCGTCTTGGAATAGAAGGCGCCGGCTCCAAGACCACCGATGGTGCTTGCGAGCTACGATGCGACCCCATACGACTAGGAAGTTCGATATCGCCGACAGGACCAACTTCAGGCAGTGTTGCCGGAGCTGTGCTAGGTTGCTTGTTCCCTTCCCCTTCCGAATCGTGGTATTGATCTGTTTCGGGAGCCTGGCGGGGGTTGCCCGCCGCGGCTGATTCCTCGGGTTCATCCCTGTACGGTTCGTTGAAACTTTCGCCTTCTACGAACATACCCGGCGGAGGTGCTCTCGCACTACGCACCACTTCAAACCCCTTCCCTTTCTCCTTGGTCTTTCCATTGAACAGGTTTCGGAACCAGCCAGTTGCAGAAGAGACAGGACCAGTAGGATCAGCTGGACCCGTCTTCAATTTACGAGTGCCAGTGTGGGATAGTGGGGGTCCGCGCACCCGGTAGTAGAAGTCAACTTCACGCACAGCATAGTCTTTCCTTGGTTGTCGAGAATCGTCAAAGTCAAGATCATCCTTGGGCGCTGGGATGTAAGCCGGGATGGGAGTAGCCCTGCCAGATACCGATGGGCCTTCAATTTCGTCATCTTGGTCACCATGGTTGACCGACTTCTGAGCACCCGCCGAGCCCCCTCTGCTTTTAGGCAGAGAACCCGTTTCCACAGCTTTCCTTGGGAGCCTGGGAGGTCGGTAGTAGGGATCATTTTGCTGAAGAGAAAATGCTGGACCGCTTTTGGGAGAATTGCTTCCTGCCGTCTGGTAACCAGCGCCGTAGAAGGTAGCATTGCCTCCCATTGTTGTAGGAGTGTACATCCCACTGCTATTAGCTCGACTATGAGTTCCTTGTGCACTTGGCGACTCGTAGGCCGCACTGACCCTGCCATCGCTTGCTGCTGCGCGGTTCAAAAGTAGGGCGGAGCTTCCTGAAAGACTCCTTGGCCTTGACCCTTCAAACTGCGATGACATTCGTTCATCTGAGTGTGCTAACATCGCAGCCTCTGAGCCCATGCTTTGACGTGTCCCGACTTCACGTCTGGGTACACGGCGGGAAAGCTGACGCATGCCAAACACCTTGGTAAGACCACCACGAGTGGCAGCGCCCTGGTAGCCACCAGCGCCAGCGAGTCGCGCTATCACCTCAATCAGGGTTTGTAAAGCATTCAAGCAGAATCCAAAGACGAGGACCAAGGCATGCAGGAAAAGGATGACATAGCCTATCCATCCTCGTGCAGCTTCCGAGACATCAAGAGAAGGAACAAAAGCAACGCTGAGCAGTATCGTCAAAAATCGGACTATAGAGAAGCAGGTGTGGTAGAAGTTCATAGAGGTCGGTGGAGGATAGGGTCGGAATGCAACGAGGGTAAGCAAGAAAACAACTTCGCAAATCGCCAGAAGAACTATCTGGGCGATTCCCGATGGTTGAAGGGCGCCAATAGCGACACCGCGCGCAAAGGAAATGATGATAGGAACAACCGCAAAAGCCGCAGCATCGTCGCAAAAGGTGTTGTAGAGTGGGCCATACAGCAGCACCGTCGTCAAATCATCAAAGAGGTAGGATTTCGGACGAGTGCTTGCAATCAGCCGGATCGTCCAGAGAGCAAAGGCTATCAGTATTAGGATGACTATAACAGCCAAAACGACACAATATACTGGAGAGTCACCGGCTATGACTAGCTGAAAGAAAGACATCGAGATGAGCGGTAGAAAAAGAAAGTTAAACACAATCCGAACAATATTGCCAACAGTAAATGGCATGTTCTTTGAACGAAGGTCTTCCTCCGGAATATTGGCAATTTCGCGATGGAGCCAGCGAAAAGCGAACGCAAGCTGAATCACAAGGGTGATGGCAACCACAATAACAAGCAGCCAGACCATCATTCCAGGCCAAATATCGCGGCCCGCATCCATGCCGACGTACTGTTCCAGTCGGTCCAGGCCATAGGAGGTAGTATTGATGGAATAAATACCATCCACAACTGGGTTTTGCTCATGGCCTGGATTCAGAAAGCTTTGGTTGAACATGAGGACGGACCAGGCAGCTTGACTGACGACAGGTTGATAATAACCAGGGTATTTCAAGGTTAGCGCGCCTGTTAACACCACGAACTGTAAGTACTGTAGGCAATCTCCAAATCCAGGGGTAACAAGACGGATAACATCCTCATCACGACCGTAATTGCTGGTCCAGCGGAAAGGATCAGTAGTGCCCCAAGGACTGTAAATCGCGGCAGTTATAGTAGCAACCCCTACCAGGATGAGAATAACCAGAGGAACATAGGCCAGAGCGTTCTTAAGAGTCGATCCAAGGTCCGGGGTTATGTCAACCGATATACAACCGAGAACGGTGGCAGCAGCATCGCCCGATTTGATCCTGATTTTTGATGCAAAAGTAGCGAAATGAAATGACGAGAGCATGTCATGTTGAACGGAGAAAGCACGTAATGCGTCCAAGTTGCTCCTGTGAACATTTTCGGGTGAGTGGTTATACAGAAGAGTAATTCCAAGTAGGGAGCACTCACGAATTAGCGTAAAATACAGGGCCGAGCGGGCATTCCCCTTGAGAGAGGGAGGTGCAAAACCTAGATGGCTCACTATAAGGGGTGAAAGTGAGCACATCGACATCCGTCAAAAGCGTGCTGTACTTGTTGTTGTCCCTGTCCAAATCCTGAATCTTTCCTGCAGTATAACTGGCATTTGACCATTTCGAATCACTAGGGGATGGATAAGACGATCCATCATCCGTGCCGGAAACATTGCCGTAAACTGTGATATTGAGAGGACGGAGGGGGTCCTCCAAATCGAAGGTGACGGCCACGTCTAAAGGAACAAACTGAAGCTGAAGCGGGTCGGAATGAATGACGCTTTCGCCCAAACAGTTATCGAAATCCACCAGCACAGCGTAGGTGGAAGACACCAAAGACATGAACACCACAATGATCATCCACATTATCCCGCCATCGAATCTCCAAGACCAAGGCCGTCGCCGCCGTCGGGAAGTATCTCGCCATCGTCGTCGACCTTGAAAAACACATCTTCCACCTTCTATGAACTCAGAGCCTTGTCGAGATGAAGAATCCGACGTATTCTGCCATCTTGCACCGTGATCTCGACACATCACGACCGTTTCGCGTAAATGGGATGACCTCCTCGGGGAGGTCAGCCCCCTATCAGACGATTCAATCCACGTTGTTACCGATAATGCCTAATATATCAACGGCTGCCTAATCTGCCCGCACGGCAGAAACCTCCCATATGAAGGATATCGGGGGGTCGAAGGAAGGACGGCGGAGGTGGAGGTCGGCGACAGAGCGGACAGACAAGAGAATCCCGAATCGCAGGTTCGACAGTGGTTCCAAAGCGAGGGATAGATGACAGGTCACTCCTCTCTGTATCCTCCCCAAATTCGGTAATGTTCTTTTGATGATCAGGGGATGCGACACATAACTCTGGGAAGCGCGGGGGAGCACAAGGGTCGGGGATGACAAGAGGCGTAAACACGGAGAAGGTGATCGGGGGCGGAATAGCGCAAAAAAAAAGTTGTTTTAAAAAGCCGTCAAGGGCGGGACTTTGTCTTCAGGCCGGCAGCAAGCATGGATGGAAAGAATGGAGAAACAAAAAAGAAGAAGGGTGTCAGAAAGAAAAAAGCAAGCAAAACGAAGAAAAAGAAAAAAAGGCTGGAATGCGAATAAGATCCAGCTGCTTCTACCTTAGCGGTACCCGCCTGTCGTCTTGGGCTTGGAGGCTGAGCATCCTTCTCCCTCTTGAGCGGTTGAGTGGCTTTCGATTCTAATCTTGGAAACGCACACCCAATCAATCGAGGACCGGCTAAAAACACACACAATCGAACAGCTGTTTTCCTTTCACCAGCCTCAGCTGGGTTCCCACTTTGTGTCTGAGATGCTCCCCGACTGTCTCAGCCGTTGTCACTATTCTTATTTCTGGTCGCTATTATTATTATTGCCGTGGAAGATCATTCGGAATTTGTCACTCTAACCACTAACTAACCAACTAACCACCACCACCAGAGGGGCTCTCTCAACCGACATGCTATCGTTTAGCTGTCCATTTCTCCATACTGTGGACTAGTTGGGACTTCAGGAGCATACGCAGAATTCTACGACCCCTCCCCGCGTCACCCTGATGGTGTGCAATAGTCTCATCCACTCGTCTATTAGTCCAAGGACGACAGGTTGGCATATTATTGGAAAATCTATCGCTGTTATTATTGACAGTTCATCTGCGAGGAAGCTGTCAGACTGCTATACTGACTAACAATTAATGACCCAGTTAATTTGAGCTAATACGAGTTTCAATTTAGCCAATGAAACATGGCAATATGGAACAAGAACCATGATGGGGCATTACTACCGGCGATGAAACTCCCATTCAGCCGGTTTTTGCAACTATAATAGCGGTGTGTTGATAATGCCTTTATGTTCAAAACACCGATCGAAATAATTCAATCGGCTAATCTAAGTACCAAACTAACTCTAAGTTTCTAAAAACAAACCCGTATTGGTCTTGGTGGGTGGGCTTGATAAAGAGTCAAAATTAGTACTGCATGATAATGTCATGACTATACCTACTTGCATATAGACTGAATCGATGTACAGCAAGGTAGTCTATCTGCAAGCAATTGTTGTTCGACCAGAAATAAGCCCCTTTGCCATGCGAAGCATCTTACTGCTCCATCGAAGTGGGCAGTCAGTCAAGGGCGTCATTCATGCCGGGGAATAATGATTCGCATCTGACATGTCTCATGAACTATATGAAGCTTACTGCGTTGATATACAAAGTAGCTTTTATGGCTTTAATAATTTGCCAAGTTGATAGTGCCGGGTTATGAATAGCATGCTGTAAAATAGCATATCTTGGCCTCAGGGATAGTCCTACACTAAGTTTACAGACAGCTGTCGTTTTCTTTGGCTGATCCATGGGACCATGCATTTGATTAGTATGCGAACAGAATTACCTTTGGATGACAAGTCAGTAAACTCAACAATTAGTTACCGATAAAGATCTAGATCATTCTGGACATTCCAGAATACCTTGGATGGCCTCCTAACATGATGGGAGACTAGGGGGGTTGTGTATATCACCTTAGTGTATGCATAATTCCAAGGTAGGAATAGGAAGCATGCGCCGGGATCAATGGAATAGGAAAGCCGGTAAACAAGTATTCTACAAGTACGACAGTAACGCTGCGCTACGTTCTACAGGGGTGGTTTTGGGCAATGGGACGCCTGATGCTTTTTCTTTTTCGCGCGGGTACTACCGAGTATATTTAGACGTGAACAACCTGGCCGTTACTTCATCTGCCAATGACTTTTCAATAACCTGTAGATTGTCACTCAACACTAGAGTGGCTTAGCCGACTGTCGCCCATAAGTGTAGTACTAATGCATCCGCGTATTCAGTGGATATGGAGAACGTGTCTGTCAAGCTTTTTGCTGCTTTAACGCCGATGGGTCAGAATTTATGCGGCAGGGGGCCGCATCCTCGAAACTAACTCATGAACGCGCGTTTAGACCATTGAAAGGGAAGATAATTCAATAGCATACTGCTCTTGACACGGATATGGATGCAAATAGTACGGAGGATCTCAATTGAAAAAATCATGGAAGATGTGCACCAGTCCCGTTGCTGACTGCAGCAGGGAGATCGTTACATCATAATCTGCAGTTTAGAGGTCGACAGTAAAAGGAAATGATAGTCAATAATTGACGATGAGGTCATATATACTCCGTGCGACAAAAACTAATTCATCCATAGATCAGTGGCTGGAGATTTGCTTTCGTTACCCCTGTATGAGCGACACGGAACGGCTAGGTATTGAACGGGAAACCATTGAACTAATCCACTCTGGATGATACCTGCTATTTTGTCTGAACAACTGCCTATTCCATCCATGTCTTAAAAGTAGCAGAATCGACCCTCTTGATAACGGCATGATTGGCAAAAATAACACTACTAACTGTGCTACAATTGTCCAAATGCCCTTTGTCTTTTGGAAGCACTTGGCGATCCCCGTCGCCTTAGGCCAATGGCTGGGATTGGGTCGGCGGGCGCAGCCCCTCGCGTCATCGCTCATTGGCCTTGCGGGCGGCCCAAGGTTCAGAGGGTTCGAGTGGCTCGTCAGCGGCCCACTCAGAATCACCAGCTCGACTGGGATAGTGCGGGGCCTGACCCTGAATGGGTTTAGTGCCGTTTCAAGATGAGGTTTGAGCTCCAACAAACGGAGAGACCAAGTGGGCCGCTTTGTTGTTTGACCAAAGATTGATCGGTCCTCAGGCCTCAGATGGATAAGGAGGCAGAGACAGTGCTGGGTTAGTGATGGTGTTGTTACTACCCAAGTATCACCGTCCGCGTAATTTTGGATTTGTTGCCATCAAAGTGGAAGTGCTGCCACTGTCTGGTTCTTTTTAATGTCCATGAAACTAGTCATATCTCCCTCGTGGTGATGGGGCAGTTAAAGACCAGTTGGTGTAACGTAGGCTGGTTGATAATAAGATAGGTAATAGCTGTGTGTGTGTGTGTGTGTGTGTGTGTGTGTGTGTGTGTGTATCTGGCATATATTATACTCCGTAGGTTTCCCCAGAGCATGTGCCACGTGATTGACAAATAAACACCAAAAACGCCTATCTCGACCGCATAATTTGGGACGCCGTACGGTATGTGGTAGCTATCTTCAAGTGATAAAGGTCGGCGGCAAAGTAGTACCTCACATACTCCAGTTTTGGTGCGGAGATCCTTCAGCCTAGGTACCCGTGCTTGGTCGCCGCCGAAAGAACAGCAACTTTGGTAACTACCCAAATAACCTGCCAACGTCCGTCGCTTTTTCTTTTTCTTTTTGATCCTTCTTTCTTCCTATTTTCAACTTATTGGGTCTAGTAAGGACGGTCGAGTAAGCAGTTATCTGTTCCTTTAGTAGCAGAGCTGCTGCTGCTGGACACCCTGGCAGTCTCCTCCCTCCTTCTCTTGCCATCTCCCAGTCGACTCCTCCCTCTCTCCCTTGTCTCTCTTGTCTCTCTCTACCCCCCTCCTCTCTCCGGCCTCCGCCCTCCAGCAACAACTTTTTGGTGAGAATAAGCCGCTTTGTGTTCCCGTCAACCCAAATCCCCTGAAGTGCCCCTTCTTTATGTGCCCCATGTCTGAATTGCTCATTTAATTGGTCTTGGTAGATCGCTCGTCCCCTACTCCACCAGACAGGCAATCGCGCCTCGCTCCCCGTCAGTGCTGCGCTCCTACACCATTTACGACTCGACCTAGTGCACCCTCGGCTGCGAACATCGCCTGGTGTCACTCTTTACTACTTATTATAATCTCGTCATCCGCTCCGCCTCTCCTCCCCTCCAGCTAAATACCGCCCCCCCTCCTCCTAGTGGGAAGTCGCTTTCTTTTGTCAACTCCCCCCGATCCTTCTATTCCCTCCGCTCGATCCCTTTCGACGTTCTCCACTAGTCCTACTTTACAATACACGCTGCCCTTATCGTGAAGATTCGGGCAACCCCTGTCGATCTCCGGATTTGCAGTGCAAGATCAGATTGGGCGGGGGATAATTGACGAGGACTGGTTTCCTTGTTTGCGCATAATTCCCACAGGCTTGTAAATGTTCATAGCCTCCCAGAACCATAATCTTCGACGAATTTGTGCATTAATATCGGCCAAAAATGCCTGGTGATGACCCTTTTGCCTTTGTGGCTCCCGCTGAGCGCAAGCCACTCAAGAAACCCCACTGGAGGGAGAAACTGTTTTCGAGGGATAAGAATAAGCACAATGCAGACCAGCAAGTCGAAGCGTTTTTGGGCCCCACGCGTTCAAAGTCTTTGTCCGTGTCGCAAGGGTTGCCTCCAACAGCTGCCACCCCTCGAGGGCTGCCGACGTCTCGTATTGACGTCTCTTCTCACCGATGGCCATCCTCCCAGGATCTCCCAAACACAGCTCCTCCGCTTAACTCTGCCACCAATGAGCACTTTCAGTCCCATCCTCTGTCGATGCCTCCTTGGAAAAGTCGTCCCCGCCCTGGTCTGAAGGTTCAATTTAACGGCGGTGAGCCAGAAGTGATCGGAGAGGGTGGCGACGAATCTGAAGTTCCGACAATAGAAATATCCATGTATCGTGCTCGTCCACGCAGACGAGGTACAGGTACAAGTCAGGCCAGCGACTCCTCGGCTCAGCCCGAGAACTTTCAAGCTACCCAGCCGCAACTTCGACTGGATACTACGTTTGAGGATGCCGATGGTCGCGTGCCCCGTGGAACAACCCTCCAGCGAAAGGACACGACTGCAAAAGGTCTCCATCCTTCGGATTGGAAGCCATTGCTGCAGAATCCCCAGGACGCAGACTTTCTCATGACGTTGAATTTGGGACAAGGCGGGTCTCGTCTGTCATTTCGAGCTTCCCCGGAATCCAACTCATTTGCCCAGCGGGTACGGGCAAAGATGCAGGCGGAAGAAGGTCGTGCTTTGCAATCCCATCAGGATGATCGTGTGCCGCTTGACAACGACGATGGCGATACGTACCGGGCTGCTGACATGGAACCAGACAGTCCTTCGTCATATGAAACACCTCCGTTGTCTGAAACAGAGGAGGTGCCTCCGGCTAATCCCCTTCGCAGCCCAGAAACTCCCGTGATGCACATGCAAGGGAGTCCCAGCCCGATCGATACTCATTCAGCTTATGATCTTACTCCGGCCGGCACTTTACCAAACCTTTCTTCTCCGAAGTCACAACCAATGGTCTCTCCTCCCAAGCCACACGCACTGCCTTCTCCTCCCAAGCCGCAAGTAATGCATTCCCCTACAAAGTCGCAAACAATGCATTCTCCTCCGAAGCCATCGGCAATCCCTATCGACCCTGCCTTGAATGAACAAAGTCGTCCATCTAGTAGGGATAATCGCGATCTCCCTCGCAATCCACAGCCGCCCAAGATCTCCCTACGCTCGGTTGCCAATCAGTTTGGAGATTCTGCCTTTGCGGACTTCAAAGCCTACATAGCCCAATATGCTGACCTGATTAGACTTTCAGCCGAGGGTGTCAAGCCCTTGATGGAAACCTCCCTTACTGAATGGATGAGGGCTGGTGTGTGGTGGTTTATGCGCGGCAAGAAGAGGCTCGAAGCATATGCCCGATCTCGACCTTCAAGTTCTGGTGGAGGGAACAATCTTCAAGGCGCCAAGCAGGCTGTTATCGACCTTGGCAAAGCTCTGTGGATTAATGAGAGCATTGTTCCTCAACACAACGAGCTGGCCAGATACGGAAAAATGAGCATCGAGGCTTTGATTGCTGTAGTAAATACAACCGGCGATAAGCAGATGGCCGATCTTCTGGGTCTACACCAAGCCCTACTCAATCACTTGCGATCTTTGACTATGTCTATCAAGCGAAACAACATTTTGTCGGTTCTCGCATCTAACGGTGACTCGGTTGGCCATGCCGACACTAGTGTTTGGCTACGATATCCTTTCTTCGCTCCCGATGTTTCGGCAGTCCTTTCTGGCTCGGCTTCCAGATCGATGCTGATTGACCAGCCCGGAAAGGGCCAAAACATGGCCCATATGATGCCGCTAGGCGATACAAGTCGACATTTTAGCTATGGAAGCATGTTTGTTGATGTTTGCGTGAGTTCTAGTGAGGACGACTCCCAGCAATTCTCCATGCCATGTGTGTTATCCATAATCCGTGACCGTGGGGATTGGTATGTTCTCGCGGCTATCTGTAGCCAGAGTGAATTGGTCAATACCATGATCCAGTCGGATCGAAAGCAAGGCCCCACATGGGATGATGTGGACTGGCAGGTCAGGACAAACTCAATGAATGTCAAGTTGCCTCGTGGCTTTGAGTTGGATATTACGTTCCAGGAAGACGATTTCAAGACCCTTTGGAACATTGTGAAATACACAACAAAAACCGAAGCTAGCCTTTCACCCGAAGCCGGTGAAAATATCATCTATGAAAGTACCTTGAAGGTCTTCCAATATATGGATCCTGGCACGCCAAAGGCATTCCCAGTGGAACCTATCGATCGATGCCGACTCCGCTTGTTTGAGCGCTACGTGACAGTGACCGAAGGTACTGGTACCAGAAGTGTTCACCAAGGCTTCCGACTTGCCGTTCTCACTAGTCCCAAGGTGAAGACTCTCAGCAGCGCGAATCACATTTTAGGATTCGGCACTCCTGTTGTGTTTGGCCTTCTTCGGGGTGAAGATGGCGCCCCAGCGCTTTTGCTCAAAGTCAAGGAGGATGGAAGGACCAGGTCTATGTTGATGACATTCCACGAAGTCCAGGAGCGCACCACCATGCATTCTCTACTTTTGGGAATGCTTACAAGGGAAACTGAATCGAAAACACCGGACATCGCAATGCGGGCCTATTCTATCGAACAGCCAGCAGACAAGCAAAGTGGCAGGGCTGCCGTCACCCATCTCCAGTTTCCGGCTGGAACTGTCTCGGTCATTGATCAAGAACATGCATTTGTGGACCATGGATATGGGCCAACAATTCTATCGGAGCATTTGCGAGCTTTCATAGCCACAGAGTGGGGGTCTGCGACAGATCGTATCAACCTAGGTATGGCAGATATGTGCGTTTCTTTGCCACTCAAATGACTAATGTGACTCTAGGGCCTGGTGAACTTAAACTGGGACTTGATGTCAATAACCGGACTGGACTCAGTCTGTATCGACCTGGACAAAAGGATTTGACTGTCTCCGTTGCTGAAAACCTTGTCCGCCCCGAAATGCCGGATACGTTGTCGGATTTCTTACAGACAGCCATGGTCAAGCCTATGATCCGACGGTTTGATTTTGCCTCGCTGAAAGGTATTTGTTTTGGGCCATATTGGTTTCTACAGCAACTAATTGATTTCTGCTAGATCTCCACGCTTTCGAGGCAGCCGTCACTGGCTTCAAAGTGCTATTCGATAGGTATGGTTACTTTTTTTTCCTGTTCATGCACGACACGAGCTAACAAAGCACTACAGTGTTGCTTGTTATTTTACGGTATCACGGCGTCGGATGGTGGTACCGATCTCCAAGAAATGGGAGTCGAGCCTTGCTCGAATCCAAATTGTCCAACAAGAGAAGGTCATCCAACTGTTGGCATTTTTCAACGATTTCAACCACGGAAAGTGCATGAATTTTGTTCTCAAGGGAACAGATACGCTCGAGTCATTTGGTCGATCTGGAAAGTTCTGTACTAGAATCGTGGACGCCAAATTCGCATTGCCAAAGACCGAAGATGATCCAGCTTCCGACTTTGTCTGTTTAGATATGCCAGACTACCCAATTGAGCATGATGACATTGCCATTGGGTTTGATTCCGAGTCCGGTATGATTATTTGCTTTGAGATTGCTTAAAGTTGATACTAATGGAATATTACAGACCGAGCGAATTTCCAAGCCGCTGCACCGGGGACGGTTCGTGAGCCGTCGAGAATGGGCTCTCTGCGACGATGATCCAAATCACCAGTTCTCAACGATTGAATCGATGACAATAATAATGACCAATGTATATGACTTTGACCCTTGAAAACGATATTCATTTTTCAAACTGCCCTTATTGCGCCATGGACTGTTCAAATCACGTGTCCAGCCCCTCCCCTCCCCTCTCCAAAGCGGAGCTCCACCCGATGAGTCATGACAAATCATTTAAAGTCATAACTAGGGTGGGGTGCCATGACATCTGCTCTTATTTAGACAGCTAAACCTGCTCATATCCCTTCATCACCCCAGAATCAACATACAAATAACAATGTCTCATTCCAACCCTAATATTGGAACTTCCACCAGCTCTCTACATGCAGACGATGCGTTGCATGTGGTTACAGACGTGGCTCCTCCGCTGCATCTTTCAACCACATTTAGATACCCAGAAAACCCGGAGGATCTTGTGCCTTTGGCAGACCTCATCACCGTATGCTTCGCCGGTCAACCCTTGCTCTGCAGCCTGCCATAGTGTTCTGACATGATTGCTGTAGTCTGACCCAGACCCTACCAAGCACGTTTACTCTCGGCTCTCTGCCCCTAACCCGACACGCTTCGAAGCCATTCTTTCCTCTCTGCTCAATGGCCAAGCTGTAAGCTACTCATCTGGTTTGTCCGCTCTTCATGCCGCATTGGTCCTTCTCAATCCCCGCCGCATCTCTATCGGACATGGTTATCATGGCTGTCATGGCGTCATCGAGCTGTTCAGTCGCTTGACTGGACTTCAGAAGTTGGACCTTGACTGCCCTGCCGAGCAGTTGGAAGCTGGGGATGTGATTCACCTGGAAACGCCAGTCAATCCAGCAGGTACCGCGTTCAATATCGAGGCATACGCAGAGAAGGCACATTCCCGGGGAGCATACCTCATAGTCGACGGTACATTTGCCCCTCCGGGTCTCCAGGATCCCTTCCAGTGGGGCGCGGATATTGTGATGCACTCCGGTTCAAAGTATTTTGGTGGACACAGTGACATGCTTTGTGGTGTTCTCGCAACGAATCGCAGTGATTGGGTCAAGAAATTGCGGGAGGACCGCCTATATCTTGGAAGTGTTATGGGTAATATGGAGGGGTGGCTTGGTGTTCGGAGCTTGCGTACCCTCGAAGTTCGTGTTCAGCGCCAGAGCCAGAACGCCACGAAGCTTGTGTCGTGGCTCAATGATGCTCTTCATGCACAAAGTCTACCTGGTAGTGATGAAGCTGCAGCACAGTCTGTCACTCAGGAAGTTTACCATGCAAGTCTCCAGAAGGAACCTTGGTTGCAGAAGCAGATGCCGAACGGCTTTGGGCCTGTATTTTCGATTCTCACAAAGGAGGAAGCCTTCGCTCGGAAGCTCCCCAGCAAACTCTCGTTCTTCCAACACGCGACTAGTCTAGGAGGTGTGGAGTCACTGATTGAGTGGCGGGCATTGTCAGACGCTGGTGTGGATCGCCGACTGTTGAGGATCAGCGTTGGGTTGGAGAACTGGGAAGATTTGAAGAGTGACTTGGTGGCTGCATTTCAGGCTTTGGCCAAGGGCGACTAGATTTCCGCCATTTTGATGTACATAGATAAAATAGATTAGCTACACCTTGCTTTGAGAAGGGTCTGAAATAGATGGAATAATCATTTTCTTTGAGTGTTAGATTCATTTGCGGACTGCGGGGTCTTAATTGCTCCTATCTTGAAATTCGGTTACCCCGCATCCGACGACTTCCAACTCAACACCCCGTCGCGTCTACTCACTCAATCGCCTCAACTGAACGCCATCTTCTCCCCACTACAGCGTATCCAGACCACCCCCGATTTCATCCTACAAGCATCCTAGAAGACCACCAATCCGCAAGAATGCCTAATACCTTCTCCATCCACTATTTCTCAACCGCATCCACGTACACCAACAAACACACCGAGACCCTCCCCGCGCCGCTCCCCCTCTCCAAACTCTTCGAAACCCTTGAAACGCTATACCCCGGTATCCGGGGAAAAGTGCTCGTTAGCTGCGGCGTGAGTCTTCGGGAGGAGTATGTGGATGTTGAAGAGGCAGAAAGCGAGGCAGCGAAGGGGGTTGATGGAGGGGTTATAATCGGGGCTGGGGATGAGGTTGCTATTATTCCGCCTGTGAGCTCGGGGTGATTTATTTGTGCTGGATATATAGAGGGTTTTGCTTGGATTGGGTGTTGTTGGTGTGGGTTTGAGATTTGAGGTTTGGAGGTTTGGGATACCCGGGTTGCGTTAGTTTGGGGCGTTGGTAAGTGCTGGATACGTTACATTGGTTAAAAGGGGTTGAATGCTAATAATTGATAGTTTGGGAACATAGAATAAATACACTTTAAGGCCGGTTATTAGATTGGCGCCAACCATCAGAATACAAAACAAATTGAGAAATACAATCATACACATGCATCGCTGTCGGAATAAAGAGAGAAAAACAAACAAACAAACGACAAATGGAATACATGATACATGCCGGGTCGTGGTCCTATTAATCCTGCGTCATTTTCAGAGGGTTGGGTTGAGTGGATGTGCTTCCTTCTCTTCATAACCAATATGAGTTGGATGAAGGGTTATGAGACCGGATGGTTTCAATCAACCCTCAAGCTTCTCCGCCCCAGCGCTAGCTGCCTTCTTTTGGCGCCATAAGCAGACACAGGAGATAACCGAGAAGAAGAATAGAATACTAAAACACCCTGATCAGCATTTCATCATACGCCATGAAGAACCAGGTTGAGGACTAACCACAAAGCAATACTCAACCCCCAAATCGACTTCGCCTCCAAACACACACCCCTCGACGCCCCGATCCAATTCTTATAATTCACCTTACCACCGATATGGGCAAGGTAGCTATCCAGATTTGTCGCAAACGCATACGCAGTCGAGTTTTCGCCCGTTATGTTCGCAATCACGTCGCATCTGAGGTATGATAGCGGTCTCCCGATTATCACCGCGACGACAATGACAGCGATGAGGAAGAGTCCATCCATGATTGCGCAGGCGAGAAAGGGGAGGATATCGTCTAGGAAGAGGATGAAGGAGATGGCGCAGTAGATGACCGCGATGCAGGTCTGATATGATTGCGTCAAGTCAGTTCCTGTTTCAATACACGAACCTGTCAATATACAACATACCACGCTGAGTGTCCCGATGAATACACCGGGTGGATTGGCGCTGCTGGAGACGATTTCGGCGATGAAGTTGGCCGTCATGCCGATTACAGCGATGAGGGAGCAAGCTTGGAAGATTCGGGCGACTTGGAAGGTTGCGCCTATAACGCCGTATTTGTTGGAGGGCATTATGCAATGGAATGGATGCTGTGCTGTTGATCCGAAAGAAGGGAAGAGGGAAGTTTCGTGTGCGAGGATAAAAACAGAAAGCCGCCCGATGATGTTAGAAATAAGGAGTTGCTGAAAATATTATATACTAAAAGAATGAAGCAGACAAGTGAAAGAATTTATGAAAGACAAAAAGAATGGACACTGTTTTAAACTGAATCTGATTGACATATAAACACGAGATCTGGAATCAACGGCCAGGTCCTTTAAATAGTTTAATGATGTAGACAAAGAAGACCACAACAATGACTTCAAACCAACAAGCCAACAGAATTAGCATCAATGGGTCTAGAATCCATCCCAAAATAGTGGACTTCTTTTTTCATCTCCACAGCATCTGGCTGAACCTGGGAAGCATGCGATGTCGATCTATACAAGCGCCGACAGAACCCATATAACCCTAAGATCTAGACCACGTTGAAGCTATTAACGAGGCGGCAAATGAAGAGACAGCTCATTCAGAGCTTTATTAAAAATGGATTGATCTTTGCTTGGAACTCGTTCCGTGTAAATGAAAGTAGAAGCAGGTGCCATCTAGAGGTCTCCACCGCGGCGCTTGGATGGAGGATGCTGCTCTTCCGTCGGTGCCTCTCAGCCAACAGCCACACGAGCTTAATCGAACCTGATACATATGGAAATACGGGCGATTAAAAACGGGGTTATTTGGGGCTAAAGGGTTCTCGGCTCATTTTGTTTCTTGGTACATGTTTGTCAGGGTAATTATTATCATTAAGATATTCCGACTATGCGAGGAATGTATATACTTCACTGCCTCAGGAATAAATTTGCAGTCCCAGCAGCGCTATTATGGTTGTATGTATGACCATCATCACGAAAGCCTAAACCCACCACTGGTCCGGTTCTGAAAGAATCCATCAGGATCATACTTCAACCTCGTCTGCAACGCCTGCTCCTTATTCCGGTTCCGTCCCCAATAATCCTGACCGAAGTTTGCATCGTTCATGAAAAGTGGTCGGTAGATATCTGGGAGAATCTTATCGTCGATGAAATCTTGAATGATGGTGTTGAAACCCGAGTAGAGGTTCTTGTTTGCAGCGTTGATCTTTTCGTCGTCCGACGCGGAGGCGTAGGAGAAGTCTAATTCGATGACTATATAGTCTTGATCGACAGGGAAATCAATGAGGTCCTGTTCTTGGTTAGTTGGATTCTTGGTGTTTGTGTAGAGGGTTAAGACTCACTCCACCCATTGCCTTGGCTTTGCTGGTGATGGTTCGAGGCATTGGTTGGAAAGCAATCGATCCGATCACGTTTGGCACTTCCAGAACGGTATCCGTCACGTTAAACCAATGGTCGAAGTACTTCTGCATCACTTTAGGTCCGACTTTTTTGCTTGGGAGAGGAGTCGTCTCGGTTGCAATGGTGTATCGTTGTCCACTGTGGAAGGTCAGAAATGCTGAAAGAAAGGAAGACAGTTTTTTCTTACTGGAGGATGAAGATATCGTTGTTTTTGAGCTGTGTATATTGTCAGTAAATAGACATTCCAGTGGCAAGGGCAATACAGACCAGGTCATAGTAAGAGTCAAAGGTTTTAGTAGTGTCCGTAGGCCCAATATTGGTGAAATTACTGAAAACACCGTCTGGAGGCGATGGGCCGTCGTAGAAAAGGAACATAATCCAGGTGCTGACCAAAGCAGCGTGTTCGTATGTCACGATAATAGCGGCCTTGTCATCGGGATAATACTCGACAAAATCACGAATGGCTTCGAGGACCTGGGGTGTTTGATTGGCCGTGAAGATATAGTTTCCTCCCCACACCTGGTTTTGTTAGATATAGCTACACACGTCGCGAGATGATCAAGACTAGCCTTGTGATCTTGAGGATGGGTTTGAAGCGTATACGAAGTGACGATGCCAAAGTTATTACCGCCTCCCTTGAGAGCAGCGAAGAGGTCTGTCCTTTCGTTAGCTGAGTATAATATAAATCAAGATTGACAAGCCGAACCAGTATTCTCCTTGGCGTTGGCATTCACGATGGTACTGTTGGCGAGAACGACTTCGAAGTTCATCACGTTGTTCGCTGCCCATCCATATTGCGAACTGAGGAAACTCAATCCACCTGATGACGTTAACCAAAATCCTTGATACCCAACGTGTTCAACTTGCCTCCCAACATATATCCTCCTACACCGACACCACCAAGTCTTCCACCGACGAGGGTCCGGCCGGTTCCATCTAGACTTTTCTGGGCATCCTCCCATGACAAGCCAGGTCCAATGATTGCCGTCTGATCCTCCGGGTTATATATGACCTGGTTGAGGTTCTTTGTTGATACGAGTAGACCATCCTGGATACTCGCGAAGCCATTGTTGGGCATGTGCCCTCCCGACTTCACAGCGAACATACCGTCAGTATCACGAAGCTCTTTGACAACCTGGGACATTTCCAGTGCGCTCGATGGTGCGGCAATACATGTCGGCTTGAGATCACCACATGCAGCGGACCAATACTTAGTCAGGTCGGAGTTGTAGTCCAAAGTGAGCTTATTGTCAATTTGAATATTCTCGGCATCAAGCTTGGAGCAGATGTCTGCCGTTGCGAGGGGAGCAAAAGTGGCCAGCGATAGTGCGATGGCCGAAAGCCATCCTGGTTTAGGTGTCATGATGGTTGAAATCGAATTTGCATATATGAAGGGTACGTATAGAAGGTTTGGGATGGAGTATGAAACAATTTATATAAGATTCCCAATATTGAGAAGTCCCAGATATGAACACCCAAAACATAACGAATTCTTTTCCTATATATAGAGCCTTTTGTACCAACGGTGAGCCGGTCCATGGCATGATTCTTTACCAGTTTTCGTAGGCCCCTGCCAATGCTAGCTATGAACATCATGTCCATATCAGGATTATCTCAAGACTGCGTCACTGCACTAATATGTGAAACTGACGAATATTTGTTTAGATGCGAATCGGCTAGGTCCCACGCGAAGACACCAGGGTCAACCAGAGCAATGACTCCGAGTTAGCTCGATGGTCTAGTCTGTACCGACTAGACCTGGGTCTGTTCATAGGCTTGCCTGTAAGTAATTGTTAGTATATCCTCTTACAGTAAAGTCAGAATGTTCGTAGTCAACGCTATAAACCTCGGAATCACAAGACAGAATGGAATCCGGATGGAATACATCCGAAGCAGAGCCCGACCGCTACAGGATGCATTATTATTTAGCATATCTTCATGGGTCTTTCAGAGCCTACGGTATTAGCGTGTAGACGGAAGGTAGTTAGTTGATCAACGGTACTTGACAGTATGTGGAGCGGTGCCTTGAAGTATTCTAGTGGTATTCCGATAAGTGGAAATGATAGCCTTGGCTTGTGCGATCGACAGGGTGATTTTCAAGGAACAAGACATTAGACATGGCAGGAGCTGCGAATAATGAGAACTTGTCGCCAGGCCGGTGTGGTTGCCAATTGAACTCAAGAAGCGGTTGCATGCCTTTCAGAGAAATCACAACAATATGGCACAGTCGGGCAAACTGATGCAATCCGTTCTTTATAAAGGAAACGAAAAACTGGTCGAGTTGAATAATCCAGGAATCGACGTGGGGCTTATCATGGCATGCAAAAATGCCCAATGACTCCTGAAGGATCGACAATTCCCCGAATAGCACAACCTAAATACCGAAGCGAGGCAAAGGTCTTCACAACGGCTCTGGGGAACGTGCGGGGAAAGCACCTGGGATCCTTGAATACGCGATCACGACACGGTGAGCACTAGTTATTATTGCGGACATCATGCCATGGCCATGAAGCTTAGACCCAGCCCGGCTGTATTGTACAGGAAATGATTATCGGTTGTCAAATGCCATGCCTTGATTTTCGTAGATTTTCCAGCATCGATGACCCAGTAATCAGCAAGACGTATTGCTCGTATGCAGACCATCACATGAAAAAGACACTGGTGATGCGACCGAGGACTGACAGAGAGATCGTCAGGTCTGTCAGTAGTAATGATCACTGCATCATATGGAATTGGGATCCAGAGAAGAAATGGAAATGCGGAATGGTGAGGGGTTTGAGATCAGGCAAGAAAAGCAGTGCTTCGTATCAGAGGCGTATTCACGATGATGATCGGACAGCACTATCTCAATATGGCAAGGGTACCGAGGGATATGAGACACATATCATCCATAAAGAAGTCAAGTGTGGTGATAATGAGCAACTCGATGCCCCTGAAATGATTCTGTTGCTTTTTTTGGTCAATTCGGTGGGGATTGCAGATACAAGGTGAGACATCCTATAATTTGGGAAGCTCCATTGTTGTACTTCAACCAAGCCGAGAACATGGCAAGCCGATGATTCGCTGAATATTCGCCATAGATATATGACGAACAAAGTGCACATACAGATCTAGTGTCAGATACCTTGCATCGGATATTTCGGTGGATTTTTAAGGGTCGTTGGGCGCATTCCTGCTAAACAGTGTTTCCTACCACCAGAACGGTGGCCACCTTCTGTCTATCGAGAACCCATAGCGCTTTGAATCTGCTCGTCTAGATCTCTAGCGGATGATCAATAATGGCAGAAGCAATTGGAGGTGCAATCCGTGATTCGCTTGTTTTTGATCGGACTTGATAGCCCCCGATGGGAGGCAATCCGCCCATAACATCATAGAAGAGCCTTTGAAGCTCAAGATCACCACGGAGGCCAGTCTATATTGATAGTACAGTAGCATAACATCTAGAAGATGACGATGATACTCCGTACAGCATAAGCCCTGGGATTCTTAGAGAACATGGCAAGCTGAAGCTGGAACAATGGCATCACGATAGCTCTGACCGCTTAGGCGGTGTAACACGTTTCAACGGCAGTATACTCGCAGTTTTTGCTGTGCCAAAGACACAACGCCGACAATATCGTGTCACATCTTATCTTCTTCGCTAAAAAAAGTCCCCTTTCGGCATGTATGAGGGCTCATGATGACACTGATTTTGTCAAGGATGCGATTTTCGAGGGCAGTCGCTGCGAATAAGCTAGGTGCTCGCTGCTTTCGAACACGCGCAGCTACTTCTATTGCCGGAACTGCCTCTCGCTCGCATCTGATATCTTCTCGGATTTCACAAAGGCGCAATTATACAAATGGGGCTCAAGTATTTAGTTATCAAACCGTTTGCTGGTCAACACGTCTAATGACTTTTGGTATAGAACTCTACCGGGCAGGACCCGTCGAAAGCATCCCCATCCGTCGAGGAAATTCGCCTTCAAACCGAATTTGAAGAAAATCAAGACATCCGGAAGTATTTGAGCAGATGGCAGGAAACACACTCAAACGAGCTCGATCCCGTTCGAGGACCTGGAACTTCAAACCCGTCGGAGCAGGCAAAGCCTTGGGTGGGGAACATGTTGAATGACTTTAGAGAGTCCGCAAGTGACGCTTTACGGGCGATTGATCACGAAATGTCGGAATTTTCAAGCGCCACCGATGAAGGCGAAGATATGCATGAATTTCTCGAACCTGGTGATCTGGTAGCCCTTTCGTCGTATGTCTTCCTCTCTATTAGAAGCTCCGCTCCTGCCGCTGATATCTGTTGAAATAAAGGTTGGAGGGTATCTTAGGTTTTGCCGTATACGTTAGGTCAATTGATAAGCAGCAACAATTCTACACTGGAAGAGGAAAATGGCGCATAGCTTTCAGCAAAGATCTTGATTACGTTGTGAAGGGATTCGTTCCGCGAGAACTAGTGGCCCCTCTACATCCATATTTTCCGGATACGTCAGCAGAACTTGGCACAGAAATGCAATCAGCCATCGAAGGAGGAGTCCCGAGGCATATCGGTGCTCCTATCTTACGGATGGTCGATGAGTTTTCTGAGAAGGTAGATGAGCTTTATCGAACAAACGCAAGTCGACTGGATACTATACATGATGTAGTAGCCGACGAGGAGGAAAAGTTGGAATTCACCATTGAGGAACTTGCATGCAAGGCATTGGACCTCGACCAAAGCGAATTGAATGATGCGGTATTATATGCAGTACACCAAGCAACCTGTCGAAACGCCTTCATCATGGACCACGACCGAAGCTCTCTTTTCACCAATTACTACCTTGTTCACCCAAAAAGTGTTGCCGAGGTTCTTGACACAGTTGGTACATGGGTACGCGAACACCAAGAATACTTCGTTCGGACAGTGACAGGTAGAGAGGTTCCAAATCTAAAAGACCACCCTCTTCAACTATTCATCCAAAAGGCGCAGCGTCTTATACGGCTTAGCAGAAAGATTCGATCTCCAACAACTATGTCCAGTGTTGGGCCTACATCACAAAGGTTTCAACCTGGGCAGGATGGGAAAGCCATGGTGTACCGTGAAGTTCTGACAGAAAGGTTTACCCCCTCCGATCAGAAAATCATCGAATTTCTTCAGCTATGGTGCATCCCACCGAGAAGAATGACTTCGGGGGCTTTGAGAACGGCTGGCTCACATATCATGCGCTCTACGGGAATGTATTCGTCTTTGGAACTGAGTGCAGCAACGGTGCCTCTGCTTCTCCAAGAACTTGGCGTGATTTCTCCATGGGAAAATTTGCGTCTATTCGACCATAGTCTAAGTCTCCCAGGTCATGGAGCCTCCCCTCGATCAGATCAAATGTGGGACGATGTCCAACAGGCATGCCAAAAGCCCGGTTCCGAAAAGCTTGTTGACACAATGGATGGCATGAGGACTGACTGGGGTGATTTGCCGGTTTATTGCGTTGATGATGTGGATGCCCAGGAAATTGATGATGGTGTCTCCTTAGAACCAGTTCCTGGGACCGATGATACATTCTGGATCCGTGTCCATGTCGCCAACCCTTCGGCCTTCATGGATTCTGAAGATTTAATCATGAAATATGCCGCTTTACGGAACCAGACCGTCTATGCCCCAGAGCGTACATATCCGATGCTGCCCAGTTCATTGACGCAGAACAATTTCAGTTTGTCCTCCGGTCGTCCTACCCTCACCTTCAGCGCCAAGATGAACCTGAAGGGAGATATCTTGGAAACGGATATCTCGAATGGTATTGTCCGAAACGTTATCTATATCACGCACAGCAAGTTGCGTGAGTTCTTAGAACCCAACAGCGAAGGCCCTTCGAAGACTTTGACTGTTGGAGGAGAGTCTGTTAAAGAGCGTTCTCGGGAGGCCATGCAGGAATCATTGTCAGAGAATGATAAGAGCACATTCAGCACACTGAGGCAGCTGATGCTTGCGTTCCACGATTACAGGCGTGCGAACGGTGCAATGGAATTGCCTTCTCCAATCGATAACTCCGTCTCCGTTATTGCCGGGACAGCTCCTATGAAGCCCGGCAAGATGAGAGTCAATGAAGGGCGCTATTTCTTGGGCGATCCCATCATTCAATTGCGCTCAACCCCTGCTGATCCTCACGAAGTCCCTGACCTCACAAAACGAAACCTTATCTCTACTCTCATGAATCTGGCATGTTGGGTATCAGGAAAATGGTGCGCCGAGCGCAACATCCCTGCAGTCTACGATGGAACATGGTATCACCCTGAATACCCGAAGCTGACCAACAAAAACCTTTCCGACTATGGAGGCCGTAACTGGTTGCATCTCACAGCGCCTAAGGGTATCTCCTCGTCCAGCCCGGTGCCTCATGTCTCCATGGGACTCGACGCCTACATCAAATCAACCAGTCCACTTCGTCGCTATACTGACGTGATGGCCCACTATCAAATTGAAGCCGCATTGCGGTTCGAGAAACAAAATGGCCGTTCTATCGACGCCACCAAAGACGAATCCATCTTACCATTCACAAAAGATAACGTAGACACCTACATTGCCCGCAACCGCTGGAAGCGCAACCGCATCCAAGAGATTGATAGAGCATCCAAGCAGTTCTGGGCGTGCATGCTCCTTTTCCGTGCTTTCTACTTTGCCGAGTGCGCATTACCCGAAACCTTCCCCTGCCTACTACACCAATCATACAGCAACACCTCCCTATCAGGAACTCAGCTCGGCGAAGGCTACGCAGGTGTCATCACGTCGCTTGGTGTGCGGTGCCATATCATCTTTCCACCTGACTTTGCCGAGGTTGATATTCTCACTGCTGTGGAGGCGAAGATCACGGCTGTTGATATGTCTCGCATGCTCGTTATGATGGAGGCGACTCGTGTAATCAAGCATTTTGAGCGAGTAGGTGAGTGGAGTTGATCCGCTCAAGCTTGATGGTATATATCCAGGACTGTGTCTATTTTATGGTTGTATTTTGGATGGAGTTATAGATGGCGTTGCTGAATTCTCTACTCGTGTATAAAGGATATCTGCCATATATCCTTGATTGTATCATACTGTACCATATTATGTGTCAAAAAATTGGGTGTACAAGAACTGTATATAGCCCACGGAAGCATTGGATACGATAGCTGCATCTCGAAACGAAATACGTGTTTAATATACAATATCATCACCACTATCTATCTAGAAGGCGCTTACTTTACAATATACTCCATACCATTGTACAAAAATGAGACATGCGCGTCGTTCAAGGCCCAAAAACCTCCTTAACAAGCGTCTTCTTGTTGACTAAACAACAAAAAAATAGAATCAGCACACACAAACAACAACATCAGCGAGAGAAAAAGAAGGGGAGCAAAACTCACCTTTACCCATGGCATTCCTAGGAATCGGGCCCTGGAGAATCTTCATCTCCTGCGGAATCTTATAGCTCGCTAGACGATCGTGAAGTGCGCGTCGCATATCCAGCGGACCCCAGGGTTTACCCTTGCGGCCGGTATTCGCGGCCTTTTCGGCGTTCAAGACGACGATAGCGGCGACTTTTTGGCCCCATTGTTCGGACGGGAGGCCGACGACGGCTGCTTCTTTGATTTGAGGGCTGTGGAGGAGAGGTTGATGGTTAGTGTCTGTTCTGAGTGTGAGGTGAGGTTATGGGGTTAAGGTGAGGGGACGTACAGGGAAAGTAATTCCCGCTCCACTTCTAAGGCGCTGACTTTCTCCCCGCCTGTTTTGATTATATCCACGCTGCTCCGGCCTTGGATGAAATACATGGGTCCCTGTGCCCATTCGCCGCTGGTTCCCTTGCCAGCGGTTTCGACGGGTCTTCGAGTAGCGACGTCTCCGGTCTTGAACCATTTGCCCTTACCGTCGGCGCTGTCGACAAAGGTTTCCTGTGTGGCTTTTGCATTTCCCCAGTATTCACTGAATATGGTAGGACCGCGGAGTTGAATTTCACCCTCTCGTTCACGGCCGTTAGCACCGATCTCCTTGCCTGGTTTGATCTCTTCGTTCGTGTCTGTGTCGACGAGTCTGGCTTCTACGGATGGTAGGGGCCAGCCGACGCTACCGTCCACACGATCCGCAAAGTCAAGGCCACAGCTGATAGCCATTCCAACTTCTGTCATTCCGAAGCGTTCAAGAAGAACGTTGCCCTGGCTGAGATCCTGCCATGCCTTTTTAGTTGGTGTGGGCAGGGCTGCAGAACCGGAGATGTTGAGACGAAGATTTTCAGGCGAGATACCCTCCCTGGCTGCTTCTTGGATTTCGGGCTTCAAGTCGGGAAAAGAAGAAAGAAGTCGGTTGTAGATGGTCGGAACGGCGGTGAGGAAGGTAATCTTGCTTTTGTTTGAAGCGTCGGGTAAAAAGGGAGCAGCGAGTCTGTTCCACACTGCATCTGTGTTGAAGGGGAACATAAATTCGATTGAAGAACCTGCAAGAACCGGTGCAACAATGGCGTTAACCGTTCCATGGATATGATGGAGAGGAAGAAGATGCAGTAAGCGATCTTCTGGGGCATAGTTCCAGGCCTGCAGCAGAGAAGATGCCTGAGCCGTGAGTGCTGATTGAGGAATGAGTACACCTTTCTGCATATAAATCAGCACAACCATCCATTCCAGCGCCTTCAAGAACAATCCCTCTTACCGGTCTGTTCGTAGTCCCCGAGGTGTAAAGCATCATTCCACCCGACGACTTTTGTCCCGCCAGGTCCTCCAACGTGACCTTATCTGAATAACTTGCCCCTGTCTGAATCTTCTCTGTGATATCCAGTATCGGCTCCCTATCCAGCCCCGTCTTCAAAATATCATGTGCTTTATTGGCATACTTCTCCGTCGCAACCAGCATCTTCGCCTGAGAATTGTCCATAATATACTTCAATTCACCAACAGGAAAAGCCGGGGAAAGCGGAAGGGCAATCGCGTCGCTAGCAAGGATAGAAAGAAGCGTCACTGGAATCCCATAGTTAGCATAAATAACTCAAAAGCAACTGGGCAATGGCAATCGCCATCCATGAAGCCAAAGCCATAACACGTAAAACCATAGAATTGAGGAAAAAAGAAGAACAGTACCTACGTAATCGTAGCTATTCTCCGCGAGAAACGCAATCCGTTCCCCGGGGAGAGCATCTTTCTTCCCACCCGCATTGTGGAGGAGCCGTTCCTTCGCACGAAGAACATCCCCGACTAGATTGCCATATGTAAAGGAACGGGATGACGCGCTGTGAACAACAGCAAGGCTCGACTGGTCGTGGTTCTGGAGGGCTTGGAAGAGAGGAAGGTTTGGGAGGGTCGACAGTGATCGTTTCAGAAGCGGGGATGTCAGGGATCGAGATCGATTAACGGCATTGCAGGGGAATAATAGTGCTTGTGATGGCCGGAGAGACGGGCGAGCAGAGCCCCGCGAGAGCAGCGATAACAAACTGCGTCGTTGCATGCTGAATGAAACAAATCAAATTATCATATCTTCGTAGATGAATTGGAATAAAGCGAGAAACGCCCAAAAAACTCCCTGGCAGCGAACTCAGTCGGAGTTGATGTCATGAAGCTGTCGCGAAGCTCGGCGCGGAAATTCGGGACGATCGAAAACGAACTGTCATCGGAGAAAGTTGCGCAGCAAAACAGCACCTCCGCAACCAAACCCAACCACAGAGTCGATAATTGTCAGCATCCCACCTTCACCCTCGTTTTCTATCTTGCATATTCTTCTTCTCATACCCAACAACTCACTGGGTAATCAATGTCCCTCCCTAGGAGCCTCCCAGGCCTGCTCCCCCGCCGGCTATTCTCCAACACAATCAGAATGGCCTCGACCTCAACGACCCCAATGGAGGATGCTATCCGGGAGAAGGTATGTTACCAAACCCCTCTACCTAGCACCATTATACCACTTGCACCGGGTTCGATGCTAACAATCTTCCCCCTATCCTACCAGATCACAGCAAACTTCAACCCGTCCTCCCTCATCATCCGAAACGACTCCCATCTCCACGCTCACCATGCAGCCATGCGCGGTGCTACCTCCAGGGAAACACATTTCCAGTTCGTTTTACCCTATTCATATTCTTGTCTATATACAGCGGTCTCTAATGGTTGATTTCTTAGTGTGACGGTTGTTTCGCCCTCGTTTCAATCGAAAATGCAGCCCGCGCGCCATCGTATGATCTACGCTTTGCTAAAGGAGGAGATGAGTCGGGAGGGTGGAATTCACGCATTGCAGCTGCGGACTAAGACGCCGGAGGAGGAACAGAGGGAGAAGGAGAGATCGGCGCAGTCGTCATAAGGATGAGGGGGGTTTTTTTGTGGTAGATGGTTATGGATACCCGTTGCAGATTGCAGACTTGATATTAGGTTTACGAAGATTCATGCAGAAAAGAGATCGTTTTCGAGCAATTTCTTGTTCTTGGTTGTGTATAAACAGTTGAATTGGTCCCAAGTTGACCTTATCAACTTATATGCATATGAGACTGTATTATATTGGATTCGATTAATTAATAAATTGATTATTACATAGATTCTAGCGCCAAAATTAGGAGCAAGTGAAAAGAGAATCTAATATATACATGTGCGACAGCATAAGGCGTATCCTAACCAGTCCGCAGCGACAGGGCCATCATAAAGTCGCATATGATCAAAGAAGAAACAACTATACACAAACGATCAAAGAAAAAAACTGAAAAATGAACGAGGGGGTAGGTTAGTAATTTTCTGGGGCGAGGTGCTTTTTTAAGAAAAACGAGGGAAAGACAACAGATGTAACGAGAGTGGATATAAAAGCAAAAAAACCAGCGACTCAGCCTACTCTGGCCGTGCAATTGCGAGACGGAAAACAAGCAAAAAATAAACGTTTCGATTATGACAAGGCGAACGACACAGAATCCGTTTCAACCCTATCTAACCAGGCAATTGGGAAGTAATGGACGAGAAAAAAAACAAATTCGGGATATTGAGAGCGGAAACAAATATTAACGGAACAAAAGCGTTGACCAAGATCTAGAAGAAAATAGGACGTAATCCCAAACATCGTCCAGGATGAACCCCTCGAACCAACATTAAAAAGAGCAACATTAAACCAAGCCTTATTTGCTGGTGCTCTTGTTGGCTTGTGTCACACCCACAGCAACACCGACGACGATGGCAATGATAAGGACTGTAGAATCATTGTTAGTCTAAATCCAGTCAAGGGCGCTAGGATACAGGATAAACTTACTAACGATAAGCAGAGCGTACCACTTCCACTTTCTTGCCTTGCGTGCGCTCGAGATAGCACTGTCGATCTGAGTGTTGGCGTTTGTGACGTTCTGGACGACATCTTCGGCACCCTGGTGGATTTGCTCCACGGCGGGTTCTTGCTGGTGAACAAGCTCTGCGACTTCTTGGTACAATCGGCCCAACTCCATCATATCCTGCTCAATCTTTCGAATCGCTGCGGATCGCTCCAAAGCGGCGGTCTTGGCGTCGTTCGCCTGTCTGGATCGGCCACCGGCAACCTAAGAAAACAAATATGTCAACACAAATCCTGAGCACTCAATCAAGGCTTAATCTTACCACAAAGCTCTGTTCCTGGCCCATGAGAACATTCTCAACACCTTGGTCCAGCTCCTCGGGGGTAGCCTCGGGGTTGGCAATCTCATATCGTCGGCGAACCTGCTCCCTCAATCGCTTCTGGAAATCCGACTGAGCTCTCTGGTACTGTTCAATCTCACGGCGAAGGTTTCTGCTGGTGACATCGATCTGGGTCTGAACGCGGGCGTCTCCGGAGCCGGGGGTCTGCTTGATCTTCTTCAGAAGGTCACGAAGGTAGCGGAAACCGTTGTTGATCTCATCCTCGATGTAGTCCAATGTCTGACGCGAAGCTTGGTCCTCCTTGCCGGTACTCGAATCCAACAGACCATTCTGTGCCGCCACGAGTTGGCCTTCTCTCTTGCTGCGCAAGTCTGCAATTCCATCGTTGATCTCCTTGCACTTGTTCAGGATGGGGCCCGGTCCGCCGTTCTGGGGCTGGTCATATGACGACATTTCTGCGCGATAGAAGATTAGAGCGATTCCTCAGTTTGTCAATCAACATTGGAGCGAGCTCACCATAGTTGCCATTTCCCTGCTCCATGGCATTGGCCTGGCCGTATCCATTTCCGCCATAAGGGTTGTATTGGCCGTAGCCCTGGCCAGATTCGAGATTTTGGTACTGTACACGAATCAATAAGCGATCTTTGCATCTGACATGGACATGACGCCGGAGAAAGCGGCTGCCGCTATGCAGGAACTTACACTCATTATGAACGTATATGCAAGTCCAACACTTCAAATTAAAATCTCAAAGAGTATTCCTTCCGGTCCGGTGCGTAATTCGACGGGTGAATGTTGGTGTTCAAATCGTAGGAACAACACGGGATGACGAAACGCGAGCAGCGACGAAGTCAGAAGGTTGAATGATGGAATTGAATTAAGATCAATAAAACGGACCAGGGTCCGAGATGGAACAGTCGCACGGATGATTGAGGGGGAAAGGCGACAAGAAGACGGAGTTACGCGCCTGACAGGTGAGCTGAAGTGGCGGGTGGACGAAGAAGCAGCGCTGGCTTAGGATTCCTTCGGCAAGCTAAACTTCTGGACCCGGAGACGGCGAGTGATGACGGAAAGAGGCTCTTCGGGCGGGCACAGACGACTAGGTCGCGAGGAGGGGGGAATAAAGGGTTAAAAGAGAGACGAAGAAGGTAAGTTATTAAAAGAAGGAGGGAGAGAAGAGAAAGAACGAAATCGCCTCAGATAATAATTTTTTTTTCCCTAAAAGTTTCGCTGATGTTGGTGTAAGACTGTTATTATTATTATTAGGGGGCGAGCTGGATGCACAGACCGGGCGGACGATCGTCGAGTCCCCTTTTTTTTTTTTTCTGTCTGGCGCAGTGAAACAAATCGCGAATAGCAGTAGGGAGCTAATTAGAGGTCACTGGCAATGGTTTCACCGTAAATTGTTTCCCGTTCTACAGAGCGTCCAGAAGGATTGTGTTGACAGTCAGATCCAATTGATGATGATAGATAGCAGTCAGCGGCCCATGGCTGATGTCAACGAGCGGTTTTTCTGATTCCTGCCTGGTTTCCAGGGCATCCACAATCCCACACAGCCCCGGTATGCAGTTCGGTGGATTATCACCAATTGAGGTGTCTGTATAGCTCCTGTTGATACGTCTCGAACAGGCTGCACGTCACTATCTGCAATATTGTCTACCTATCCTTCCATCTAATCGCAGATAATATGCTTAAGGTTTTATTACTAGTTATTCGATCAGTCCATTGCTGTCTGCTATTAATTATATTCTACTACTAACAATGTTCCAGATCCATCCACTCTAATTTCCCTCAACGCTGTCCCCACCTGAAGGCGCCGTCAATCGCAATATTAAATGGACCTCAATCATGCTATCCACTGGAAATGCTAAACCAATCTGTCCTCTATGGGCTACCGATTTTATCAGTGCCATTGAACCATAGATGGACGGTGCAGACAGCCTGAATTAGCAACACTGCACCGCCACGAACTGACAGATGCGCCAAGCCCAGTGTTTCATTATCTGCCATTGCCAAGCCTCCACTTTGATGAGCTTGGCTTGTGATGCTTCACAACTGCTATCTTGACTAAGTATCATCAAGCATTCATGATTATCATTTCCTGTAAGCAGAGTAAATCAGATAGAAGGATTCAATAGTCTAATATAATCCTATTTCATCCCCACAATACTCAGTGCCACTAAGCTGATATCTTCATCTGTCTGATTCAAATATCTGCATGTCAATTTATACAGCTTGAATGGCTGTGCATCAACTCATGGCTAATAGATTTTTAAATATAACCGAGACATGGACTCTACGGGTCTAATAAAAGAGAAAGAAATTCCGGCTATCTGCCTAAATCTTCGAGCAAAGAAGCCTGCGGATATAAAGGGAAGGCTTCCATAGAAGTAAATTCGAAAGGCCATCAAAGTAAATTTATCTGGATTCTAACAAGAACTGGTTTCTATGAGATGGAATTTTATCCAGCTATAAAGGTCCAAAGCTCAGGTATTCCAGAATTTCTACTGATGATTCGTTTGGCCCTCAGCCCTAAGTCTTTCCAGTTGTGGAAGAGTTGAGCCCGTCTTGGGAGTGAGTGAATGCCTGAGGACCTGACAAACACAACACCCCTCCCTTCTCTCTCCTCTCGCCTTTTCTCTTCTCATTCTCTTCCCTCTCTTCTTCTTAAGCGAAACCACCTGTGGCCGCCCTCCTTATTGCATCGACCCTCTTTTCCTTCGTTCTTATTTACAGGATAGATATTGGCACTTTTTCTGTCGGGTCTTTCACCCTTCCTCTTGCCAATATGGCGTTGGGACCGGTCGAAGACAATGCTCTTAAGCAGCTTCAGCCAGAAAAATCAGAGCTTCTAGATGTTATCGATGAGCTACGGACCCTTGGCTTTGGCCGCCTCGTGAAACCTCCCCAGCTGATCGTATGTGGAAACCGGTCTAGCGGCAAAAGCTCAGTGTTAGAAGCTATCTCACGCGTGCGTTTTCCAATCGAGAGGAATTCGTGCACTTGCTTTCCAACCGAAGTGATTCTGCGAAGGAGCCCTTCTTCTCGCGTCAAGGTCAGCATCGAGCCTAGCAAATCTCGGTCAGATGACCAAGAAATTCAGCGACTCCGCGAGTTCTCTTCAGACACGTTCTCCACCGGTGATGACCTTCCGGGTCTGACTGATAAAGCTAAAGGATGCATGGGAATTACTAGTTCTAGGCTTACTGACGACATCCTCCGAATTGAGATTTGCGGACCCGATAAGCCAGATCTGACCTTAGTCGACCTCCCTGGCTTGTGTAATGCAACTGAAAATAACCAAGAAATTTCTGTCACTCGCAATCTGACAGAGAGATACATGAATGACTACAGGAGTGTCATACTGGCCATCATCAGTGCTGGAAGCACATACGACATTCAGGAAGTTTTGAGTATCGCAGAGCACTTTGATCCAAAGCGAGAAAGAACTCTCGGGGTCATAACTCATACTGACATACCCGAGGGTAACTCTGAAGAAGAGAAAGCATACCTCCAACTTGTGAACAACGAGAAGATCCGGCTACAACTTGGGTGGCATGCGCTTAGGAACCGATCGTTTTGCACTAGGAATATTTCGGATGATGAAAGAGACGAATTGGAGAAGGAATTCTTCAGTTCTGGTGCATGGGCAGCCATTTCTAGAGAGCTTGTTGGGTTGGAAAGTCTCAGATATCGGTTGGGCAACATCTTGCAGGAGCATATCAAGCGAAATATGCCCGACCTGGTTGCCGATATAGAAGAAAAGATCTCTTGCCGTCAAAAAAGACTTGTGAAACTTGGGGAGGAGCGTGGAACAGTACAGAAAGAACGGAGTTATCTCCTTCGCATTGGCAACAACTTTGAAAGGACTGTCAGTAACGCATTGAACGGTCTCTACACTGGTGAATTCTTTGGCGGTCTTGATCCTGTATCTCTTCAACACGACCCTAGAAGACTCCGGGCGGTGGTTCGAGAGCTGAATGATCAGTTTGCGGATACGATGCACCTCAGAGGCTGTCGCCGACGCATTGTCGGGCTTGACGAGGAACTAGAGGATCAGAGTCCAACCCGCAAGAGGCAGAAATCGTACGTCCAGGGATCAGACGAGTCAGGCCCAATCCTCGTCTCAAAAACCGAGCTCGAGCAGGAAATTGAGGAAAAGATTCACGAGAACCGTGGGATTGAGCTACCGGGAAATGCGAACCAGCTTCTTGTTGGAGATCTGTTCCGCGATCAATCGAAGCCATGGGAGAAACTTGCAAAAGGACATATCATGGCGGTGTGGGAAAGTGTGAGATGCTTCGTTGGGCTTCTCCTTCACCATCTATCAGATGATCACACTTGCCCAAAGCTCATGGGTACTGTTCTAGACCCTGCCTTGGAAAAGATGAAGGACCATCTTCTGGAAAAGCTCCAAGAACTCATGGCTTACAATAAGAGAGGACACCCGCTTCTATTCTGCCAACAATACCTTGGATCGGTTGAAAAGCTGCAATCTGATCAGCAGCTCGCGCTTCTAGATGAGCGGCTTCGGACATCAACAGAAACAAGTTTTGCGGCCAACGATGTTCGGAATTTGGTTCTCGAAACGCAGCCTTCCCGCGGCCATTTTGCAGCTGCTCAGATAATACATCTGGTGCAGGCATATTACAAGGTCAGTGCCCTTTTGACGTTCTGTCCCCCCACCCCATTTACCATCTTCCAATCTCGCCTACTTTATTGCAATTTTGCCCTTGTATGATGTCGGTGTTGAATGCTAATCTTGTCTTTGTTGTAGATGGCGATGAGAAGTTTCATAGAAAACATTGCGATACTGGGAATCGAAAATTGTCTCCTACACCCCCTTGAAAGCGTCTTCACCGGCTTGACTGTCAATGACATGGATGACGCGGCCATCCAGTACCTTGCTTCTGAGCATAAATTCGTCCAGGCCGATAGAGAGCTACTGCGCAGCGAGCTAGATAAGCTTCAGGCTTGTCTACGTATCTGTAGTCGTTGCAACATCCAAAGCTTCCGTTTGCCACGTTTCGATGCTTCCGGTAAGTTGGACGTTCCAAGAGTACATCAGGTACGAATATCTACTGACAATCCAGATGCTAAAACCTCGACCATTCAAGAAAAAGGATCCAAAAAGCCAGCCCAGATAGAATCAAATGACAACTCTAGCGGCACCCAGTCTAAAGCCACTGGTTTCATCGGCTTTGCAAAATGGGCCTCAGATGGCAGCACTGGCAACTCACCAGCCAATCCGCAAGGCCATTTCAACTTTGGAAGTTCCCAACCCAGTAAATCCATCTTTGACTTACCTCAGAATTTCAATACAGCCAATTCGGAGCAGGACACGATCTTTGGAAAGCCTTCTTTTCTCGATGCTTCAGGTTCCTTGTTTGATACAAACCGCGCTCCTAAAAGCTCTCTTTTTAGCAGCCCTAGTGCTGGGAGTAATTTCGCCGGCAAACCATCATCATCTTTCATTCCACCAAGCCCCGTGAAGAAGGAGGATTCCAGTTCCAGTTCCAAGGCAGACCACACCACTAAACCGGCGCCAAGCACCAAGGGAAGCAGTACTGGGTAGGGCTTCTGCGAGTTGTCTATCAGCAATCTGGGGTAGATTTTCTCCTCTCAATTTGCCATATGTCAGCTATCTCCTGTGTTTAATCTGCAGAGATATCTAACCAAGGATTACAATATAGCCCATAAGGAATCTGTTCCGAACATAGTTTCCATTATCCGATGTGGACAATCACTTCTCTAGAGCGATCCAAAAACTTTTCTGTGGAGGTAAGTTATCAGCACGTCGCTCATTCGAATCATTCTCCTTTGATGATACAGCAATGCTAACAACTGTTTCTCCTTAGGAATTGAGACTGGGCGATTACGCCAGAGGCGACTACAAAGTAATCACTGCAAAAGCGAGTTGACATTGTCGACAGAACCAGGGTACAATTACATGTCCGAAATAAGGTCTCATAAGTCTCCGTGCATGATTTTGATCTTCTTTTTTATGTACTGTCTGAATAACATTCGATTCATCGTGGGTTTGTCCGAAGCTGCGGAATGTAACTTGGGAATACTTGAAAGACGACAACGCAATCTCATCTCAGTGATTTGACCTGTCTGTTTATTCGAAAACATGCTCCGTAGAACTTGCAAGCTTTTGGACATTATTATCAGAAAATTCCTTTTCATAAAATACTTGCTCAATGGTCCCTCTGTATCTATATCAAATGATAATCCATCTCAATATATTTCAACGACTATCACGAAATCCAATATAGTATACACCGCAGTTATGTACATAAAATAATACCCTCGGAAACTTCACCACCCACAACCCTAATCCAACCCAAACCAAACCAAACTTCACCATCCACCCAAGGTAAACCTGCAGAGTGCAGATGGCAGTAGCTCGGCAAAAAAAAATCCCATCTCCACCAGCCTAACCACACACAGTCTAGCGCGTATCTGACACAAGCAAAAAAATGGAATCAACGCCGGTAAGCTTAACCTAATCTGGTCAAGATACCGCCCGCTTTGACATTCTAGATTGGCGCTAAGATTGGGACGTACCGGAATCGATTTCGGCAGCCGGCCATGTGGTTCTAGTTTGAAATGGGAGTTTTGCACGAGAGGTGGGTTTTTGTCTCTCTTGGTTGGGAAATTTTTTGCTTGAGTCGGAGATTGCTTAATTTAGTTTATTTTGTTTGATTTTGGCGTTATTCATATTTGATTATTTACATATGTATTTCATTCGCATCAGCTCTCATCTGCTCAGCAGGCGAACCTGCGCGAGAATGCATGATAGATCATATCCATCGTCACTGCTTGGGTATGTTATGCAGCCATAGGTAGACATTATTGTACAGTAAAAAGGAAATAAACATTAGAAAAAAGAAAACAAACACCTTAGTTCTTCTCGCTGGACTGCGCAGGAGCAGAGCTGTCAGGAACAGAGGTGTCAGGATCCTCAGCGTCGAGGGCATTCATCTCATCTTCCTGGGAGTTGAGGTGGTGGTAGACGAGCCAAAATATGATACCAGCCAGGAAGGACGCAATAGCCAGACCAGCGAACATCCACATGATTGCTGGGTCGTAGGCGGCGGGAGTAAGAGCTTCGGCAATGGCGGCACCAAAGGCGTTGGTGAGGAGGTACATCGACTGTACGAAAGACTTCATAGTGGGAGGGGCCTTGGTGTACGCATACTCCAAACCGGAGACGGAGGCGAAAATCTCAGAGATACCGATGAACATGTAGGCGGGCGTTTGGACGGCAATGTGGACGTTGTTGCCCTGACTCTGGCCGTTCACCACGGAGGCATCACAACCTGGATGTTCGTAGCAAGGGCCAGCGGCGTAGATGAGATGCTGAACGATAGCGGCATACATCATGGCAAGAGAAGCAACCACGAATCCCAAGGAGATACGAGTAATGGGGCGGAATGGGATGCGCAGACGACGCATGATGGGGTAAACGACCGTTTCCAAGAAAGGAATAAAGACGATGATGGAAATAGGGTCAAAGTTCTGCATCAGATCGTTGGGGATGCCATGGCCGTCCATCTGACCAGCTTGCGTGACGAAGTTGCTCGAGAATTGACCGTAGACCACCCAGTAGATGGGGTAGAAACAGAAAACGCGGCAAGCCACAAGGGCACGCTTGAGCTCATCGATGAAGTGATCATCCCAGGGCAGGTTGGTCCGTCTGCCGCCATTGGCTGCTTGCCAGCTGGGCTTGGGACCATCCATGTTACGGTGGAGCACCATGATCCAAAGAGCCTTGAAAGCGTCGGTGATAATCGAACCCTGGGGAGGGCGAACAACGTAGAACTTGCGTCCGAAGATAAGAACCATGGTACCACACGCAAACATGCACAGGCAAAGCAGGTACCCAGACCAGAAGCCAATGTATTTTTCCATGTACGGGGTCGCCAGCAGAGAGAGGGAGCCTACGTTGATACAGCCGTAGAAAATCATGTAGATGCGCTGGATGGTCAGAGCGGGGTCGATAATGACTCGCTCGCCCTTCTTGGTGGTCGACAAGGCCATCTTCTTACGCTTGTATTGATCGGCAATCTAGACATTCATGAGTAATTTGTCAAAGTGTGGAGTTTATGGGACAGACGTACCAGAGGAGCGACGTTACTCTTGATTCCACCCGTTCCCAGACCAATGATGAGGATAGCGACAATGAAGCCTCCCAATCCAGCACCATTCTGAAGAGCCACAGGGATCGAAGTGCAGACCAGAATGAGCAAACCGACCAAGTAGACAATACAGAAAAGGACGATGGTCTTGTATTTGCCGAGGTACTGATCGGCGACGATGGCACCCAAAATGGGGGTCACTAGATCAGTCAGTGGATGTAGGCGACCGATGTAGAACGCTCGATCTTACAGTAGCACCAGAATTGGAAAAATGTGGTGAGACCAGTGGCTCCCTGGTGGCCCATACCCAAAGCACCAGGTCCACTGCTGCCGTCGAGAGGGTTGTTGATATAGTTCTGGAACAAACCCGACATTCCATAGTAGGTGAAACGCTCGCACAGCTCAACAATGGCTACCAGCCATGCTGAGACAGGCAGGTTCTCGGCGACGTGACGGATCGTTCTCTTCTCCTCCTCGTTGGGCTCCTCGCCGTCTGGCGTCATGGCCAAGGCCTTCTCATTGGCTTCGATTTCCGCCTTGTTGTCCATGGCGAAGTTACCGTCCTGTTGTTGCGGTCTTGACGAAAAGTCAGCAGTGACTCAGGGGGAAGACGAAAACAGTGATCATAGAGTGAAAATAGATTAAATTGGAAATTACTCACCGGACAGACTCGACCGCTTGATCTGAAGACATGTTGAAAGGACGGAGGGCGAGGGAATCCCACAAAAAAAAGCCGAGTGAAACTGGACACCCGTTTTTTTTTTTTTTCGACGAGGAAGGAACGCACGATGGAATCGAGATGGCCAGGCGAGGGAAATGGGGCTCACCTTATATCCATCGTGGGAGACATACTGGGTAGGTAGCCGATGCGGGACCGTCTTATCGCAGAACCAGTCTATGCGATCGGCACTCGCCCGGCAAGAAAGAAACCAAACGATAATTTGGCACCGAGGCCCAGCGCCCAATCACCTCGCGCCACCGAGTATCCACGAATGTAACCCCAGAGGCGGACGTAAAAGAAATACAAGAAATGACAAGCTCCCGACGAGAAAATTGGCCGCAGCCGTGGCGGTCGCGTGCATGGGTCCGGGGAGCTGTTCTCGAAGCCCGGCGTTGTAGACGTCGGCGTGCTCCGGTGAGGGGATATTTCCACTCTTGGGAAGGCCTTTTTCGCTGTTTGGTCGGTGAATGCTGAAATGAACAGATAGTGAATAAAGAATCCTCGGCTATCTGCCATGAGATGAGTCGATTGATGGCTGCAGTGGGAACTCGAGATCTCTGGTCCTGCCACCCCAAAACGGCGGATGGCACCGCATTCGTGCTTTTAATTAGCAGCATTAGGGTAACACCATCGCTTGGTGTATCACTATCGCGCAGGAATAGATAGTTAATTAATCTATCGGGACCCTCTCGATACGGAACCAGATAAGAATGACACGATGACACATTTCAATTGTTGCACTGCAGAGATAACCCCAAGAGTCATTTTCGCCATCGCGATTTCAGCTCAGGACTGGCATTGTGACTGACCAGCCTGACCACCATTGTCCGGGATCAACTGCCTTCGTGCAACGTCGGTTATCCCCGCAGGCTGACCAGACAATGACACGGAGAAGGCTGTAAGGCGCGCAGGAAATTGGAGTCCCTCTTTCAAAGTGGCCGGTTGTGCGGTTATGATTGACCCTTCCCCTCACACCATTGTCGGAAGTTTAGATCAATAGCGTATGTCTCAAAGACTGGTCATGATCATCATCTCCCAATCTAGGTTGAGTCCCAGTCTGTAATGTTACCCCAGAGTCTTTATTATTGCTTTTTCCCACGTCGGTTGCGGAGAAATGAGCCAGAGACCCATTCTGTGTCTGGAGTAGCAGCCAATTGACCGTACCATTGACCGTTGAAGCTTCCCCCCTCTGCACTGGTGTCCGATGAGGCCATGTTATCCCCCCTCCTTCTCGTTCCTCGTGTTATCTGCGATGGTTGAGATGGTGGAAGTGGAGTTCCACTCGGTGCTGCCGACCGGCTCAAGCCGCCAGAGAGAGACTGACCAGTATCAGAGAACGCGTAGTAATCAGAGGGTCATCTGTGATAGTCAGTATCAGAGAGCAAAAGATTTTTCTTCATGTCGAGCAATTGAAAATGTCACTTTTCCGAGCAATAAACATCAACTCAAAACCACAAAATTGAGGGGAAAGAAAAGAAAGCTCTCCAAGGCGTGATCGGAGCGCAGCGGCGGGTTTTAATTCTCAAAATCCTGGGCACGCCTTATCTTTGCTGCTCCGACTTCGCCCTCTGCCTTCTCCAACAATGCGTCATCAAATCGCTGCTAAATAGCAAGTCGACTAGTCCTCGTCGTCATCTTCATCTCCGAGTCTCTACTGGGGATGGCAATTATCACCGGCTGTCATGGCTGCATCGGATGCCAGTTCCTCGTTGGTTCTCCGGTCCGCTTTCGAGATGGCGACATCGTCAACCAATGATGACATGGCAGTTTGGACTTCATTCAATGCGAGACTTGTGTTTTTATCCAGCCGAACCAGTCTTGACTCATTCTGAAGCCAAGTGCACTGGTGATCCTGCGGGGAGTCAAGATAGCAGGACCAACACCGACATCGGTGAGATGTCGTCTTGTCTTCTCGGCTTTTGACCGAGTCACCAAACCAACAAGTCTTGAGCAGTCTGCTTAGATGTCAACCGCAGTGGACAAGGGACGGTGGACGTTAAGGAAAGCTTTTCCGGGGAGACAACACATGGCACCAGTGACCAGGTGCCAGTCAGGTCTACGAATATCATCAGGACATCTTCACGCTTGGCAGGATGATCAATGTTGATCTTCTGATAACGGTGGTGTTCCTGGATTCTGTCAGGTTTTACCCCTGTGGACCTACATGTCGATCTCTACATTAATCTTTGGCTTGATCTATCTGAGACGTAAGTACAAACATCAAGGGCAAGAATCTGATATAAAGAAGATGAAGATGTTATGAGTCATGATGGAGCGAAAGGTCAACTCTGACCTTGACATTTGAAGTTCATAGAGACGATCATGCTCATATTGAGTCATGGATCCACCCATGTCAGTGTTTATTCTCAAGTCTGCTGTTCGTCTTACACAATGTCCTTACGAAACACGAATGGTGCATGACCGGATCATCTCATTGCTGAAGTTGATGATTTGATTGAAGTTGATTGTCTTTACATGGTAAGAAACTCTTGTAACGCCATCCAGCACTGCAAATATAATGAAGATACTCTACATTATTCCTTTTGTTTGGGTATTCCCCCTGCTGTGCATCATCAGAATTGAGTTATTATAACAAGCACATGAAGAACGGTCAATTAGAATGTAGCTGTAAGAACTGATGTTTATTGTCTGCTTTCCCCTTTTAGACAAGAGAAAACTTCCCTAGTTAGGTTGTTATCCTCATCACTAGAATGAAAGTCAAGATATATATTCATCATTATTGCCAGCATCTCCATATATTATTATCTCACCCTAATCTTTCTTGCATTTCGGCTTGAAATCCAATCATATCTACTGGGAACCTAAAGTCATTCTGTCCTCCATCCATGTTAGAAAAGGGTACCTATATCCTCACACCCTTCTAATATGCTAATAGCCATACCCACATACCTTGAGCTCTATAGCACCACCTACAAACAACAACCATCTAAAGCAAGTATCAAATCAGACCCCTAAAATAAAATTACAAATCAGCATAAACATACCCCTCACCATCCAAGCAGAGCAGCCTACCAACCTCCAACCAACCAAATCACGTGACCAATACCCTACTCCTTCCCAATCAGGTAACCCAACAACGCATATCATTCACTTCCATTAAATCCCCTCAACAAACCCAGGGTGATTGTGGTTGGGTGGCTATACCACTCGACCAAGACAGAAGTCCTGGGTTCGAAACCCGCTGGGAACTGGTTGAATATACCTATCCCGACCAGCTTCAGCTGGGATCAGTGTGTAAATCCCTACGATTATGTTGGGATTGCGTAGCCCCTGAACGGTCTTCCACCTTATAGGAAGGAAGACTGGTTCGGGGGTGGTGGGCCTTTTTGTTTTGCTTCTTGGTTGGTCTGTCTGGTTTTGGGCTTGAGGAGATGGAGATAGGATGGGTGGTTTTAAGCCTTGGTGGATTTGTTGTTTTGATAGCTTTGATGTTTAGCAACCCATATGTCACATACTATCTTCTCGTAGCAATCACTGGAAATCAAAGAGAGACAAGTGCATGATGTATCAAAACCACCAGAGCTACCTTATACTTGATCATGACTCCGGTTGTCTTGACTTATTGCCATATCTACCTATGTTAGACTATCTCGATGCAAAATGTACTCGATCAAAGCCCCAGACAAGAGTTAGTTGAACAGAAGGTCCCTGAAAGCAGTGCCCTTCCTAATACTTCTTCATTCGGTATATTAAATTTCGTAGTATGTTGCCAGACATCGTGGTTTTGACTCATTCGAATACCTTCATGTTTCCTGTTTGAAATGGTATCAGATCCGCTTATCGATCGTCAAGGCTCAAGGCAGAGTACTTAAATGCCTATCAACCAATTCCGGCAGCCAAAACGAAGATCTCGACCAAAGCGTCATTATGCTACCCCGATAATCATTCAGCATAATGGGCATGGCAGAAGCTTATCCTCCATACATGAAGGAATTGCATACGTGAAGCAATTGCAAGATTTATGATTATTTTTGGTATCTATAAATTTCTCGCATTAAAATGTCCAGGAAAGGAAACAGTCATACAAATAGAACAAGGATACAAGAACGTAAAGCAGAAAAATAAAAACGAAAATAAGCAGCAACCTTGACATGTAATGGTATAAAACTCATAGGAAATGCGTTTTCGAATAAGATACATGTCGCGGATGCCTATGATCAAATCGTCACTGCTGGATGCAGAGAGTCAAGCCGGGGGTTCTTCTGTCCCCATGTCCAGTCTCTCATGCCATCAAGTCCTCGTTCGTAGTCGCCCATAATGACGCAGATTTTTTTCCATTCCACTCCCATGAACAGAAGCAAACGCCCCTTAAATAGATCATAAATGCAGGATAGCACATTATCTCATGACCGCTTAAACAGTGTACTTGGCCTTGGCCCGAGTGCTACCGCTGTGAGCACTGTCTGTGTGTCCAGAGAACTCGACAACCTCGGATTCCTTGAGGCGCAGGACCTCCTTGAATCGTCGACCGATAGATTCCAAAACTTCCTTGCCCTGGGCGGGAGTGCGGGTGCCCTTGTCTCCGGGAATGCTCTTGCCGACAGTTCGTGTCCAGAGACCGACACGGTAAAAACCCTTGCGCACGTTCACCACGACACCCATAACTTCGCTGTCGCCATCGTTCTCGAGGGTCTCGCCAATTGCGGCCAACTGGGCGTGCAGCCATAACTCATCGATCGGGACGGAGCGCTTGTCTTTGAAGGAGTAGGACCATTTTCCACCGTGCTTGTTGTGGGGATCTTCCCACTCGGGCCGAATGCCCTTCTTGAAAAGGTGATAGTCTGCCTTGAGGCCAAGTTCGGAGGTTGGTGTGATGTTGTTCTATCCGAAAAAGTTGGTCAGTTGAGCTGTGGCGAGTAAAATAGTGAAATAAGCGAGAAAAGAACATACGTAGATTCCCCAGAATTCCTCCACAGAGTTGAATGTCACGACTTCCTTGAGCAAGTCATTCCAGTTGTCGCCCTACAGGCAATCAGTCAGCGATCTGGGCAGAAATAGCAGCCCAACCAATTCCATACCTTGCCACTGGGAGGCTTGGTAAACCAAAGAGTCCAGTCGTGCATCAAAGGATGCTTAACATTGAAGTTTTCCGCGTTATGGAACACTGTAACCGAGTCGCCATTTGTCTGTTCGGTCTTCTCAGTCTGCTCGGTGGCAACGGCGGGAGCGGTGTTTTCATCAGTCACCGGTGCGTGACCGTTCTCTGTAGCGGCGGCCATGATTATCGATGGTTATCGAAATGAAGCGAAAAAAGAGAAAGGTGAGAAATATTTATAGGGCGGGGAAGTGGAGTTGATAGCGAGGACGGAAGAGTCGTCGGAGGGGCGAGAAGAGTCTCGGTGGGCGTGAAGGGAATTTTTGTGTTGAGATGTCGGAGGGAAAGAGCCAACTCAAAGAGATGGTCAAGTGAATCACAGGGTGGAGCGGTAGATGCGCGGATATTCTCGCAGGGATAATAATCGTCTGCTCCAGGCAGAATCACGGCTGACGTCGTGTTGGCGGGGGAGTCTGCGAGGAGAAAGAATAATGAAGATTTGAAGCGTTTGGAGATGCCGCAGCTCGAACGAAAAGTGCAGCCTTTCCTTTTTGGGCCACGCCGCCTTTCCAGACTTCTCATAGGCTGCAGCGGGCCGGACCCAGCCCTAACATTTACTTGAAGTGAGAGTGAGATGAATTAAGACAACCATGAGAATGAGAAAGATTTAAAATAAAAGTGAGGGTATGGTAATAATTGATTGAAAAATTAAAAGATTCTGTCAGGATAAAACCATCTGAATACATTGACTGACGATCGAGTATGATAAAACAATCTGCTTTTATTCATGAAATCTATTCTTGCGCCTAACGAACATAACGAAATAAAGACCCTCTATTATTTCAGGTGCAATCAATGACATGGCAATAAGTACCATTCGCATAAAAAAGGGGTATCTCCAATGCAGACCATAACTTGAGGTAAATTAAGCATCGCCGCTGTTGATCATGCTCAGAAGGCAGTTCCAGCCTGTTGTAAACTAGTCAGCATAAGACAATAGAATAATGTTTTCCAGACTTACCCAGGCTAACCAAGTTGACAGCCAACACACGGTATTCCAATGGCACAAAGGTAAAGTTAACAGCCTGCACCAGAGGCCAGATAGCCAAGTTTGCCTTGTAGCTGGGAACGAAACTGCTGCGCCACTTCTCGATTGGGTCGGTACCTTCCATGATAGCCATTGATGACAAGAAGCAGGTGAGGTGTATAGGGGTGAAGAAGCATTGATCGGCAGCAACTCGGGCGGCGATGGTAGTTGGAGTACTCTTGAGGACGACGTGACGCTGGAGGAAACCGAACCAGGTAGTAGCGGCAGGACCGAAGATCGCTTATTCAGTTAGAAAAAGGTCAATTGTGTTATAATCGAATGATGAATGACATACCTCCACCGTAGAGCGCCATGCGCCCGGTTCGAGCTATGTCATGTTTCTCGAATCCCCTGCGATCGACTGCCTGTTGAGCCAGGACGTCTCCACTACTAAAGAGGATCTATATTCTATTAGAAAGAATCGCAACTGATAGCGAAAAAGAGTCATACAGCACTGGTGATACTGGCGGTGAGAATGGGCTGTTTGGCCAGCTTTGCCTGGTACCTGAAAATCGAACTTTAGCTTCACCTTATCGTCAAGGTACTGGATACATACCAGCGCAACATTGTTACTAAAAGAGCGAAGGTAGTTCAATTGATATAAAAGAATAGATCAACGGGATGGCTTGTCTGCGGGTCTGAAGGAGGAGATGTCGAGATGACAAGGTGACAGAAGAAAAGCTGGGGAAGAGAGGTCATAGATGCTGCAGTCCCGATAAGAAACACGGACGTTCCCCCAAACAAGTAAAACCAGGGCCAATCTGTTGCCACGCCGCCAGCGATTGGAGAGAGCGAGGAAAAACACCCAAAGAGGAAGTCCACATGTCACGTGATGCAGATCCACGGGTTACCCAAACGGGAGTGACACTTAGGGCCTAGGGTTTGCGGCGGTAGGGTTCGCAGCCTCGCTTAGCCCACCCGCCAGCGAAATTTCGCTTGGTCCCAAAACAGTTGTGGATAGAGCGAGAAAAGCAACCCTCGACGTCGACAACCCCTCCCCATCGACACCCTCCAGGTCCGGCAACCCGGTACATTTTCAATCGCCAGATCTATACAACATGGCTGACGCTCCCCGTGGACGTGGAGGATTCGGCTCGCGCGGCGACCGTGGTGGTGACCGTGGACGTGGCCGTGGCCGCCGTGGCCGTCGTGGCGGTCCCAAGGAGGAGAAGGAATGGCAGCCCGTCACCAAGCTTGGCCGTCTCGTGAAGGCCGGCAAGATCACCAGCATGGAGCAGATCTACCTTCACTCTTTGCCCGTCAAGGAGTTCCAGATTGTGGACTTCTTCCTCCCCAAGCTGAAGGATGAGGTTATGAAGGTACGGAACGAAAATTTTCTTTGCGCGGGAACGACTGGAAAAACTACATGTACAAGATCGCAAATGTGGAAATTGAAAGAGCTTGGGACCAATGGATGCGATTTGATATGGATCGGAGTTTATGGATGATATGGAATTGGCAGTCACTAACATGACGGAATCCTACAGATCAAGCCCGTCCAGAAGCAGACCCGTGCCGGTCAGCGTACCCGTTTCAAGGCCGTTGTCCTCATCGGTGACTCCGAGGGTCACATCGGTCTCGGTATCAAGACCTCCAAGGAAGTCGCTACCGCTATCCGTGCCGCCATCACCATCGCCAAGCTCGCTGTCCTCCCCGTCCGTAGAGGTTACTGGGGTTCCAACCTTGGTGAGCCTCACTCTCTGCCCGTCAAGCAGAGTGGAAAGTGTGGTTCCGTCTCCGTCAGAGTACGTTTTCCCATGATATGCGAAAGATGCGCCTCGAAAGCAATGCTAACTGGTCCAAGCTTATCCCCGCTCCCCGTGGTACCGGCCTGGTTGCCTCCCCCGCCGTCAAGCGTCTCTTGCAGCTTGCTGGTGTCCAGGACGCCTACACCTCCTCTTCCGGTTCGACCAAGACCCTTGAGAACACCCTCAAGGCCACCTTCGTCGCTGTCGTCAACTGCTACGGCTTCCTCACCCCCAACCTGTGGAAGGAGACCAAGCTCATCCGGAGCCCTCTGGAGGAGTTCTCTGACGTTCTGCGCCAGGGTAAGAAGTACTAGATTCCGTTGTGTGTAGCGATGGGAAGAAATTTGCATGATTGTTTTTGAACCCAACCAAATAACTTTTTCTTAACAACAACCCCCGATTCCCTTTTTTTACTACCTTTTTCTTTTTGGCTGGGGAAAAACGGGATTATGCTCGAGGAGACTCGTAATACCTTACCACACACAAAAAATCACGCTCGGTTACGCTATATGGTGTCCATGGATGTCTTATTTACAGGAAGGGAAAAAAGGAAATAGCGTGGAGTCAATAAAAGCTACCCTTTCACCAGTCTATCGTGTCGTAGTGTAGTCGAATAAAAGCACTAGATCGGGTTAGCAAGTGACGTATACCTGAACGTCATGTACACCCTCATGATGCTGTACGCAATAGACCAATCGTCATTTGCTATGCTCAACCGGCTCCACCATAGAGACTTGCATATCGAAATGCCTATGTACAAATTACAACGATGTCTAATTCAACATCACCTTACGCCTAAAACATACCTCGAACATTGCCTTGGGATAACCCAACACGTCATTGAAATATATTTCCACTGCAGCACACCATAGCATAGGATCCCGATATACACGGGAAACATATATTGATACTAGTTGGTTAGCTTTCATCATATATCAACGTACTTGAGCTATGAAGACCTGATATATATATTGGCCATCATGCTATCATTGAGAGATTTGGATCGCCTAATCCAAAGTACGACTCGACTCGACTCGTGTGGCACCAAGTGAACCATATAAAATCGTGACAATATATCCTACTATAGAGGTCGATGACAACATGGCGGTACTGCCTAGCTTCCTGAGTTCTTTCAAGGGGGGTTGGTTAGATATGATGGTTGGTCTCGGCCTGTAAAGCCATCGTCAGTGTGCGGTGTATATTGATTCCATTGTGAATGGAGTAAAGAAGATAGTAAATATAGCTTGATTTCATTAAGATTAAATAAACCATGACCGCAATATGTATCTAGATCATTTACAATAAAGTATATAAGTCCTATTCTCAACGTGACCAACCAGCTGCTTTTAGCTGTCGGAGACCCCAACAGCCTAAAACTCAGCAGTCTTATTAGCCGGCGCACCAGTGTACAACTGCTGCCCATTCTTCTTAAAGCCAGTAATAGTACGCTGGCCCTCAGCACTAATAACCCACTGTGCGAACGCGTCCGCGGTCTTGAGGTTCTTCGCGTTCTTGCCGACAAGCATGTGGGCGGGGTTAAGGAGGGGGTCAGCAGCGTCGTCCGTGGCGGCCTTGTAGATGGTGGTTTGGTTTTGGAGGTCGGTGGAGATGGAGAGGTAAGTGCCGCGGTCGGTGATGGTGTATTCTTCCAGCTGGATGGCGGCGGTGAGGGCTTGGATTGGGTAGGCGATGTATTGGTGGTACCATTTGGAGTAGGCGGTTGCCCATGGGACCTGTATTGTTAGTATGAATGGATGGGGGTGAGGAGGGGGACTAACCTGTCCGATATCAATCCACAGCTGGGAGTCCTTGATGTTGGTAGCGGACTTGTCATAGCGAGTCAAGAAGCGCGTAGGAGGCTCGGTATCTTCCCCCTCAGCGGCGGCGTAGATATCCGAGAACATCTTCTTGATATCGCTACTTTTGGAGAGATTGGCCGGGTTGGCGTGGGGCCCGACGAGGAGGAAGTGGTCGCGCCAGGCGTACCAGGCGGGTGCCTTGGCGATGCCCTCGCTGATGGCGATCTGCTCTGCGGCGGGGGTGTAGGTGATGCCGACGTCGACGGTGTCGGACTTGAGGTAGTTGATGGACTCGGTGGTGTCGCTGGTATACCAGGCGACCTTGAAGGGGGAGGTGCCGTTCTTGACGCTGGCTTTGATGAAAGCGTCGGCGAGGACTGAATTGTTAGCATGATTAGATATTAGATGATGAAGGGTACATACCTCCGATCAAACCGCTCTGGCCGGCACCGCCGTTACCGATACGGAGCTGGACGGTGGAAGAGGAGGAGTTGAAGCCTCCATTGTAGATGGCAGCAGGGTCAACAGCCATGGCAGATGCAGCCAGCATCAAAGCCTGAACGGGAAGAGAAGTGAAACGCATGATGCAGCAATATGATTAAGTAGTATGCAGTGAGAAAAATCAAGAAGAACCAGTGACCAGGAACGAAAGCCTTTTAAACCCCCAATCCCAGGAACGAAAACCCGGCTCATAGTTTCCCACCCAAGCCACGAGTTCGTATAACCTCACCAACCAAATTGCCATGACCCAATTCTCCCACTATGTGCTGTACAACTAGACAGTAACCAGCAGTGATCAGCACCAGACCAGACAAAACTCTACAACAATACGAACTGCCTAGAAGGATATGGAGATCAGCACTGCCAAGGTAAATAGTCATTCACGATCCTTTGCTGGATCGAGGACAAATGCCGTGTTGGCGCGGGTTTTCAGGAGTGGATCTTTTTCCCGTGGCAGAGATTCGATCGAGTTATTGTGATCTGGATGTGATTTCCGGGGTGGGCAAAGTTCCGATTGGATATCTGGGTAGATAAACCGAACATTCCGTATAGATATTTTCAAGACAAGATAGTCAAGGTTGGTTGGTGATATTCAGGGTCCATCTGGAGAACAGCCGGGTCATAACCATGATAACACTAGTGGTGTTCAATTGATACCCATAATAACCAGCAAAGCCATGCAGTCGAGATCAGCTCAGCTAAACCAAGGAAAGCCACCAGGGTCCAAGTGGGGAGTCATTTTAGATGATCCTTCAGCCACACTCAGCTGAAGACACGATCCCTGATATTTCACAAGTCTGGTTGTCGACCACGTAGCTGATTGTTAAAATGCCAGCATGCAGCACCCACTTCAAGTTGCAGATGAATGGTGATGTTGGTGTGATGCGTTTGCATCTCGCATTTTGAATTCTAGAATGTCACGTGTGTTTTGTGGGTCACATGAGTTCTTTATTTCTTGTAGCCAATCAGGTCGGTGTAGCTTATTGGGAAATGTGGCCAATGAGCGCGTCGGATGGAGATTTGGCTTTGCCTGATTAGGACTGTACTTCCATCATAAGTTATAGATATTTAGAGGGTAAATTGGTATATTTCATACTATTACCTGCCTTAAAGCAATTAGTGATGGTTTGAAACAAATGGAGCTGAGAAGGCCGGCATCTCAGAACTTAAATTTGTAAATAATAGATAAGAATGACCTTGAAGCATAAGAATAAAATTTAATTCGATACAAGGTTATATACTGTACAATATAAGATAAAGAAAGTATATACTCAGAAAACCTCCCGCCACTCAAAAAGCTCAGTAGAGAGGAAGCTTGTAAGCATCAAAAGTGTACTGCCAAGTGTCAATCGACTTCTGATCATACACACACTCCAACGAGGTTCCATTGTTAGACCAGAGCGGACGCAAAGGCCAAGCGCAGATCTGAGCATTAGCACCCTTGTTGGCGCCAGCGAGGTGGGTAGCGTTCAAAGTGTGCGGGTTGACGCCGTTCTCCACCCAGTCGATCATGACGGCGAGGTTGGTCTGCGGGAAGGGGGCGTTGGGCTGGTAGTCGTTTGTGTTGCAGTGGGCGGCACCGGGGACGAGGTACAAACGGTACCAGTCGGCCATGGCTTCGGTACTGGCGTTGTAGGAGATGTGCGGGTACATGATGTTACGGACGGATTCGTGGTAGTGGACGGAGGAACCGGTGGGAATACTGGGGTCGGACTCGCCGTGGAAGTGGATGATTTTGCCGCCAGCTTGCTGGAAGGGAGTCAGGTCGGGCCAGGTGGTTTGGAGGACGTCTTCGTAGCGAGTCCAGCCGAGAGTCATCCAGTCGATGAGGGTATTGTAGGTGACGTTGTTGAGGGTGGAGAGGTTATCGGCTTCGACGAGCTGCAGGAAGCGAGTCACCCACTCACCACCGAGGGAGGTAATGTCCAACTCCCACGAGTCGGTGTCGGAGTTGTACTGGGTTTCGGCATCGTCAAAGGAAGAAGAAGGCTGGTACCAGATGTAACCGCGACGGCCTTCAGAATCACGGAGACCGTCGAGCATCTTGGCAGCGGCAGCAGCACCCTTGGCAGTGACGGTTCCGTTCTGTTCAGGGGTGGTGTTGGTCATGCCGACGCGCTTCTTCAGCATGGTCGAGCTGGTGGATGCATCGCAGTGGTAGTGCTCGCCGATAGTCGAGTTGACGTTGAAGTGCAACTTGCAGAGATCGGTACGGGAGACAACGCCGTCAACCTTGCCATCGAGAGAGTCGCAGGCGGCAATGGTCAAGTTCATGATCTTCTGCAATTCGCAGGGAGGGGGATAGTAGCCCATGGTCTGCTCGACGACGTCGGGATAGAGGTGATTGACCTGCTGCTGGCCGTAACGCATGGCGGGGGCGCCAATGACAGCGCCGTCCCATTCTTCAGGGAACCGTTGGACCTGACTCCATCCTTCACGGCCACCCTCGGAGCATCCTTGATAGTACGCGTAGAGCTTGTCGGAGACGTTGAAGAAGTTCTTGGTGAACGCCTTGCCGATGACACTCAGCTCGTGGTGAGACTGGTATCCAAAGTTGTAGATGGCCTCGAGGTTGGCCGTGCCATTGGCAGTGGGGAAGACCGAGTCCAGCTGGTTGCTGAAGCCTCCAAAGCCACCGTCGGTGATACCAGCAGCAGCACCGTACATGACACCGCCAGGGAGACTGTTGCTGCCACTGTTGATGGCAAAGCCACCGCCACCAGTGGACAGCCAGCGGTTCTTGAACTTGTCGGGGGATGGCAGCCAGAGCTCAAGGAGGATCTGGTCATCGCGTCCGCTGTGCGAGTAGGCCAGGGTGACGTTGCAGTAGTCAAAGGTAGCGTCGGGGAAGAAGACCTCGTTGGAGACAGAGGCGTTGTAGACGGCATTGGCAGTCACGGAAGAGCTGTCGAGCTCAATGCCCTGCGCGACATTGGTGGGGAGGACAGATTTGGCATACGAAGCTGTACAGACATCCTTGAGAGAGGCAGCCTGAGCAGAGGAGAGGGCAGCAGCCCCAGCGACGGTTCCGAGAAATCGCATTGTGTGTGATCAATTGACAAACACAAACAAAGGAAAAGGTCAGGATGATCGACTTTATAAGATGTCAATTTTTGGCTGCGTCAGCCAACCACGGAGGCTAACAGTCCATGGTCTGGAATGGAAGAATTTCGGAGATGAAAACGTTTGAGAAAATAGACTAATGGATAGTCGCGTCATCCGAAACGCAATCGAAGGAAACAGGACGATCGTTACGTATGGTTACTTGATCAAATGATTAACTTATCTGAAATGACTGTTCTCATTATCATTTATTGACTAGAATCTATACGACACTCAGTATAATCTCTAGACTATACTCAGACAAGACGTATGAATATGAACGTATACTGTACTTGACAGTACCTGCATCTGCATACCCCTGAATGCAGAATAGAACATCTATATTATCCATATTATTCGATAGCTTCAATCAACGGTTCAAGTGTGGAAAACCTTACTGGCAACCCCTGGTTTGATATTCGGACGAAGATGAAGTTACAAGCAATGATCGACAGTGTAAGGCCGTGGTGGATAAGACTTATCCCGACTCCTCAGTCCTCACTCTACTTTTTCTTCTCAATGGGTATGATGATAATATTATATGATATGGATTGGCTATTCTATCTGTATTGTATATCTATCTTAATTCTCTTGCTTCTATCCCATCTACATGCATATAATCAGTATATACTACTATACTACATACTGTATATCAAGGTGAAGACTGACACCGAGCTTGACCCACTTAACCTTAACCCCGAGCAACAAGAAAAGCATCAAAATTCAACCTCCACCCCGTCTCTTCTTGCCTCGATGGATTCAAGATTCCAGAGAGTCGAGTTTTGCCGAGATTAATCCGCTGTACACGTAGATCTGCAGCATTTATGATATTTTAATCTCATTATCTGATCGAATTCCGACACGTGGGGGAGTGCAGAATATGGCCTGACCACTTGGATTTATAGCCGATGCGCTAGAATGGTTATATGGCTATAGACTGCAGGTTTAATATGAAGTATTCTAGGCAGCAGATGAGGCATTTTATGTACTGGAGTTGTGCATAGCGGTGCATTGAGAGAACTGTTGAATATACTAGAGCAGTTCTTCGTACTTGGTCCTGTTCTACGAGGTAGACTAGTATTCTAATTAGGCAGTATCTTAAATATTGATATGGAAGTCCTCGAAACCAAAGGCAGAACAAGTTTAGGTGTTGAATATAACTGTTGTGTTTTATTTCTACACATAAACCAGGCAGAGTCATTGTGCTGACAGATTAGATCACTGTTAAGCATATTTAGTGGATATGATCTACCAGTTAAGCATTCCAACAAAAGGCAAATACTACCTTACATTCTGTACTATACAGCAGTCAATATTATTGGAGCGTGGCAAAACATGCAGATAAGACTGCATGAATACGAGAATCTGACACGAGATAACAGATACATCACATCTAACCTGGAAGCTGTCATATATAGATACTAGGTACCTAAGTAGTGGCTCTCATCTTGGATATGAATCAAAATGGCAAATATCGATACATTAAACACCCTCGACATCGAAGGCTGGCCTTCGTCTCTCTTCCCCAATGACCTCGGATGGGATCAACTACTCAAAGACATACCCATTGAAACCGACCTGACAACTCCATCTAAGCCCTGCAAATGCTTCCCCCTCGCCATCCAGATCATCGAACAGCTAGATCACTACGAAAAAGATCATACCACGAAAACCGGCGATACCGCGCTTGGCATCGCGAGAGAAGCAGTCCAATCATGCGGCCACTTCGCCGGCTGTGCCTCTTCTATATGTCACCGTCGAAACGGGATGCTGTTTATTGCTATTTTCCAACAACTGGATGCGCATTACACAGGCGTGAGTAGACGGTTACTCTCGAAAGGGGGAGATGGAGACGTTGAAGTCGAGGTGGAAGTCGGGATTGGGTCATTCCATGTGAAAACGGGGTTATCGTCAGCGATTGGGAAAGCGATCGTCACGACGGAGATGATGAGCGCGGCGAGTTGTGCGTTGCAATTGTCGAGGATGTTTTCATCTGATGAGGAGGGGGTCAAGTGTCAGCGGGAATTACTCGTTTCGGTATCGACGAGTCTATATCAGTGTGCGATGGAGTTTTGTAATTCGACTTTTGCTATTCATTTATGATGTGATGATATGATGTTATCTAGTGAATTGGGTTTTGATGTGATTTATCAATGCTTTTAATCCGCCATTTTCAGGTGTATTTATCAGAGACTCGCATACGCGCTGTGCTCGCTTCGTCTCGCAATCGAGAACAGCTTGGAGAATGCCCGGTCCGCATGATTCTTCGTGGAATTCGAGACTTCCGATTCTGATACTCACTGAGGAGGATATATTTGTATCGGTTATTTTTGATATACTCTCGTAGCATGCAAGTATGCGCTGTAGAATGGTGACGCAGAGCATTGACAGGACTGAGCTTGAGCACGAAGGGCATTTCGTGGCTGTTTCGCAGAATGCCAGACTGCTGTGTGTGCTGGAAAGGAGTAGATCGAAGTCGAAGTGTGTTTGTAAGTTTTCCAATTGGGATAGAGTTGATAGAGCGGTGTTGAGGCAGGGGCATGATTGATTCTGATTCTGATTCTGCGATGTTGTTTCATACACAAATCCACTCTGTGAATCAGGAATTGGAGACCACGAAATGTCTGTATCGAGGATATCCTGCGAGAGAAAGTCATCAATCGAGAGCGATGTTTCTTCTGGTACAGTATCGATTGAAGAGACGGTATTCCGTCGAACAGGCGAATCATCTATTGAATCAGCTCTATATCATGGTATATGGATGGATAACTCACCTGGAGAAACATTCGAAAGTCTTCGTTTACGAGGAGTATCCTGAAACGACAGACTGAACGTACAGACATTGTTATTGCCCAGACATCGCTGGCATCGATCTCCATCGCGGACGCATTTCACTTTGAACCGATAACATTGATCGCATGCAGAAACTGCCAATCCACGTTTTGTCCGACAGGAGAGAGCAGGCGATGGGAGGACATTGCTAGTGTCGATTTCTGTCTCATCAACACTGTCCATGAACCAGATGAATATAACTCACGTCCTTCATTCTCATTCTGATTCTGATTCTCTACTCTCCTCTCCTCAGTCTGACTCTGACTCTGACTCTGCTTCCTCCTCAACCTCTTCTTCGGCCTCCCCATAAATTTCCCAAAACTGTACGTACACGGCGTCGACGATTTCACACACCGCTGGCACTGAGGGAGATGCTTTGTGCAGCTTTGCTTTGTGCGGTGGCATTGGTCGCAGGCGTTGGTTTCGAATTCGGTCATTGTATAGTATTTACTATGGATGTACAAGTACATACAAGTACAATATGCTTATATATTGTCTAGGATTATAGATGATGATGATGATGTTACCCCTCATCTACTCTGCATGTACCGTAATGGGATGAGCTAGTGAGGTTACAGTGCAGGAGGATTGCTTACTATACTGTATACAATAGTATTATAGATAGACGATAAAGATAGATAGTAGATAGAGATAGACATTTACCCCGCCATCTCACCCTCAATCAAGCTCTAATAAATGAGTCCAACTAAAACAGACAAGTAAATCCCTCCCAATCGGAGTCTCCCCATATTGGGGGCCAAAGATAAGCCTCACAATACCCAATCCTCTTCTTCATGAAGGATTCACGCTGCATTAGTATCTCATCAACTTCAGCTTTTACCCAAGTAGGTAGTCACTCATCACCGCTTTTTCAAACCACCACCTATCATCAACGATACAATCCGCCACAAATGCGAGGTATATTGCAAGTACCTAAGTGCTTATGGCCGTGGTGTTATCAGCTGCATATCGCCACGGCATCTGAACCCCGCGCGGGGTGATTGGACAGGATTCCTATCCCATGTTGAAGGATTTGCGCTGGCATCGGTGCCGAGGTTGTCGATCATTTCTATGTGTGATGCGGCGTATATGGCCGGATGTAATGGATGAGATGGGCGGGGGGCCTGATATGTGTGAGGATGGTGGTGATAGGATTTAGATGGGTGAGAAGGTGATTATGATGGCTACAAGGGAAAGGAAGATGGCGTTTGATGGTGTCAGTCAGGCCTTGACTGGAGTTGGATTTGGTGATGGGGAATTCTGAGTAGAGATGGCTAGGGGACTTTTGATATAGCGATCGATCTACGGAGGTTGAGGATGAAATCCAAACCCACCGAAAGTGAATATCATACTGCTGGAAGTCATTCATACTGTACCAGATACCGAAAATGTATAGTATCAGACCGAAAATAACTCTCGGAGATGCTCACTTTCGGCAATGAACACCATCCCTCATCACCATCACAAATCCACAGCTCCGATTCTACAATAATCGGGAGTATTATCATCTATATATTGCTCATATACCACCATATCCACTGTCACCATCACATCACAGTCCGTCTATCATCTGCAATCAAACTTACAACCAATCCTCCAACAACAGCAAGATGAAGCTCATCTCCCTCACCACATTCGTGGCCATGGTGGCCATGGTGGCTGCTATTCCGATTGCAGTTCCGGGTAAGCTAATAACTATATCGCTAGCTAATGTATCCAAGCTGATGTGGGTAGACGAGACTGCTCTTGCGGAGAGAGACCGCAGGGAGGCGATGGCGTATACGCCGCTTGTTGGTCTTGATGCTAGAGATACGACTAAGGAGAAGGTTGATAAGCGTGACACTACGAAGGAAAAGGTGGATAAGAGGGATACCAGCAAGGAGAAGGTTGAGAAGAGAGATACTACCAAGGAAAAGGTGGACAAGCGTGACACGACCAAAGAGAAAGTCGATAAGAGGGACACAACCAAGGAAAAGGTGGATAAGAGAGATACCACGAAAGAAAAGGTCGACAAGAGAGATACGACTAAGGAGAAAGTTGATAAAAGAGACACCACGAAGGAAAAGGTAGACAAGCGCGACACGACCAAAGAGAAAGTCGACAAGCGTGATACCACCAAGGAAAAGGTGGATAAGAGAGATACCACGAAAGAAAAGGTCGACAAGAGAGAGACTACCAAGGAAAAGGTTGACTAGATGTCGAATATCTGAAGCTCCTGGTATTTCGTGTACCGTTTAGGAAGACAATCTATCTTGTCGGATGGCAGTTTTAGTTGCGTTGCAGTATTAGCTAGGATGGAGATTTATGAGAATTGAATGTGGTTTGGAGAGTATATTTCATCTGTACAGAAGTAGAAAACGTGCTACAACCAGAAGTGATATCATCTATTCAGTAGTTTTCTTTAATTCAGCACTAATACTGATTAGCATAAGAATGAACATTTCCGAATGAATCCGAGAATAGAAGAATAAACGACCGGTTTTGTTACCAAGTATTGCTCTGATATCCAAGTAAAATGCAAGTATCAACCGTAATACACACACTCTATCTAAGCTCTGCTCTCCCTCACCAAAAAATAATGCACCATAGCCTCCTCCCCCCCAAACTCCGAATAATCCGTTTTCACCGTATCCACAACCTCAAATCCGTGATTCAGATACACCTTCAGCCCAGCTGGCTCCGACATGACATATGTTTTCAGGTTGTATGCATCGGCGATCTTCAGTCCGCTTTGCACGAGCATACTCCCGATTCCGCGTCGCCAGAAACTGGGCGATGTTGTTAGGTAGTCGATGGCTGTTTATTAGATAGTTGTTTATAAAGGATAAGAGGGGGCAGGGTACTTAGAAACGGCCCATCTTGCGTGATCCTCGCATCGGCTTCTTCTAGCGGCGCACTGCGATAGTCCATCATAGCCGAGTCTTTCATCCCAATCCAGCGGCCGTTTTCCGTCGTCGAGTTGAATTTCTCTTTATACATAGACTTTTCTTCAAGGCTAGGCTCGCCAATCTGCGCTTCAACCCATACTGTCTTCTCACACTCAGCTAGAAAAGCAGGCAACGTCCACCGTGCATACCCAACCACCTCGCCCGTCTCAACACAGACGACCTTTTCGTGCCGTCTACTCTGTCTGTCTGTGATTAAGTTCCAGGGAACGCGCTCAGTAGCTCTGGTTATGAGAGTGGTTGGATCTGGATCCTCCCAGAGAAAAGCCCAGTGGGGGTCTGTCAGACGGGCGCCCATCATGGTGGCTGCTAGGCCGGGGGCGTCGGTTGGGTGACAGGGTTTGATTGTGAATTTCATTTTCAAGATTACCTAGTAGGCAGATGGGAGTGTTGGAAGGGTGAATCGAGAATCGATGGTGTTGAGAGGGAAGGCCGATACTTATCGGCGGGGTCAGAATCGGAGTTCTTTGTTCGGTTGATTGGGGTATAAGTTGTATGAGCAGACTGGATTCAATCAATCAACAAACAAAATGGCAATGGCACAGAATAAGAGAATTCACAGCTGTATGTATTCTTCAAATATCTAAAGTGTATACTAATGAACAGGGTTCAACCGCGAAATGCCTCGTCTCGACGAACTCCCCGACGAAGAAGCCGAAAAGCCCTTTATCACACCCACCAGTTCTGAATCCGACGATGAAGTCTTCCACCCTAAGCAGAAACCATGGTATAGACACATCATCCCCATAGCCGGAATAGCAGTCGCCCTCTTCCTCGGCATGATCGCCTTCTCCATCCTCATCAACGACAGCAAATCCGGCTCTGTCCCCGACGCCCCCCAACCACAAGTGCAAGGCGGATCAGTCGTAACAGCACACTGCGGGACAACACCGGAGGAAGCCCAAGAACGCGGCTGTTTCTGGGACATTATGAGTTTCGGCTGGATGCACCCTTCGTGTCTCGATCAGGCCGAGTCGGCGAAATGGGCTGAGAAATACGGGCCGTGGAAGTGGTATACCGAACGGCCGGATAATACTACGTCAGAAGAAGATCTTATACCTCTTACTCAAGAGGAGCTACCGTATACGCCTGTTGTCTGGACGACGCAGGGCTACCATGTTCAGCATTGTCTGTATGTGTTGAAAATGATCCATCTGGCGGCGATGAAGGAGGGGCCGGTTTCGAATGAGGGGATTGAGTTGGGACATACGGATCATTGTGCGATGTTGATTGGGAATCCGGAGTTGGTGGATTATGAAGAGGTGAATACGAGGGTGCATTTGTTGTTTGTGCAGTGTGTGACTTTGACTTGATCGTATAAGAATCGGAGGTAGATTCGGAGGTATCAATCTAAGATTATATATTATATCAAGTACAGTCCTTCCATTCTATTCAATCAAGTAACTGAAGAATGGACTCCAAATACGCCCATCTCAACTCCTCCGAGGACACTCTCCCTCCTCCATCTCGTTCTCGATCCACCCCCCTCATCCTCCAAACAACAACCCTCCTCGCCTCTCTCACCACAATCTTCCTCCTCCTCTTCCTCCCTCACTCCCAATCAACCATACCCATACCATCGCCCACCATCCCCCTCGGCATGAACCGCATCAACCCCTCCAACACAACACACCTCCAACCCTGCGGCACCGACGCCGCCTCAGCCCGCGCCGCAGGCTGCACCTTCGACCTCCTCACCCTCGCCTGGCTTCCCCCGTCTTGCATCGACGCCACCCTGTCACAGGAATTCCTCGAAGTCGCCTCGGAACCATTCTACTACGACTCCGACGCAACACAACTCATACCCAACTATGACGCTCTCTCCGAAAGACCCGTCGGAGAGGTCAGCTGGACCACGCGCAAATATCACATCTACCATTGTGCGTTTGGGTGGAGGCTTATGCATAAGATGCTTGAGAGGGGTGGGATGCTGGAGAGTGGACTGAGTGGGTTCCATCATACGGAGCATTGTACGGATACGTTGATAAATACGACGGTGGCGATGGAGAGGGTGGTTACAAGAGCGGAGATTTCGTTTCCGGATTGTTGATAGAGCATATTTATGAGGATGGGGGGTAATGATGTTTACTTGGATGGACTGGTCTGTTTATGTACACATCACACTCTGATCATAAGGAATTATATCCAACAACTTAAGCTCACCACCCATGTCTATTCTGGATGGATATGAAACAATGGCTCTAGAACCTCAACATTGACAGCCCCGAATCCATTCCCAGGCAGCGAGGTAGGGACAATACGACCATTTGCCCGCATACGAGGAATCTCCGCGATAAGCGGGTTCGTCCACTCCGCGAAGCAGTCAACAGCACGCAGTCTGTCCGGCCTTGTCGAAGCAGCCAACTGCAGATTCTGCGCGGTCGTCAGCGCACAACCCCAGGTATCATCGACAGTAACCATCATTTCCAGACCGACAGCAGCGTCACGCAGAATGCGCGCCTTGGTGAGACCTCCCACGCGGGAAAGCTTGATATTCACCCCTGTGATTCCTGCTGCGTGAGCGGTTGTGATATCCGCCATTGTGAAGACGCATTCGTCCAGGATGATGGGTAGGCCGGTGCGACGGCCTACTTCTGCGCAGTCGGAAAGAGACCGGCAGGGCTGTTCTAATGCGATGGTGATGTCCTGTCCTAAAGCGCGGGCGAAGATAAGCGCCTGCTCGAGGTTCCAGCTGCCGTTGGCATCGGCCCATACTTCGACGCTTTCCGGGAGAACCTCGCGGATGGCTCGAACCCTGCTCGCATCGACAAGAGGATCATCGCCGACTTTGAGTTGCAGAGCAGTCACGCCCTTGTCCAGTTCATCCTTTGTCTTCTGGATAGCGGTGGGGATCTCTGCAAACCCAACGACTGCAAACGCAGGTAGTTCCTGACTGAGACAGCCACCAAGTAGAACATGCGTCGGCAAGCCTACAGATTTCCCCAAGATATCCCAGCAAGCCAGATCGATGACCGACTTGGCCGCCATCCCCGACATCATCGCCCGGTCCATCACGGCCCCAATCGCTGCTGGCGCCCGAGGATCGAGCCCGATGATCTTCGGGCCGAGTTCCTTCAGCGCTGCGATTTCGCCGGTATACGAGCTGGGCAGGTAATCGCTGCCCAGCGGGGCATTCTCGGCCCAGCCTGAGATGCCGCTGTCTGTGCGGATTTGGATAACGAGAGATGGCTGACCGTCGCTGGTGCGACCGCCGGACATGGTGTAGACGCCATGGTTGTATTTGGCTTTGTAGCTGAAGGCTGTGATTGAGGTGATACGCATTTTCTGTGCTAGCATAAGCATTTTGATAGCAAACAACGGAACATCTGTGGTCTAACCTATCAAAAGTAGTCAAGCTGACCGACAGTGACTTTGAAAACACCCCAGACGTGAGAAGTGAATGTGTTATATACGAGGCAACGGGAGTGCATCCGACCCTAATGCCAACCGGATACCAAAACCGACATATTCACCCGACGTCTCTTAGGGATATCTTGCAGTTACCCCGCGCGTATTTCACTTGATCGGACTCGTTCCCGTAGATCACTGGTCTCAAGGATTGATTCCCTTATATAGTGGTATTTATGAGTATGAATGATGTTATATACAGTTAATCGACATATCTAGTAAACCACCCCGCACAACCAGCAGCAACAACACTCAGTCGCAACACCCATGCCATCGCGTCTGTTTCTCCAATATGCAGTACACCAGAGACAGCAAAAATACAACTACTCAACACGGCTGCGATCATCTGCGGCATGGAGACGGCAATGTTATGAACGCCCATAGTCGTGGCCGTCATGGCTTGGATGTGGCTTTGGTTTGGGGTGTGTTTTTCCATATCCACGTCTAAATCTCGGGATTGCGTGAGAGGCGAGTCTGCTCTAGAGGATGAAGGAGAAGGGGGCGCATCATCCATACTAGCAGCAATTTCGGACCCGATAATCGCAAACGGAGCCCACTGCGTCAGGCCCCAGGATACACCGACGAGGGCGACACAGACAGATGCTATGATGAAGTTATTCACCGTGGTTAGTGCAAACATGCATATGGATGTCAGGATGTGCGATCCCATCCACACCCGCGATAGACTTAGAAACCTAGCCTTCTGGATGAGATAGGGCAGGCTGATGTTGGTGATCAGCGCGACGGAGGAGAAAGGCATCACGCCGAGGGTTCCGTGGCGGAGGGATTCTTCGTGGAGGGCGTTGTAGAAGCGGGTTGATGGGGGGCCCATTTTGGTGTAGAGGACGGTGGATTCGTCTGTCTTATTAGTGGGTGTACCTAGAATGTCAGGATGGGACGTACAGAGTTTGCTCAGATATCTGCATCGTTAGTATAACTTCATTTCAAAAAGGGAAAAGGGACATACGTAGCAGCATAATAAAGAAACGCAAACCAAGCCAACCACGCAAAGCCCTGCACCAGACAAACCATCTTGATTCGTCTCGGCAAGATCCTCGCCGTCTTGTATATCTCGCCATAAACAGCCTTTACTCCCCTCCTCCGCTGCATATCCTCCATCGGAGGGCGATCACCCATAACAGCACACGTAGCAGCCACCGTCACCCCCAACACCGTCGAAGCAATCACGCAAAGACCCTTGAAATGGGCGTTATGAATCCACCCAGCGCTCTCGGGAACGGGCATTTTCAGAAATCCACACGCGTATCCTGCCACGCCACCTATCAGCGTCATACAGCTCGCCATCCGACTCGTTTTCACCTGCTGCGACGCAGGACACGAGTCTACAGCCAGCGAGCGCAGCCCGCACTGGACAGGCTGAAGCGAGGCATTAATCGTCCACACCCATATAATCGCAGCAATCTTCGTCAGGATTTTAGGAATGGTGCCCTCTGAGTCAACGCCCAAGATGTAGTACACAGCTCTGGTACACTCGCTCGTCCACGCGAGCAGATTCATCCCCGCAATCGCTGCGACAGCACCGTAGATAATGAATGGTTTGCGTCGGCCCCATCTGTGCGTGCATGCGTCGCTTTTATACCCGATGAACGGCTGCAGAAAGGCGCCGCAGATTGGACCGGCTAGCCAGACGAGGGATACGAGTGATGGTGGCAGGCCGAGGGAGAGGAGAAAGGGCTGTTTTGTTAGAGTGAGATAGATAAGATGAAGTGGTGACTTACGGATCCGCCTGCCATGACTGTCACCCAGGTTATTTGCAGTCTAAGGTCCACATATTCAGTATTTGATGTTAACATCCAGTGATAATACTTACCCTCCCATGCTGACAGTCAAACAGAACAACTTCCACCTCCCCAGTTCCTCCTGGAGCACTTCATCATCACGATGCGAACGAACCGGTCTGTACAAATGCGCCATAATACCACACGACAATGGATTCTAGATGATAGAAAATAGATAGATTCAAAAACACAAAATAAATCTCTTCAGCTTTCAGCTCAAACCGACCCCGCCGTCCGATTGTCATTCTGTTTCCTCTTTCGGACAAACCAAAGTCGGAAAAACAAAATCGGAGCTGAGAGCTGAATTGCTTCCGACCCCTCTTTCTTTGGGTTTATGGCATATGTATGGACGATGTCAAGTGAAGAGAGGAAAGGTAAAGAATGCAATATTTGGGTCATTCAGGAGCTGTGACATGAGTGTGACATGTGTTGGCCCCCCGATTTCTGAGTGATGTTCTGAAAATGAGGATGATAAGATGGTCAGATATGACATCAGGTATATGACATTGTTTATCTTCTAATCAATATCGCTCAAATATACTCTCTCTAGCTACTGTTTGACTTGATCAATTCTACTACAAACATAGTATCTTGGTGGTAGCTTTTTTATCTGCTTTTTCAGAGTATTCGCGATAGAGATCTAGAGATCATGCCACTTTATGCCCATGAGTTTTCGAAGTTATCTCGAATAGAATAAGAGAGAATAAGAGAGAATAGACTTCAAAATTCACTAGAATACTGTGACAGACAAGTTATTGGTTGAACCAAAAGCATAAGAAATTTAAGCATAAAATCCAACAGTCGGGGCATGGTTGATCGACTCCGGAAATACTTGGGGGTATATCCGGGGTACCTTGGACCAAACTGAGACTGATTTTATCTACCTGGATTATGCATTTCTAGTTTAATAGTATTTGTTTTATAGAATTCGATTCAAGTGGACAGTATTATAATATATATGAATTATAGTATAAAACTGGGGGTATACAGTCACTATACCGAGAATTTTAGCCAATGTCTGCCGGTTAATAATGCATAGATCAACAGTGGATAAAGGCACATGATAAAATGCATGATACTTAGATAGACTGGATTATAGATAGATGAGACATTATATCACTGCTAGTGTCTCAGTGAGGGGAACACCCTGTGACCTTCGGCGACTCCGGATATCCACAGATCCCATACCTTGTGGCACGGGATACCGACAACAGCAGTTATCTACAGTCACAGACTCTATGCAGTTGATATTTTTGTACAACTAGTCTGTGTAATATAAGACAATAGCAGCATAGACAGCAACTGGTAAAGTAGAATCAAATGATGTAGAGTAGGCTGGAGATAAGCCTACCTTAACTCCGAACATAAACAGCCCCCAAACAGCGCCGCGAATGACCGTTGAGCACTCTAAATAGAACGCAGTTGGCGTCATCGCAGCTGACTCACAAGTCCAAAAAAGCAGGGCTTCGATGCTGAAATCTTTTCTCACTCAAACATCTCTATCCGACCGTTATCCAAGATGAGTGCACCGCAGGCCGAGCAGAAGAAACTGTCTGGCTTTAACCTCTACTCGCGATTCGCCTTTGCTGGTGCTGTTTGTTGCTCCGTTACCCATGGAGGTCTGACTCCTGTTGATGTGTAAGTCGCGTGAAGCAACGAGGTGGACATGAAAGAGCTAGAATACAGCTCGACGAAGCAAGAAATACTAACACTAGTCAAAGCGTCAAAACCCGCATCCAACTCGACCCAGTCACCTACAACCGCGGTCTGGTCGGTGGCTTCCGCCAGGTCATCCAGAATGAAGGCGCCGGCGCCCTTCTAACCGGTGCCGGTCCTACATTTGCCGGATACTTCCTGCAGGGCGCGTTGAAGTTTGGCGGATACGAGTTCTTCAAGCAGCAATCCATCAACACGATCGGGTACGAGAATGCCAGGAACAACCGTATCGCAGTCTACAGTGTTTCGGCTGGTTTTGCAGAGTTCTTTGCGGATATTGCGCTGTGTCCGCTTGAGGCGACTCGGATTCGATTGGTGTCGGAGCCTGGGTTCGCCAGTGGCCTTGTTTCTGGATTTAGCAGGATTGCTCGCCAGGAGGGTATTGGGGCTTTTTACTCTGGGTTTGGTCCTATCCTTTTTAAGCAGTATGTACAGTCACCCGAGAATAGTTTCTATGCTTACAATGCAGGGTCCCATACACCATCTCCAAGTTCGTCGTGTATGAAAAGGTCGCCGAGCTCGCCTACGACAAGTTCTTCGACAAGGAAAAGACCAGCGACGGCATGCAAACCGCCATCAACCTTGGTTCTGGTCTGATTGCCGGTTTCGCCGCCGCGCTCGTCTCCCAGCCAGCCGATACCATGCTGTCCAAGATCAACAAGTCCAAGGGTCTTCCGGGTGAAGGCACGACCAGCAGACTGATCAAGATTGGTAAAGAGCTTGGATTCCGTGGCTCGTATAGCGGTATTGGTGCTCGTTTGTTCATGGTTGGTGCTTTGACGGCTGGTCAATTTGCCATTTATGGTGATCTGAAGAAGGCCATGGGAGCTGTAAGTTGTGTGCCCTGTAGATTCAAGGCAAGTGCTAACTGCTCTAGACTGGGGGTGTTGAGATTGCGAAATAGTCGCCAGAGTAGATGTGTATTCAAGAATAGACGTATAACACGTGCAAGTATTTATTTTTCTGATCGATATGTTTAATAAACCGAATCTTAAAATCGGAGCATGCAATTCCCCACAATCACTGCATGAATGACGATCTTTCTGCCTGAATCAGGTGTCCATGTCAGCTTATCGGTTGCTGACCGAATCTGCGTCAACTCCCCGCCCGGTTACTTTTATTTATCCTTTTATCCCCAGATTCCATCCATCTCTAATGTCTTAAACAATATCATATATAATAATAATAATAAAATGGCATGGCCATACCACATCCTCACCCTCACTGAGGAACAATCCCACCACCGTCGGACCCTCCTTGACCGATACGGGATTTACGCGCAATTCTCGGTATTAATCCCGATCCTTTGTTATCGGCTATATAGATTGGGGATATGGGTTTACCGCAAGACAAGATCGAGCTCGTACTCTGCTCTCCCGAATCCGTCTGAAAAGGGGGCTTTGAGGAGAGTGACTCGATGGAATGCCCTTGTTTGGTGGTTGGAGGGTGAAGTCGTCCCTGGGTGGGGGTTGAGAAAGCAATGGGTTTTGGGGTGTTTTTGGATGTGTTGGATGGTGGTTCTTTGTTTTTTGGAGACTGGGGATGGTATATCATCTTTCCTTTTTTTTCTTTTTATGTTGGCTATACTAATGATATGTAGATTATCTCCACGTCGCAAAACGCTTCGGCATCATCGCAGCAGCAAACTTCCCCCTGCACTTCATGCTAGGCATGAAATCAGGCTACTCGCCTCTGGCATTCGTCTTCAACGCTTCCCATGAGCAGATCATCCCCTTTCATCGCATGTCAGGAAGGATACTTTACTGTCTGCTCCTCACTCATGCAATCTGGTACATCAACTACTTCTACCAATCTAATCGTCTGGATCATCTTACGTCGCGACATTCGCTGACGGGGATTGTTTCATTCACGCTCATGACTATCCTGACGGCTGCAAGTCTGGAAAGAGTTCGAAACTGGAGTTTTCGCGTTTTCTATAATATCCACTTAATACTTGGGCTGTCTATGTTCCCAATTCTATTCTTCCATGCCAAGGCCCTTCGTGTTTATGCCGTCGAGTCGATACTTATATTCATCGTCGACCGTGTCCTCAGAAAAATCGACACTGTTACTGTCAAATCCGCAACGATATCGAAAATCCCACATACCGACCTCGTGAAACTGCACATCCCAGTGTCAGGGTCGAAACTAGCACAGTTCCAGAAACTGCCCGCTCAGCATGTTTATCTTTCTCTACCGCGGGGCGTCAAGTCGTCAGCTCCGTTTATTAACTCTCTAATCTCGAATCCGTTCACCGTCGCCAATGTGGAAGAACACGCAGTTACTCTTGTTCTACGGGCGAGAAACGGCCCAACAACAAAAGCGCTATCCACCCTATCCGACTCCCTAAAAGCAAACACCCCCATTTCCATCGAAGGTCCATACGGGAGCTCATCTCGCTTCACCACCCTCGCAACACAATTCGACCGCATCCTCCTAATAGCAGGCGGAGTTGGCGGAACATTCATTCTTCCCATCTACCACGCCCTACGCGACCAATTCGAAACCGAAGGCAGAAGCCCCCATCGCCTCAATCTAACCTGGTCGATACGCACGCCCGCAGAGGTAGGCTGGGCCATCGACCCCGAAGACGGGAAGTCATTTATCCAGAACCAGAATGCGAATGTGCACGTTACGCGGGATCGTTCATCGGATGACCTATCCACGCTTGCGGGGGATGAGCTTGAGATGGACGAATTACAGCCGTTTAATGGTGGGGAGGAGTTGATAGGCGCGAAGAAGGGACGGCCAGATTTGAGGGCCATTGTGGAGGAGACGTTTAGTGATGGGGATGAGTCTGTTGCTGTTGTGTTTTGTGGGCCGAAGGATATGGGGAGGGACGTGAGAGGGTATATAGGGAAGTGGGTGAAGAGGGGACGGTATGTGTGGTGGCATGAGGAGAGTTTTGGGTGGTGATAGATGCTCTATATAATTCGATCAGTCTTCATTTGCAGTACAGGAGTAAGGATCCACCCTCTATATCCAAGAGATAAATCTCGAAGCAGGGCGAGCGAGAAGATGTTTCTAGTCAAATCATGGATGCATCGGAAGGAATACCCAAAGAGACTGGTTGTTTAATTCGGTTACTCTCGAGCCCTAGATCAGATCAGAATGTTGCTCAGCCTCAAATAAACCATCCTGAATATCAATCGGATAAGCCATCGCGGATCTTTTCGAGAAAGGTCCTGCGGAAAAAAACAGCTGCTATGTAAGATAATGCGCCAGTGATCGGCGATGTGATGGCTCAGTTGGAGACTAACGGTTTCAAGGAAATGAATGGAATGCATGGCGTGAACAGGGTGAATGGAGAATTGGTTTACTGATTTTGTATATATGGTTTTGGAACTTGGGATGGCAACATTAATGACCATCTACCCGTCTTCACACGGAGTTATATGATACTTGATAAATAGATTCGCATGGGTAACTGGCTTAATGCCACTAATCAGTAACGACACTAGACAGGGCTCTTCCATGGAATGGCACACTCTCTTCTATTCCACTCGGTGGTCTTCGATGTCAATGGCGCTGGGCTCGGAACCAGCAGCAAGATTGGCTCTTTAACCATGGAACGTGAGGGACATATTGTCTCCCATTCTGAAATGCTAATTGCCAAGATACCGGGAAATAAATTATCTGCTACTACTTTATCGACAGGATATCTCGGGTATCGCTATGTTGCACATGTTTTTCGAGTTCTTCCGATCCAAATGACCAGATGCTCCCTCGCTCCAGCAAACCTCCAGCTCTCCTTGCTGGGAGCAACAGTGGAAGTCTGCCTGTGGTGGTGACCGTGGCTGTGTTTCTCTCGATCGCTCTATACAATTCAATCGAGCTGCTCATTATGATTTCCTTGAGCTTCAACAAACATCGTGGTGTATATTTCTGGTCCCTTCTACTATCCACTGCAGCTGGTGTCATCCCATTCACCATCAGCAATCTATTTGACTTCTTTAATGTGCCTCCTTTATGGCTGACTCTCCTCCTCTCATCGATTGGCTTTTCCTTCATGATCCCCGGCCAGTCGGTCGTCTTGTACTCTCGTCTACATCTCGTTTCGAATAACTACACAATCCTCCGCGCTCTTCGCTACCTCATCATCATCGATACAGTCATCCTCGTCACGCCCACCATCGTCCTGTATTGGGGCTCGGTGTATATCAGCACAAAACACTGGACGCAGGCATTCCACATCCACGAACAGATCCAAATAGCCTGGTTCTCCGCGCAAGAATTCCTAATATCCAGTTTCTACATTCTAGAAACCGTCAAGTTGATTCGCGCTCACCCGGGCAGGGGCCGGCGTCTAACTATCATCCTGTATGAGCTGTTAGCTATCAACCTCGTAGCTATTTTGCTCGATATTGCGCTTCTCGCGTTGCAGTATTCGCGGTTGTATTATTTTCAGGTGATTTTCAAGGCGTTGGTGTATAGTGTTAAGTTAAAGTTGGAGTTTGCGGTTCTGGGGAGGCTGGTTTCGTTTGTGGGGTTGTGTCACGCTACAACGGTGGTTCGGGAGTATCCAAGTTTTATCACGACGGTGGATGTGTCGTCTGTTGGTAATGATTAGAATTGGTTCAAGTGATATCATAAATATTCTTAATATGCTCAGTGCGATGCTGCAGATGCGGTTAGCCTCGAATAATGTGGTCATCGATTCCAATGCGCCACACGGATTGGTTCACCAGCACTTTAAAGTATTTGCGTGGGAGCTCGTGACCTGCACATTCCCCAGTAACTTGGAATTTCTTTCTGGACATGGCTTTACTCTCCTTTCCAAATCAACCTTCCATATCGACGTGGAAAGAAGAAAACAACGACCGTGATGCTTCGCTGCTACCGCTTAACGCACGCTTTTAGAGATGTATAGATTCTTTTCCAGGGTTCTTGATATCTATTCTTATGATATTCATAGAGCTGCAAGGCCCTGAAGCAACAAGTCCGAAATCTGACCCTGCTCGAGCACCATTCCCACAAGATTCTCCATCAGGTGAGGCAAGCTTTCTTATACTAATTTCTCATTGAATACTCACCTTCTTAGTATGGCATTCCAGTACCTGATGGACGGGTAATCGACAGCCCGCTGGATGCCAAAGCTGTGGTATCAGCTATAGGTGAGACAGCTACCAGAGCAGGAATCATGACGAGAAACATCAACTGAGTCAAGCTACAGGCGCGCCATCCATGATGAAGGCCCAGATTCTCGCCGGAGGCCGGGGGAAAGGAACGTTCAACACGGATGGAAAGGGTGGTGTGCGATTTGTATCGACGTGAGTCTACCATTGGTTCATGTAACATCTGACAATGAGTCCACAGGCCAAACGAAGCCCTCGAAAACGCTGCCAATATGCTCGGTCATTATCTAAAAACAACACAAACACCACCTAGTGGGCTCCTTGTGAAGAACCTCTATATATACAAAGCAGTCAACGTCGCACACGAGTACTACTTTTCCATCACCTTCGACCGCAAGCGATACAGTCCCGTCATCCTTATATCCGACGAAGGCGGCGTCAACATCGAAGCCAACGCGGATAGCCTTCATAAATTCCCGTTTTCCCTCGATACAGGCATCACGCCCGATATCATATCGCGAATTCATGGCGCGATGCTCTTTTCCACCACCGAAATGCGAGTCATAGAGCATGTCATCCGGCGGATGGCAGATCTGTTTCGCGAACGAGACGCCATTCTCCTCGAGCTGAACCCGCTCGCACTGACGACGGAAGAACAATTCATCTGTCTTGATGCAAAGTTTGAGTTTGATAATTGTGCTGCGTTTCGCCAGGAAGATATTTTCAACCTTGAAGAACGCGAACACATGCCGGACTCGCGGGTCGAGTACGAAGCTGCTCAGCTTGGTCTTTCCTACGTTCGTCTAGATGGGAATATCGGGAATATCGTCAACGGCGCGGGCCTGGCGATGGCGACGAACGATTTGATCACCATCCATGGAGGAAAAAGTGCTAACTTTCTTGACATTGGGGGCAAAGCGAGCACTGCGACATTGCTCAAGTCGTTTGAGATTTTGAATCGGGATCCCCGCGTCAAGGGTATCCTGATTAATATTTTTGGTGGTATGTACTACTACCTCATGACAGGCTAACGACTATCCTCACGCATTGCTAGGTATTGTCCGCTGTGATATGATCGCCCAATGTATCCTTCAAGCAGCATCCATCCTAGGAGGCTTCCGAGTTCCCGTTGTAGTGCGGTTGCAGGGAACGAACAGCGATGAAGCGCTGAAACTAGTAGGCCACTGTACAGCCCCGTTGAGACAGTGTTCTAACTCCATCTCACAGCTCGAGGATTCGGGGTTGGATCTGTGCACGGAGACGGATTTCGACTCGGCAGCTGCAAAAATAGTTGAACTGACATCTGGCCATAACTAGGATGATCTGGGATTATATATCCTATTTTTATCGATGGGAGTTTGAGGTTCTTCACTAAGGCTCATGTATAAATAATAACTACGTATAGCATTTGTAGATATTGAGGGAATTGATTTACTAGCAGCATTGATGATGATCTACCTATTCTGAAACCAACAGAATTATTCTAGACTGTTGCTCAATACATTCAATATAATTGGTTTATATGACTTGGGGCCATACAGGAAGATCAGCCTCGCACCGTGGCTGCCTCAGCGGCGGAGTCCGCGGGATCCGCCAAGCAGCCCTGATATAAACCGAGCACCCTCAATAATATTTCTCTAGACAAAACGAACAACCATGAATTGGCTCACATTCGCCCTATCTCTCCTGGGTCTACTCACCCTCCACTATGTCATCAGTTTCCTCAAAAACCTCCGCCTCGTCCGACAAACAGGTCTACCCTATACAATCTTCCCCATCTCCGAATTCAATCTCCCCTTCCTCGCTCTCTTCGCTACAAAATGGGTCCCGTATATCGTCAACAACTATCTTCCCGCCCAACTAGCTGATAGAATCAACGACAACAACATCAATTACCGGTGGACAGTCAAGGACCGGCAGGTTGAGAAACTTGGCGGCGTGTATATGGTTGCCTCGCCTGAGACGATTTCCTGTAATGTTTCCGATGCGTCGGTTGTGTCGCAGGTTTATGGTATGAGGGGAAGCTTTCCGAAGCCGATTTGGCAGTATGGTGAGTATTTCGTGCTTGGTTGAGAGTGGTGGAGCTGGTGCTGACGGATGGTGAAGAATCGTTGGATTTGTATGGTCCGAATGTGCTTACGGTGAGAAGTTTGAGTCCGCCTGGTTTTTATTCTCTGGCTAAGTCATGCAGTGTGAGGATACGAAATGGTCTCATCACCGTCGCCATACAGCACCGTCTTTCAATGAAAAGAACAACGCACTCGTCTGGCAAGAGACAATTCGCCAAACCACCGAGATGATCGAGTACTGGGTCGAAACGAACCCGGCGGAGCAGTTCACCGTGGAGAATGTCAAAATAGATATCCTCAAACTGACATTAAACGTCATCTGCGGTGCAGGCTTCGGCGTGCAAATGCCATTCAAGCCAGTCTCCCAAACCCCAGTGGACGACGGAGAGAGAAGTATTTTCAGGGACTCCAGCACGCCTCCGAGCGGATTTAAGTACACGTTTCGGTCTGTTATGGGCTATATGAGTGAGAATCTTTTTTCGGTTGTTGGGGCGAATATGTTGGCCCCGAAATGGATTCCCAGGTTTTTGATGCCGTTTTTCAACAATGATTTTGCGGCGCATCGCGATTTGGGTGTTTATCTGCAGCGATTGATGACGACGGCGAAACAGAAGCCGGATACTGGTGTTGCGAATTTACTTCAGGGGATGGTGTCTTCCAAGGCTGAGGGTTCGAGTTCTAGTGCAAAAGGAGGAAGTCTTTCTGATTTGGAGATCCTGGGAAATATGCATGTCTTGACGGTGGCTGGACATGAGACGACGGCTACTACTATGAGATTTGCGTTAGTCCTTTTGGCTCTTCATCAGGATGTACAGGATTGGGTTTACCGATCCGTGAAAGAGGTGGTTGGAGAGTCCCCAGCGGAGTGGGATTACGCGACTCTCTATCCCAAGCTCATTGCTCCATTATGTGTCATGGTATGCAGATTGAGCCACCATTCTCGCAGAACTGACTGACCTTCCAGCTCGAAACATTGCGCCTCTACCCCCCCGTCGTGACAACCCCCAAATGGACAGCCAACACAAGCTGCACCATCACCTATCTCGACCAGCAATACACCCTCCCCCCAAAGGTCAACATAAACCTCAACGCAAATGGCTTGCACTACTCCAAAGAATACTGGGGCCCAGACGCCCACCTCTTCAACCCTCAACGATGGGACAAGACCAACCAGGCCAGCTATCTCGCACAGAACGATTCTCTATCTGGCCTCTCAGGCCCAGGTCTCGAGTATCCCACCATCCATAGACCCGTTCGAGGGGCGTATATTCCCTTCAGCGATGGTTTCCGGGCTTGTGTGGGGAAGAAGTTTGCACAGGTTGAGTTTGTGGCTGCGTTGGCGGTGCTGGTGATGGGATATAAGATTGGACTGGCGGGGGATGATGAGAAGAAGACGAGAAGAAATGCAAAGAGGGTTCTGGAGGAGAGTGCTACTGTTTTGACGTTGATGATGGGGGAGGACGTGCCATTGTCGTTTTGTAAGAGGTAATATGATATCGTACATTGGTCTGCTTTGAAATAAAATTGATATGATCAAAGTGAGAAGTGTTTGCTGTAGGAAGAAAACAGAAGTGCTTCGCTTGGTTTTCAGTCTGGAGAAATTCACTGGGGGGGAGATATTTTTATCTGGACAGACAGTGAATGACACCCAGCCTGGGCTCTGTTTACCTCTTCTCTCCCTCTCCTCTTCCTTCTCCCACCCTGATATCAGAAGAAGAGAGCGTCACAAACCCCTCTCTTTCTAATACTGTCTTATGTTCTTTGATGCTCTGCTATAATAACTGAGAGTTACTAGATCTCTAAAACTATTCCTGGTCTCACAACCCTAAGCCTCCCTTAAGCTTCCTTTCAACCCCGTGAGTCCAATTAAACAAGCAATACCCCCGATCGATCCCAAGTTCTTTAACTCACAGCGCCGAGACTGGCTCGCATCATCTAGTCAGTGACGAATGGAGAAGAGAATGGACAAAATCAAGATGGACGACTTTCCATCCCACTGGAAAGCCACGCTTCTGGGTGAGGATTTCTGGAAAGACGCAGAGCAGTACAACAGACCTGTCAACGACAGTATTGAGGCTGGTGAGTCTTTCCTTTTCTCTATCCTTCTGGCCTCGTCTCTCGAGGACCGTCTCTTGATTTGGTGAAGCTCACCGTCTCATGGCCCAGATCACAGCTTGACGCTTCACACGCGCTTCCCTTTCAACCTGGGACCAGAAGCGGGCCCTCGCGCAGCCAAAACCGAGGAAATACCCCAGAAGCGTCGTCGTCGGTTTAGCATGAGCGATGCCCTTGGTTTGAGCACCAACAGTACCAACCCAGCGAGCTCTCTCCCCCCAGCTCGTTTCTTTGATATCGGGCGTGGAAGGTCTCGCTCGCGCTCGCGCTCGCCCAGTGTCGCCTCCGAGCGCCACACGAGCTCTGTTTGTCGTACGCCGTTCAATATGGCTAGTAGCAGGAAGAATGATAGTATCGAGTGTATCTTGGCGACGCCTGTTCCGCATGAATTGGGGACGCCGTCTAAGCCGCTGATGTTTTTCCGTGGCGGGGTGTCGTGGACTTGTCTTGATAAGAGTATGACGACTTTGGGTCTTGATTTGTTTTGGCCTGTGGAGAAGGATAAACAGGATGACGATGATGAGAAGGATGTGCTTCCTATTGAGGAGCTGATGCCTCTTTGTCAGTTCCGTCGTCTGCGCGTCCTCAAGATCACGGGTATGATGCAGTCGTACCAAAAGTACATTTGGCAGGCTGTCTGGCTTAATACGAACCTCGAGGAGCTCGAGCTTGGAATGGCTCTCGAGCCTCGCATTCGTCAGGGCTATGCGGAGAACTGGCCGTTGATCAAGGGTGGTTGGAAGCTGAACAAGATTCACTACGGGGAGCCGGTTTACTTGTACTTTCCTATCTCCAAGGCCCTCATATAAAGATTATAATGCTAATATACCTCTGATAGTGGCAACATGGGCGACGGAAACCTCGACCGCAAGATCGGCATCGGCGAATACCTCGACAAAACCGCGATGGAGAAAGCCAAGATCCGCGCGATGGCCATGGGCCGCACCCTCAATCGCTTCTCGATCAGGAAGCTCACGCTCACCGGCTTCGTCGTTGACGCTGACCCCTTCCTGCACTGGTTCGACCCGAAGCGGATGCGCTGTATCAACTTCAAGAACGACTGCGTCGATGCCGGCTTCTACCTCTGCTTTCCCATGAAGAAGGTTACGATTCTTTACCCGCGTGAGGTTCTCGAGCGGCCTTTGCCGGTTCGCCGTGTCAATCTGTTCAAGGAGCTCAAGGTGGTTGAGTTGAAGGGTGGTAAGAAGGTCGGCGAGATACCGTACCGTGGACCGGAGAGTCTTCAGCAGGAGATTGTCCCCAAGGGCAAGGAGAACCAGTCTGTGAATACGGTTTCGGGGGATGATATCCATGCTGGGATGGCGCGGTTCTCGTTCGAATCGGGCAGCGACTCTCCTCGAAAGATGGCCGGCAACACAACCAGTTCCAAAAAGGACAACGTCAAGAAAGACGAAGCTGAATATGAGACCGTCGGTGAAAGCAGTACCAACAATGAGTCTGGTATCAACGAATGGGAGGCTATTATCGGACAGGCTTTTTGAGGTCTCGTGCTAGTATATCACTAACCTATCCCCAATGAAGATGCTATCTTTAACTGACATTCGCAACCTGCTCATACGCCATTGACCCTTCAGCCTTATATACCAACTAACCATGTTGACTCGGACAAACCTTTTGTCACATTTGGTGTAGTTGGCCAGCTTTTGGGTCTTACTCTTTGGGTCTTGCTTGACAGGTGACACGTCTATGGGAAGCACGGACCAGCCGGATAATTGTGGTGATCATTTGCTTTCATCAAGCATCTTTCAAAAGCTTTTAGCCAATTCTAATAAAAAAGGGGGCAAAAAAAAAAAAAAAAAAAAACCAGGAAAAGAAG